CCCCCCCCCCCCTTTTTTTTTAAATTCTTGTATGTAGATCTACACATTTCGTTTTCTTATTGAAAAACAATGACATTTTTAGGCCAAGATTTTTATTAGTAAAACTAATTTTTTTAAATAAGTTCTTGGGATATATTAATAATATGACCAGTTTAATAAACATGGATACGTGGAGCAAAATTGAAGATTTTTTTTTGTCTGACAAATGGATTTTTGCAATTCCCTTAAATATAGGCTGGAAAGCTTACATAATAGTCCAGGCAAATAAGCCATGAAAAGGGCTATAGCCTGCAAAAATCCCGGGTAGCAATGTTTTCATCGATTCCTTTGTAATTTTTGACGCTGAATCCGAATTTCAACTTTGCGCCATTAAATTCGGACCGGAAAGTTGCCAAATTTGGCAAAAATGGCCTAAAATCGGACTTTTTCCCGGATTATGGCCTGTAACTTGCCAAAAATTGATCTGACGATAAAATGAGTTATTTTCAGAAATAAAGCTCGTTAAATTTCCTATAAAAAAGTTCCTATACACTTTTTTGCTCCAGGCAAAATCAAGCGCGCTGGCGGGCTCCAAACTTTGAAAAATGAGCGAAAATTTGGTTATTTGCGGGTTATGGCCTGTGACTCGTCCAAAATTGATCTAACGACAATTTGGTTGTTTTAAAAAAAAAAGTTCACTAAATTTCCCATAAAAAAGTTCCTATACACTTTTTTGCTCAAGGCAAAATGAAGCGCGCTGGCGGGTACCGAACTTTGAAAAATGAACGAAAATTGCGTTTTTTTGCGGTTTTTGCAAAAATCCCGGGTAGTTATGCTCTCAGCGATTCCTACGTAATTTTTGACGCTGAATCCGAATTTCAACTTTGCACCATTAAATTCGGACCCAAAAGTTGCCAAATTTGGCAAAAATGGCCTAAAATCGGACTTTTTTCCGGATTATGGCCTGTAACTTGCCTAAAATTGATCTGACGATAAAATTAGTTATTTTCAGAAATAAAGCTCGTTAAATTTCCTGTAAAAAAGTTCCTATACATTTTTTTGCTCAATGCAAAATCAAGCGCGCTGGCGGGCTCCGAAATTTGAAAAATGAGCAAAAATTGTGTTTTTCGCGGTTTTTGTCCGATGTCTCCTGTTTTAATCGTCCGACGAGTAATTTCTGGACAAATTAAGTGAAGATGATAAAATTTACACTTAGTGAAATGAATTGATGTAAATAATGAGGATAACCCAACACATTACAGGATGCGCAATTTTCGCACATTTTACAAAGTTTGGAGCCCGCCAGCGCGCTTGATTTTGCCTTGAGCAAAAAGTGTATAGGAACTTTTTTATAGAAAATTTAACGAGCTTTATTTCTGAAAATAACTAATTTTATCGTCAGATCAATTTTTGGCAAGTTACAGGCCATAATCCGGAAAAAAGTCCGATTTTAGGCCATTTTTGCCAAATTTGGCAACTTTCCGGTCCGAATTTAATGGCGCAAAGTTGAAATTCGGATTCAGCGTCAAAAATTACGTAAGAATCGATGAAAACATTGCTACCCGGGATTTTTGCAGGCTCCTTTCCTTTTTTGCCTGGACTATAAGGCTCAGCCCCACCCCTTCCCCCTTGTAAGACACCATAATGTTGTTAGAGACCCCCCCCTCCTAACAGCCTTATGTAATTTATGAACGGCCCCATAGTTACTGAATTAGGAATCCTGTAAAAATGATCAATAAGTACATTTGGACTGCATTAGACCTAAATAACGACAAATAATAAATAAATTCAACATAAATAAAATTTTTATTAGACCAAAATTTGTAAAATCACAAAAAAATGAAGATAACTTTACAAAGTTTCTTATGCTACGTTTACCTAACTATGTTGATTCCTATGGATCCTTAAATAGAAAAATAAGGATCAAAACTGATCAAATTAAGAGGGGTTTACTGAGTTCAGACAAACAAAATTTGGTACACAGTTTGACTTAATTTCTCCTTTTCTCATTTTAGTTCATTGAAAAGAGAGACATGAATCGTTCAAATTAGTCAAAGGATTAGTTTTTAAACTAAAAATTTTAATTGGATTAGAGCTCTAAGTCGACTCATCAGCTGCTTGAACAAAATCCTTTGGAGATGAAGAATTCATGGTTAGAAAAATTATGGCTAGAATGTTAAGCCTGATACGTAAACTAGCAGTTTACAGTGTAACTTTTGCGTACCTTTGACTTCTATAAATTTATAACCTTGGCTATGGATTGATTGGATTCTGTGTGAAAAGATGTGAGAGAAGGAGAGACAAAGAGAATTGAGATTTAAGTTACAGAATACAGTGATTTTAAGTTAAGTTAATAAAAAAGCACATTATAATCTCTGAGAGGTGACTCGAGCCTAATTTGGAACCTTGAATTTGGAGCTATGTTAAGCAATAGACTAGCTTATGCGGTATCAGTCGACACTAACTAAAGGACGTAGATGTTAAACTCACAATTAGGTGACCATCAAAACACATTTTTGCACTTCTATGACTTGGGCTTTAGTCGCCATTTTGAACACTCCTATTAATGGGTTTTTGCAGGAAAGCTTTGAGGAAATATAATATAAAATCTAGTAAATCTCAAAATTGAAATTTCATAGGGTTTCTTCAGAGTAATATTGCAAAATTTGGTTTTAGTGTGCAACTGGATTCGCTGAACAGATTACCAAAACATAAACTAAAGAATAGTTGCTCTTGGTAGACATGCTGTACTTATGTCATCACAGAAATTCACTCAATAAATGCTCTGAAACTGATTGCTGATTAAGAACGAGGGAAACTGTTACCCGATAAAATTTACGAAAAGTAAACGGAAATGTTGTATTTAGTGCTGAAGTGGAAAAAAATTAATCTTACAGATTTACCATGAGAAATTAAGAAGGTTTTTTAGCTTAGGCCCTCTTCAATAATTCCTACGGGTCCAGGGGCGGACTGGCCCTGAAAACGTGATTGGGAATATCAGCTCATCAAAGCTCAGATGAGCCCATTTTAGTTTTTTTTTTTTTTTTTTTTTTTTTTTTTTTTGCCGTAAGAAGGCAAACTGGTCCAAAATCAGCTTAAATATCTACCAGCCAACCGAAATTTTTCCCTGTGTTCCTGCCTGCCTGTCCGCCCTTGTATGGGCCTTGAAAAATCCTGATTCCAACTTGAGAGCTCTTGTTATTTTTTGCGATTTAATTCTAGCATACAGAAGAAAGTCATAGAGGCACAAATTTGATGGGTGAAACAGTCTGCAAGAGTGATGAAACCTTGGAGCCATGCGACCAAACTTCCTTCTATTATCTAGGATGTCCTAATGTAAGACTCTGAGAGAATCCATTCAAATAGAAGAGGGTATTGCCGTATTGCCCCTCTCAAAAGAATAGAACATACAGGCTCCAACTTTGCAATATACAAATGATACTTGAAAGTTATGTAACAACCAATCTGGAAGTTTTCAGGATTCACTGCTGAAGTGTAAGGCAAGGTGGACATTTTTTCTTTCTCATTCTTGATTTTAAAAAAAAAAAATTTCTGATTATTTTACTCACTTGAACCGTTTCTACTTGTCTCCATAAAATACAGATGACCAGGTTAAAAAAAGAAAACTAACTTAGCTTTGTACAAACTGTTTCTGCTTCACTTCCTCCATGATTCACACATCTTTATCGCAAGGCTATATAAAAGCCAGGAGAGACAGAAAAATTGTCTACCTTCAAATTAAAATCAAGCATATACATGGACACGAGCTATAAGTCAATTACATATCTACACAAAATGAGGGATAACTTACTATCGTTCTTCATCCTTTCACATTGATGATTTTATCATTACTTTGGCAAAGAGTTGTTTACAAATATTTGAGGCCAAAGACTTAACTTTAAAAAAAGGAAGGAAAAAAAAAAAAAAAAAAAAAAAAAAAAAAAACATTAAGAGAAATGAAATATCTCATTTCCCTTTTACATGAGGTAATATTAGACAATATATACTAATTGCGCTCCTCGGAATTTCCTGACATTTTGAATTCTCCGCCAATCATATTACGCAAAAAACAGCTTTGACAAGTAGTGACCAATACTTAATTATCAGTGTGTTTTAAACTTTGCCTTGTTTCCATCTGTACATTCTAGGATTCTCCTACATTTAGATAGGGGCAACATTTGAGTAGACATGCAATCTCTCATAATAGATTTCACAGTATTGCGTAAGGATACAAAATATCAAACAAGAATGTTTTTGTTCACAATGGCGTCTCCCTTATAAAATTGAAATGCATCAAAGAGAAAAAAAGATTGAAGAGTGACTTCAGTTTCACCCTTAAGGAGCAGGGAAAGATAATGAACAAGTTTAGCGGGAAAATTACTTGATAAAACTATTGATATCAACACATAAAAATAAGCAATCAAAACTTCAGCAACAAGATTTCTTCTGATTGTAATAAAGATTAAAATGAACCATACTTCCAGTGAATTAAAAAAGACAATTTTTCTCAAACAAAACAAAATATAAGATTGGATGGATTTGAAAATAAAAATGATAATAATAAAAGCCTTTCCAAGATGGAGAACAGCTCAGCCATTGAGACATTTTTGCTAGAGGGCTACGCTCCATAAAAGACTTCATAATCAGTAAAATTTCAACTTTCTATGGAACATATAAAACTGAAAGTATACTTAGTGTGCTGTGCATGTTTTTTTGCATGATATAATTTGGTTGATTTGAAAAATAACACAGTTTGAGATAGAAATCATAATACCTGCAATGAGAACGCATGATAGGCAATGAATGCTTCAGCAATGTGCATCAGAATTCGTTGCCTCTCTGATGTAAGGGAGTATTTCAATTTCCATGTGGATCCTGTTCTACAAATAGATATATGCTTCCTGGGGCTTATGTGGAGACTGAGATACTCCCGTGCGTCAGAAGAGTAATGAATTGTATACATTACTAGTTGCAAGAATCATTTTCTGCCCTCTGAGAATAGTGCATCATTTAGCAATTTTCAATACTGACTTAGCAGTTAGATTCAGTTTTCAAAAAATTATAAATTAAATTGTGGTTTTTAAATGTCCTTCATTCAAACTGCCATGCTTACAGTCCTTTCAAGCCATGGGTACTGATTTGGGTCTCAATCAATACATGGATTGGTCTTGGTTTGAAGTTCTAACAAGAATAGCTCACCATCTTCGTTTGAAGATTCAAGGCTTCATTGACGTACTTTCAGAAATCTCCTTGCAAAAATGGTCAGACTTAGAGGCTCATCTACTCAAAAAATTCAGTGGTCATTCTTGAGCACATGCAAAATACATGCAATTGAAGAGAGAATTTTTCATTCCTTTTTTTCATTTGGCAACTTAAGAGCAAAACATAATTCAATTCATCATTGCAGATTTCTCAAACATTTTATCACTTGATACAGATACAAAGAGTATTTTTTATCAGATGTATTGATTATTGATGATCCCAATTTGTGCAGAAGTAAAAATTACATTTAATTTCGGCTGAATGATAAAGAAACTTCGTCTTCGTACAAACTTAGTTAAAATCATCAGGCGTTGGTTATTTTTAACAGTGATCACCATAGAAAATTTCACTGATAGGTTTTTCAAAGAAATGTTGCGAAGAAAAAGTGGCAAGACTACGAGAGCATCCAATTGTAGAGCATAAAATTATCCTTTGTATGCAAATTTCTGGTAGTTAAGAAGTACAGGATAATCATTCTTGATCTCTAAATGGCTGATACATTACATCTGCAGGTCACTTTTCTGAAGAAGAGGACTGTGTTCTCCTCTTGAGAAAAGGCCTGATCAGAATTCTCATCTCTTTGAAGACTTGAATTTTACCTGATGAACAAGTTATCTGTTTTAAAATATTAAAACTTAACTACAAGTACAAGATTTAAGTAAATCATTTAATTGCAAAAAAAGAGAGAGAAAATATATTAATAAAACAAAAGACAAGGATGAGTTACCATTCGACGTGCGATCAACACATCCTCCTATCATTGTCAGGGATTGAATTAGGCACTGAATCCTGGAAAGAAAAAAGAGGAATGTTAGGTACTTATCACACTAAAATACCATGAATTACCAAAATAGTATGTTCGCAATGTGCCCCTTGAATTTCATTGGGTAGATACTAGCTACTTCGACTTCACTTTGAGTCTTGGCCGTAGCTAGTCAGAGAGCTTCCCTCTCAGGTCCACCAACACTCTCTCTGTGATCCATATTCCTATGATGAAACACAACAAAAATAGAAAGGAATTGTAGCATTCAAGATATATAGCCAAGTATACTTTACCAGTAGACCTTCTAACTAGTAAAATCGCATAAAAATCACGATGGGAACATGAAAAATGGTTAAATCAACTTCTTTGCACGCAATCTGCATAGTTCGAAACAACTTTTTGAAATTTGTCGCAAACTGCAGGTTTTTGCAACAGATCCAGCCTGAAAGATCCTTGAAAATTCTAGAAACTACTATTGATTAATGTCCTGTGACATTTTCTAAAAATCTGAGAATATTGTCAGAAGTTCCAGAGACGATGCAAGCGGGGCTTCCCCTTCACTCGCTACCTCTCTAGCTATGACATGGGATTGCTGCATCGCAGACACAGTGATGAGGGAGGGGAGATATCACTCTTTGAAAAACATTGTTGATGACAACATCCACCACTGTAGCACATCTCATGCTTCCTTCTACTTTGGTCATGATGTATGCACAGGGGTGCAAAATATTCTCTGCCTTCATTGAGGCAGTCAAGCACTGTTAATTGTGTCTTTTACTTTTTTTCTCACATTATACAAACCATTGAACCACTCACTTCAGAAGAAAATTTGCGTAACATTTTATCGCTCTTAACAGATGAAAAGGCAAGAAATTCACTGTTTCTACACTCTTGACAAGATTTAAATTATTTCAAATGGCTGAACTGCGACCAGTCAATCATTAACAGGCGATTTTCCCGCATCTGATTTGTGAAGCAACAGATTCAAATGCATGCATCATCAATTGAAAAATATAAGGTGGAAGAAACTGTGGTTTGTACACTGGCAGTGAATGATAATCAAACAAAGAGCCCTATACCATCAATTCAATTCAGCTTATGTCATTTAAAAGATCGATAAATTTTTTTTATTTCATCAATTTAAATCAAGGAAACACAATTCTGTGACTAGCATAACTGACAAAAATGACAGCACTTTTTGAACATTTTTATGGCATTTTTTTTATAAGTTATCATTGCGTTTGCTAAAGGGTACGACTCCATTTTCAAATGAGTCTTATAAGACATGGAGTTATACAAACTACAGGGTTTATATCAAAAGGTAGTTACGCTCTTCCATCTGGAAAACAACAAATTTTTACTTTCAGAGAAAATTTTTTCTTTCATGGGCATTTCAATCGAAAATCAGTTTTGCGATAGTAGTGTTTGCTTCCTCCCACACTACCTTAAAAAGAGAAGAGAAAGAAAAACAATGGTTTACCTGGTATGGTAAATGACTATGTGACGAATTAGAATTAGAACTAGAATTACTATGAATGGCTTCAAATGGATTTGTAAGCCTGTTTGGATCAGTTGTTTGCGGTAAAGTTGAGCCTAATTGATTCATGTGAGACAACTGTTGAGCAAGTGACATCATTTTCTTGTCGGCATCTTCTTCAACATCCAGTATAAACCAAATCACATCTATAAAATGAATAATTAAGAAAAAATGAACAATAAAAATTAGATTATAATGAATACAAGAGTCAGACAAAGAAAAACTAGCCCTCTCACTTGCAGTGTTTCAATTGCATCCCACGCCATGCGCATAATACGCCAAAAAATGTCAGATGCAACCTATTGCGAATTCTTGAAACAGCAATGGCGCACTACTCTAGTTCAGGGGCAATTTGAGACAGGAATAATAAAAAAAGAAATGCGTATGCAAAAAATCATTGTGGCCCCTTAAAAATAGGCTTGACAGCCAAGAAGGGTCCTGAAATTTTACCTTGAGTTGGAATACCCTTTACCTGAAGATGATTGATTCATGGTTATTCAAGAACTATCTTTTGTGGATTTAATTAGTGAACATGTAAATTAACAGAATCTAGTGTTCAACTCCTCTTGTGACATCACAAACTCAGTTGACACAATATCTTTCCATTAGAATGTGGTTGAATTTTTGGCGACTTAGAAAGTCTTTCTCTAAGCTAAAATTTGATTACATGAAAACTGGAAAAATGCAGAAATTTTCAATCAGTGCATACTTTTTGAAAATGAATTGGAAAAGTAACAGTGCAACAGCCCCATTGGGATAACGTATTTTGCAATACTCGAGAGTTATATATAATTTTTATTTCTTTTAGTCTAATTGGGAGTTACCAACCTCCAAAGTAAGCTCCATTCGTGGCAACCATGCGACATTTTGATTGATAAGTGCCTGGTGTATCAGGTGCAACAATTATCACTCCGATATCTGCGATAGCGCCTGGAGCAAGTGGTTCCACTGGGATCCTGTCCTCTTGCGTTAGCTTGTCTCTACTCGTAAATTGGAGACAACACCCGATTGGCCAAGTCTCATCTCCTGAGTTTAACAGCTTCCATACTTTCAGGAATCTACCAAAAGACCACAAAAAGAACATGATTAAATTTCAACAATTCCTGTTATTTGAGGATTTTGTGTTTCATTCAGTTAAATTAATGATTCTCAACATTGACTTCACGTCTCCTGAAAGGGAGCTCTTCCCATTAGTAGACCTGAGACTCACCAAAACATTAACATCTCAATAAGAATAAGGGAAATAAGAGATGGACCCCCCCCCCCCATTTTAGAGCTTCCTATTAACATTAAAGGACTGGTAAAAACAATATATTTCACTAATACCATGGGTAGTGCTTCCCTAAAATGTGATCAATGTAGCTAAAAGTTAAAACTGATTATTACATTTTTTTTCTTCTAATTTTTAGTCTCTTATAACCTGTTCCGGTAGAAAGAGACTCAACCGGCAGTTCCTCACTAGAGCTATGGAAAGATATGGGAGGAATATAACAGTGAAGTCTTATTTCAATACTATCACCATGCAAAATTTCAGAAAAATTGGACAAGAACTGTCGGAGTTAAGTATGGATAGTTAAATTTTGATCAGGGGTAATTAAAAAAAGAAATTCAAAATTTGCATTTTTCAAAACTCAATATAAGCGTTTAATATTGGGAAATTTGGCTTAAAAGAGATCAAAATCAAATGTGAAGACTGATGGGCAGCAATCTATTAAATAACTAAAAGCAATTTTATATTTTCTTTTTCATTAGATTTTAACAACAATCTACAGAATATGTGCAAGGAGTTATTCTGTATATCCTTATCAGCCTCAAAAAGGAGCTAATTCGCAAATAAGAGACTGGCATCCTCAAGCCTCCTGGCTTGAATGCATTTAAAAACAAATAGCCCACAGGACTAATCCCCAACTCAGTAGGTACCCTAGCACTAGGTGACTATTGCCCGAGACCATCAAACTCAGGTCTCCTGCAGCCTGACCAGACTGCTCACTTCTATTTACTGTAGATATTGATTGAATGAACTCTGTTTGCTGGGGAAGCACCCTATGGAACTGAGTTCCATTCCATCAACGTCAATAGAAAGCGGGAAATCTTAGCCACGCTGCTGGCCAGGACCCAAAACCTGGCAGTTCTTCGTCATTGGGCCAGTGCTACTATCACTCCACCACAGGAGACAGAGGTATAGTTTTGACTGAAGCAGAGTAAGGCACGCAGATACTGAATTTACCTGAATTTGGGAGGTACTCTCATTCTGAACGTCTCGGCATCCATTTCATCCCGAATAACTGACATTGAGGGAAGCTTTACTGGATTGTCCGAGTCATAGTATGAACCAATTGCAGCTTGCAAATTCCTGAAAAGACAAAACAATTACTTGGATAAGCTCATTTCTTATGAATACATCATTAACAAAAGGAGCTACTTAGGTTGAAACTCATTTCTAAGGAACTTGAAGGCAAGACCGGTGAGGGGAATTCCCATCCTTGGGACGCCCAAAAGCATCGTTTTCACTCCCATTAATGCTTTAGGAAACTGGGAAGAGGTATTAATCAGAAATGATTGATCGATTTGTGGAGAAAATTGCATGTTTTTGACGAACTTGATTGATGTGGCAAACCTAGACTATGTCAATGTGAATAACACTCCGTTCCTGTGCCTAAATTCAGAGTGTGCTTAGCGGGGCCAATTGCATCATCTGGAACGATCAACCAAAATGCTCTTGTTCTGCACCTAGTTACAAGGTACTGCATTGCTAAAAGATGACCACTGGCAGTATCGTTGAACAGTAAAAAAGAACTCCTCGAAATATGTACCTCGAGGCTGAGAAATATTAGCTCGTTTTCTAGCTTATCCACCCATTACTTAAGGACTTCTGCCTGACTAGGATACTGAAGACAAAAGCGTAAATAACTCTTTCTCCAGCCTCTCATACTGAAAGAGACAATAGATTGACAGAAGATCAGACAAAGAAAAATAAGTCTTGCACCATAGTGATGCATATTCTTGGTGCAAGGTGAGAATGCTGGGGAATCTGACAAAAGCAAATCCTACCAATTATTCATTTCCAGGAAGAATGTTGCCATGGGTTCATTAATATTTCCAACTATGCACTGAAGCTGTTTAATCAGGTCATCTTTGTCCGTGGTTCCCATGCAGCTAAATTGCTGAAGAAGATTTTGATCTACTAGGTCATTGTCAACATCCATTATGGATTCGTTTCCGAGCTCAGAATTTCCGATCAAAATTCGCTGGAATCCGCGAGGAAATTTGCACTTAGCGAGCACTTAATCACTAGACACGAATTTCAAACAGAGTTACACATTTTAAGTCGATTTCTTTAACATTTTGACGAATTATCGCTGACAAGTAGATGCTAATTTGCGAACTGCATTTGCTGTCAGACAGCCTTCGTGGTTCAGGTTGGGGCTCTGTTTTTCTCTTTTGCCTGAGTTGCCAGATTAACAACAGAATTATGTATAAGGCAGGAAACACAAAGTGAATGAGTTGATAATAAAAAATAGAACGGTAAAAAATCAGACTGGGTCTGCATCTGATAAAAACTAGAGCCAAGTTCACTACACAGTAGATTAAATAATCTTTCAAACCGAGTGAAATCTGAAAAAAAAAAAAAATTGAATACATTAGCCTCAAAAATAACATTTGAATGTGTTTACAATGTGGAAACAACGCAAAGCCCTTTTTACACTAATAATTTTGATGTTCGCGGATTTCGTTTTTCCCCCTTTTTCCTTACTACAGTACTACACTGAAAAAGATGATAACGTCATGATCTTCTTAAATTAATGACAGTTCTTCGCTTTAATTCGCTCGATGACAAATTCCAAAGTTATATTCCAAGTATATATTCATTCAAAATTGGATGGATTCAAAAATGCTGTAAATGCATTTTATTCGTCGTGTAATCACAGCTTTTCATGACTCAAGAACGTCACGTGATTGTTGTCACGACTCCACGCACGAGGTCCGAATTTTCAAAACAAACAAATGGAAATGTCGTACAAGGCGAGTTCTCGCTCCGCGGACTTTATTAATTTGCTCTTTTCAAGCATAAGCTCCCCAACCATTATTTCGACGTTAGCAGTAGCTGTATATGTATGGATAATTTATTTCTACTATTCCCTTTCAAAACATCATCTAGCATGAATATCCGTGATCCTCGGAAATCTTTTTTACGAAGCAATTGCGGTAAGCATACTTCTTGTGTAACGTGTACTAACAGGGGGCTCCGAAATTTATTATCAGACAGACTGAGGGATCACACCCTCATAGACCCACGAGTCCTGTCAGACATTGACAAGCCCAATTCAGGTGGTTCAACTTTTTATCCAACAAAAACGGACGACAGGTTGAAAGTTGAACTAAAAAAGTTTGATTCAGCTTCTGTCGCTGTGTGATATTGTCCTAATACCCAACATTGGCATTGGGGTATTTCTGTTAACTTCTGGTTCATGAAGATATAGGTTCAGCCAATGTTGGTTGGAAGCTTTTGCTACAACTTTCCATCCTATTGAATGGAAAATTGAAGGTGATGTCAGATTTAAACTAGCATTCAACTTTTCATCTGATTGTTGAGTTCTCATTTCAGTATCACACTATCTTTTTATCCAACGATATATTTGAAAAAAATTTAAACAAATAGTTTGTCCCTGTGATCGAGGCTTCAGTTGGAAAAATATGGTTCATTGACAGAGCAGCAAGCTGAATGATCATTGAAAATTTGAAACTATGTTCGGGCAACTAATCAAGAAAAAGACAAAGCCTCATCGTTATACTGCATTTCATTATCTTGTTATGCGGATGGAAAATGTTGGTAATTTGATCTACCAACAACTTGGCAGAATGTACATATCTGCTGGAGCATAGCCAATTCGTTGGAAAATGAAAGAGAACCTAATTATTCTCATTACCAGACTAGCATAAAGTCTCCTATGAGATGTACTAAAACAAGGATTAATTAAGATATTGGATAACCTTTGAGTACTGTCTCTTAGAATATTAATTAAATTATTTCATTCTACAGAGAACTCCCTTAAATAGGGCGACAATTTATTTATTTATTTATTTTATTATTACAAAACAAAATTACAATATAATAATCATTTTAAACTGGCAAGACCCTCCTGCAAGCAATGCTGCTTGTGTGGAGGGCTGCATATAGAGAATAATAACACAGAGGAACCGGCAAAATATTTAACATTAGGTAGCCCTGCCTGGTAGGTAAACTAAACAGACTATAATAAGAGATAAGAGTAATAGTACAATAAACGAAAAAAAATAAACGAACAAAAAATTATTGTTGCAGCGATTAAAATTTTTAACTACCTCCCTCAGTTGTTCTGACTCAAAATAGACTAGCAATCAGATCATGCCAATTGATAACAAGAAAATTGAGTAGTTGTCATTGGAACAGGTAATTTCTTGAAATTCCAGTATTTGACTTATAATGCCAATAAATGCCCTTCTCCTTTTTCAGAAAGTTTTTTTTCATCTTGTATCGCTGCTGATCTTGCTGATTTTGAAAATGCACCAGAAGTGGATACATTTTTGAATGATGTAAACTGTCAACTTCTATCAGTGACTCCGTGTGAAGAAACTCTCAAACTAAGTTTGCGCATTCCTCATTGTGAGGGTGATGATAGTATTTTGGTATTTTTCAAAAAGCAACCTACTCCTGTGACTGAAACTAACCTTCATCAAATCATCCTCATGACCACAATTGTGAAATCTCCTCTTATTGGACTTCATCATACCCTACAGCATGTATTTGCTCCTGCATTACTGGAGGTAGGTTATATAGTTTTAAAGAACAAAATAGTTTCCAGTGGATTGCATCTTGCAGAAAGGAACCAATAGCATTCCAGTGTAGCTAAGATTGTGCAAATGATTTTACCTTGTAAATATGAACACTGATCACCTAAACAAGTTTTATTTTTACTCCCAATAAACTATAAATTCAAGACGAGAGTTACCTTGATCACTTTAAGTAATTTTGTGCACAATTCCAGTAACTTTATTGCAAAGATTGTAAGTTGCACAATCCTAGCAACATTGGAATGTCTTTGGTTCCTTTTTGCAAAATGCAATCCTAGTATCCTTCCCTTTTTTGTATTGCTCACCAAATAGGGTACCTAGAAATTAATTATTAGGTAATATAAACTGACTTTAAAGAATTTACATTAGTTTTAATTACCACATTAAAAGTTACGAGAGATCCAAGTGCCTTGATAAACCACATACTCTAATATTTTTAAGGATTTTAATGTACCTCAAGTACAAGAAATCTTTATCAACCAATCAACAGAGTTTTGAAAGAATTCAATCTCAAAACATCAATTTTTAACGAAACCGTGTATCACCATTGCAATGTTTCAAAGTTTCTGCTCACTACTCTATTTTTCAGAGAGACACAAGCCAACTTTATAGCTTGAACTTTATACCAAATATTCTGCTTACAGATAAATAAAGTCCAGGAAGTTTTCAAGAAATAGTGTTGAATAGTTTTCTAGAGAAAAAAATAACATATGACAGATAGTCTGCAAAGTTGCAAACAGGGACATGTGGTTTACTACACCACACTTTAACCATCGATATCACCTTGTACGGTTCTTTCAACGATTATCACAATGAGTTGTTCAACCGAAAGCTAATGACTAAACTAATTTTGCATGTGAGACCAAATTTATTGAATTCATGCATTAACGCCTCTCTTTGTCCTCATTGTGAGTTTTGCATTGTGATAAAAGTAATGCAACTAAAAACCATCTCTATCATGATAAATAACAATCAAACTATCAAATTTTTTGATGCTCACTCAAAAGATCTGGCTGAATCAGCATGCTGGTGTAACACCAAGACCACAAATTTATAATCATCATTACCTGTTTGTGGCAATTTGAATTTTTTATCCCTTTTTTTCAGGATGAAAAATGGAATCATGAAGTTGATCCTTTACTTCAAACACAAATTAATAATCTCGGGAACACTATCAAACATTTAGTGCTTGGTCATTGCACCTCCAATGACCCAGAGTCAGTTGCAGATATTTTAACTGTTGAAGATGAAGTGTCATTCTGGTTTGCCTTGAAGCAGTCTGGCCAATCTCAAATTCCTGCGAAGAGGATTGAAGCTATCATTCCAGCCTTGGATTCACTAAAGCAAGCCTTGAAAAATTTATCTCTATCTTCATTATTTGATGTTGAAGACCTTTACGAAACAATCCAAAATTCCTTGGATGATCTTTGGAAAGTGAAGTATCCAGCATCAAGAATGAAACACCTCTTTGATGTGGTCGGCAACACATTGTGCACTCTCATCATGAAACATCTTACTGGTGTTGACTTATGGAGTAGCCTCGTGGACGTTACAGATATACTGTCAATTTGCATCGACGTTTGTGAAAAGTTTATTGCCGTTTGCGAGCAACTAACTATGACTTTCTGGCCGCACTACACTGAGCAGGAGTGGTCTTACGGAAGATATATTCCTTCTTACGTTGATGGGTTTTGCGGAAGGTTACAGGAGATTTTCACGTTACGAACAGTTCACTGGCAGCTGAGTCGACTTCTCTCCGCTCAGGAAAGGAGTCAGTTTGTTCAAGGGTTGAGTTTCACACCCTTTACAGGCTTAAATGCGCTTCTGTGGAGTCCGTACTCTCAAGCGTGGAACATGGCAGTCAATGAACATGAGAAAAATTTAGGTAAGGATTATGAAATTGTAGATTGATTAGAAAACTCAGTGTGTCTACAGGTCATATGAAGTCATGTGATATTGTCATATTTTTATTTTGGTCCTATAATTGCATGGGAGTCATATAAAACTGTCATTTTTTTGTTTCATCACTCGATTTTTGATCAAAATTCTTGGTTATTCAAGTGTACTAGATTGCAATATTTTTCAGTCTAACAAAAGATTGTTATTAATTTCCATTTTTTGAAATTATTACCTCTAATCAGCATTGCCAGCGTCCACGCCAATTAAGTTTACGCACTTCTAGACTACGACAGAAGATCGTCTGACATTACTTATACATGTAAAGTAAGTAGAAGAATCAATATGGCGTATCTTTTCTCGCAGTCTAAAAGTACATAAAGTTAGTTGGCGTGAACTCCACAATGGTAGAATGTTTTCCTTACAAGCTATTTTTTAATGGTGATATAGGTTTTTTATTAACTCTGTGGTCATACTTTTTTTTGCAAAAAATGGTCATGTAAGGTCAAATGACATAAGGCCCTATTTTTGTTTTTGGATTCCTGTAAACACCTTCATGAATGCATATACTTTCGAAGCAGAGAAGGGATCTTCCCCCTAAAAGTGGTCACAGATTTGGATATGTTTAGAAAAGTGCCATAAAAAATCTCAGGAAAAATCCAAAAGACACTTTAATTCTTGCCGGATTGATTCATGTGATTTAATTTCTATAATTACTGATAGAGCTGAATTCATGTAACTAATTTTTTCCAGGTCCTGTTAAAGAGTGCGTTGCCCACAAACTGAAAGAACAGTTGCACAGTCTCAATGTCCCAATTCTACAATACTTGCAGGAGTTCAAGCGCTATGAGGTGCTGATCCAATGTGACCTGATTGCTGATACTCTACGCTCAGAAAGAGAGAATCTGCTGGAAATCTTAAAAAGATATATCAATGAGGTAATGAGTTTAAACTTTGATGCAGAAAGCACAAAAAGCATGGCAATGAAAGACGTTGATATGCCGCCCTTGATCGCCAGTATTTATTGGACGAGACAGCAAGAAGAAAAGGTAATCCATGAGTCTTTAGTTTATGACTTGCCACTTTCTAATGTATTTTGAAAAATTAATTCTTTTTTTGTGAAGCTTTGTTGATCCGTGCATACACTTAGAAGCTGTGTTTATGCCATGGTTTAGTCAGCCTGTGTGCAAGCTCGTGGACAATATCAAAGATTTTGCTCGAAAACGGGCCTGTGCAGAGATAATTGGAAAAACTGTTTTGATGGAATAAAATCTCAGCTTTTTCTATTTTGATTTTCTCCGGTATCTTGTGTCCATCCATTAGTTTTTAGCTTGATGAGTCTAAGTACCCATTATTTAGGAAGATCTATGGTCTTCATTTTTAGCTTGACGCCGAAGACTAGAATATTTTCGAGTCAGGAATGATCTGATTCACTCTAATATATCTTCTCCAGCTATTCTCATAAGCTTGTCCATCCTAAAGTGCTACTACTGTTTAAATTCCTGATTTTTCGTGATGCTCTCCAAGACTATGCCTATTCTTAGGAGTCCTGCTCTTATTATTGTTTTAGTAGCATTTGTGTATGCCTTTGAATGATAAAAGAAGGCTATTCAGCAAAAACAAAATGAACATGTTTGAAAACGAAAATCTTCTCAGAAATTTCTATGATGAATTCTTGGATTTTGCGCACTGATGGGAGCCTTATCACTCATACTGTTTTGCCAAACAAATTCTTCAGTAGTTCAGACAGGTCTAGGTTTGAAGCAATACCATAAAAAAAATTAAAAAACAACTAGGAAGAAGTGATAAATTTGAGGAACTATGCTGATTCCATTTTCCTCAGCATCTGTTCTGCAAAATGTACATCCACACAAGGAATAAAGAAAAAAAAGGGTCAAAATTAGCTTATCTTTCTTTGTCCTCCTAGGCACAGTTGGGAGCTAGCTGGTGGACGCAGGCCCTAATCGACAATCCATTCTATTTTAAATAAAATGATAAGACATTTTTATTTCGGAGTATTTATGTTTTAATCAAATTTCTAATATAAGGGCTAGAATTAGGTAATCTTAGGTTTTAGACTAAAGTCCTACTAATTAATATAGAATTTCATACATACCAATCCTCTCTTTGTTTGATAAAATTTGTTATACAAATTTCTTGTGCATAATCCAAAAAAAAAAAAAAAAAAAAAAAAAAGATCAAATTGCTTTAAGTGTGAATTTTCTGAAGTCTATTTTGCATGAAAGTGCAATTTCTTTTTATGAGGAAGATTTTTTTTGTTTTAGGTGATCAGTATCGAATCAACTAGTCATCTTTTACTGAATGATTTACAAGGTTTCAAGGAACTTGAAGAAACTCTTGAGGCCCTCAAAAAGTTGTTAAAAGACTTTCAAACAGAAAAGTTTAATGCCTGGTCAAGGGATACTGTCTCAGAACTTGCAAATAGGAACATTGGGTGAGTAAATTTTATTGATATTCAATGCTAGATTCCCATGCAACTTATTGCGTTGGCCAAAGTGCAGAAGTACCTATCTCCATTGCTATGTTTCAAAGATTCTGCCTCAATTTTGTTTGTTTGAAGAGAAACAAACCAACTTTATGTGTTGAAAATACAGAATTTTTTGCACTTAGAGAGGAAAACCCAAGCAAGTTTTCAAGAAATACCCTTGACTAGTTTTCCAAAAAAAAAAGAAAAAAAAAATTAAGTATGACAGGAAGTCTGCATCATTAAGTATTGTTGGTATTACCACTGAAAGCAAAATGCTTTCATGATCAATTTTTAATCGTTTCACATGTCTACTTAAATTTGTGATTTTTCAAAACATATGGACTCTATGCAAAATTTGCATGAGGCTTTGCCAATGGATGTACCAAATACAAGTAGTTTTGCAATAAAGAATCAAGTATGTAATCTCAATATTGAGACTGTCTGACATCCATTTTGCTTTTATAAAACTAAGAGCATGCAGAGAAATTCAGTATAGTAACAATATTCTCTTTAATCAGTTTGCTACTGGCTTAATCATTTTACAAAAGTATTGGGAGAAAAAGTAATCGGAAATTTTTGGAACTCCCCACTTTTTGCTGGGGGAAAACTTTCATTTTTTAATCAGTTTTATTGAAGCTGCTAGATGCGTATTATCTTGTCTCTAAAATTGCACCAATCATAATATGCTTGCTTTGGCATCGGATATGATACAAATGTGGATGGCAGTGATTATCTCATCACAGTATTGATGTTTTAAACACTCAAGTTATAAAATTTTCACTTGCTCATTCTGTATAATAATACCTTCTCTAAATTGAACTTTCAGTCTAAGCACAAATGAACCCGTCGTACACTTTGAACAAAATAAGCTCATGAAAGTGAGCTACAGCCCTGAATTGATCAGGTTCATTCGAGAAGTGCAACAACTTCGAGTTCTTGGTTATCATATTCCTGATAAAATTCAAGAAGCGGCAGATCTTGGCAAAAAATTTAAATCTCAAGCAATGACATTAGAGCAAGTATGTAACGAAACTGATGGCTGCACTTTTTTTGGCACTCCAAAATTTTCACATTCCAGCTGAGATAAGCTGAGTGTGCATTTTTTATTTTTGATGAAATCAACCCTACTAAGTGGGATAATATACATTGATTCAAATCTTATTTTGCTCATCACTGTGCACCAAAAATTATGAGTCCTAAGTGATTCCACTTCCAATTTTAATTTAATGATGCTTGTACAATTAATTTTGAATCATCAGTAATTGTAAATACATTGCCAACATTCTCAGGTTTGTACATTTTGTCTCCATGGTACAAATGGTATATGAATTTTTTTTAAGAATTTGTTTGTTTGTTACGTGTATTGCACTTTAAAGGATGGACTTTTTCATATGACTTAAATAGACTCCAGTAAGACCTCAAATTATCGGATCGCGATTTAACAGATCGATCCTCCGGTCCTTTCGGCGGAACCCACTAGCACGATTTAATGGATTCCCTGATTCAACCGATTTAGCCTCAGGTCCGATGAAATCCAATAAATCGAGGCCATACTGTAGTTCCACTCAGGTTACCAGATGAGCCCTTTCTTACGAACTCTCTTTAAAAGCCGAAAGACCGAGTTACCTGATTTACAGTTACTTTCTGCTTGTTGATTACTATCTTTGTGTATACTCTTGGTACCAGAAAATATTATTTTGAATTTTAACCTCCAACCGAGTTTTTTAATCTTAAAGATAAATATTTCCTATGCGGTGGTAAGGAATTGCATTTTGGTGTCACCAAAGAACACTGCCTTGAATAAAATACTGAGTTCAAAATAATTTAGTTCCCACTGCATAGAGCTTTTTCTAGGTCCTTTGTTCAAAAAGGTAAGATACTATTGATGAATACATTCTTTTTAACATCTAATGAAATACCAGTTCCTTTTCTCTCGGAGCAGATAATAGACCCATTTAAGGTCTGGACTGATTTAAAGAGAGTTGAAAGATTCAAAATTTATCGAAGAGTGTATTTTTAGATCTTGTTTGGGTTAGGAGATATGACACCAAGGATGAGTTATCTTATAAACCTATAAAAGGCGGGTGCATTTTTTCTTTGGGCAAGTTCTCTCAGTTTAAAGGAAGGGTATTTAATATCAAACTTCATAGAACCATAAGTGATGATTTTGCAGAATCCAACCCTAATGCAAGGCCTCAACTCATTTACATAGGATCAAACTACTTCGTGGATCCACTAGAATTTATTCTTTACTTTGCAGTGTGCAACATTCCACAACACAATTGGTGATCGCATGATTCCGTCTCAAAGGCCCATGATGCTCACCGCTGCAGTGGAATTGGCTAGACTAGTTCAGAGTCAGAATAATGTTACATGGTCAGATATCACATCTGTTGATTCGTACATTGCAAAACTCCAGGCAGCAGTTCAGACCCTAGCATTGCAGAATGATACTCTGGTGTCTCATCATCAAAAGTTAACTGAAAAGGCAAGGAAATTTGTTTTAATAATTTGTATCTTCCTTTTTATTTGACCTGGCAAACTAAGGGTTTTCAAGAAATCTCCTAGCAATAGGAAATCACGGTACGGCATGAACTTTCCCTTGCCCTCCTAAGAGTATGATCTGAAAAGTTTTCATACAAATTTTTTGTAATGTCTGCTGAGAAAATTAAAGGAGGAACAAATATTTTGAAGTATGGTAATGGAAATACATGCTTTCATAGCTTCTTGATTAATATTTTTTATCCAGAAGTGTGGTAAAAATTTTCTCTCCTAAGTCACCTGAGATTCTAAAATTTACTTTCCTATCTCGCTCTCATTTTCAGCAAAGGACCCTGCACACCTCTTATGGGAAGCTGCACTGTGAAGAATTGCCTTCTGACTTATGTCATTCGATTCTCCTCAAGATGCTGATCAAAAGTTTTAATTGCGCCAACTTTCTACGATGTACCGTTTTCGCAAAAAACCTATGAGAAGATTCAATTATTTGGCGACTATGAATAAAAAAGAACCAAGCATTTGAGAACAGGCCCGATGTGAGTAAGAAAAAAACGTAGCCTGTGTCCGTCTGCTTATCTGTACCTGCCGACTCAGGGGCTATCTCCCTCCCGCACTTGCCCGGTAGACGTTCAGACTTTCCTGTTCTTATGCTCCTCAAGAATCTGATTTGGATGGTGGTCGAACAAAACGGCGTGCGGAATCCGAGATAAGACTGCCACTCGGTGCGGGAGTCCCCATGATTTCCTTGTTGACACACAGCCGCCTGTCAATCGAGCACTGAAATGAGGAATCTCTCTGGCTTTTAATCACCGAATAATTGAATCTTCTCCTAGGTTTTTTGCGAAAACGGTGCATCATAGAAAGTTGGCGCAATTATAACTTTTGATCAGCATCTTGAGGAGGATCGAATGACATAAGTCAGAAGGCAATTCTTCATGGTGCAGCTTCCCATAAGAGGTGTGCGGGGTCCTTTGACAAGAACATATGCGCTGACTAAAAATTAACTGAGGTTTCAGCGCCTTCAAACTACGTAGAAAGTCAACAAATAGCTCTAAGATAGATCTAATAGATTAATACAAGTAGGACCCAGAGCAAACTGGACAACCTGTGCATGGTCAAGTTAAACTAAGAAAAGTTAACTTTTTCCTCTATCCGCCCGTCAATCAAAGGAGATCCCTTTTGAACCAACAAAATTTAATGCGATTTTAATTTCTCTTTAATTCGATATTCCTTTAGCAACTGTCATAATAAGCTGTACAAATAGCACTCAATGTGCTGGTTTTAGCAAATTCACAATGAAAAGTGATTTCATTCAGTACTTTAATACCCTTCTTTGCATGGAGATATGACATCATTGCCATGTCTATAAAAGGGAATTCCTAAATCATACATTAACTGTTGTATTACTTCTGCAAGAGAGAGATCTCCTTGATCATTATCTGTCATTGCTGCAACATCTCTACTTCGCCATGCTAAGGACGCTGCATAAATCCTCAGGCGTTGCCAAGTTTCTTTTGGTAAAGTAGGACTTTATTTGGAAAGTTGTAAATCTTTTTCTTCCAGTATTTCTGACACTTTTTTCGGCAATTCAATCTAAATATCTTGAAATTTCGTGGGAAAATCTGCACAACTTTCATCCAAAATAAATTTTTTATCAGGATCAATTTGGCAACATTCGACTGTTAATTTAGCGGTTTTTTTTCAGCATGACAGTACTAAAACACATGCACAAAGTTGTTAAAGTCACTATCTAGTCTCAGTTTTCTCAAGATCATCATATGTAAGTTCTGGTGTAAAAGCTGCGCAAGCCTGAATAGTTGTAAAGTATGTCATATGAAATGAAGAATAAAATTCAAGTGGCCCTGAATTCTGACTTTTAAAATTGAGAACCTAATTTTGTGCGATCGCCATCAAACATTGTCATTTCGTCCTCAGGTAATTTTTTTAATGGATACTGACCTAATTCGCGAATTGCCTAAGTGGAGAGAAACTGTGTCAGAAATGCGGAACATTATCAAAGAAGTTGAAGCCACATTTACAAATACATCTTCTTGGAAATCTCATTGGAATCATCAACTTTACAAAGCCTTGGAGCTTCAGTATCGAGTAGGCTTGGAGCATCTGAATCACCACTTGCCGGAAATGAAAATAGAGGTTTGAATCGTCTTCATTCAAGTTCACTCAGTATTATGATCTTTTTTCCATAAGACTATATAAATTTTTCCCTTTAAAGGAAAATTATCTGGAAAGAAATGGCATAATTAGGTATGTAATACTTTTTCAAAAATGCAATGAGGCAAAATAGGTTTATTTATTTTCTTAGGTCAGACAGTCGATTTCGAGGTGTTTTTTTTCTTTGCAACAGGTATCTTTCACATTCTTATTTATTTATTGTGAGTACAATTGAAGGAAGATATACTTATACCCCTTTCTTGATGTTTTCAAGAATGGAGTGTGAACAAAACGGATCCAATTTGTTCTTGGAAAACACCTTTGAGATTTGACACAAGTAGTCATCAACGCAAGACAGTTTAAGTTATTGCCAGGTAATTTTTTGCCGTTAAGTTTTTTTATATCTCTCGGTACACCAGAAAAACTCGAAACGTAGAAACTTTTAGAAAAAAAGGGTCAGAAATCGGCTACTTCCCAAAAAGTGATTTTTATGTTTTGTAACTTTTTCACAACTGTCAAATTTGCCGTGAAATATTATTCGTAAGTTGTTTCGCAATTTGTTATTAGTTTATGATAATTAATTCTTACAGGTAGTGTTTCGTCAACAGAAACTTCAGTTCAACCCCTCAGTTGAAGAAATTCGTGCAAAGTATTACTCTCAGTTGAAGAAATTTTTAGCCATTCCTCTCAATTTCAGAGGGGTCTCTGATACAGGCCTTTTCCAAATTATGGTAGAGAGGTAAAGTATGATTACATATCTGTTTCACAGTATCCTTCTTTTTTGTATCTTCTGCACACACTCGTCAACATTCTGTTCATTATTTAAAATAAAGAATCATTTAAACTACATTTTGCAAACAGGAACTGCAGTTTTTGGCTCATCCGTAGAAACACTTATGTGCATAGGAAAACTATAATACTACAATAACTGTTGTGTATAATACTGTTTTTTATAAACTGGGCCAAGAATCCTAGTTCCTGATTGAAAAATGTAGTCCATTACTCAATGAGTGGGTAAAACTCACAAAATCAACCTAACTGCATTTCATGTTGCCAAATTTTCTCTCCTTTTTTTTAAAAATGAAAATTAAACAAATCAATGCTTTAACACTCGGTGAATTTCCCCAAGGTTATGAAGAATATACTCACAAAATATCAATTTGCAGTGTTGTTAAGTCATCTATTTTGTAAAATAAAACATCAGAAAAAATTAGGCAACGTCTAGTGCAGTCAGGCTGATTTCAGTCAAATCCGTCCTAATGGTCTTTTCCAAATATTTTGCCCACATAATAGTTTTCCAAATGTTTATTTTTTACATTATTGTACAGGAGCTCTTACAATGAAAAAAACTATGCATTAGATAGACTTTAGAGATGACTTAAATAGATTAAGATCGACATAAAGATATTGAGGGTGGTAGTACTTTTCTTGATTTTACAGAAACTGAATCCTTTAATTCTTTTGTTCTGCAGAAATGCTCCAAGGTTCCTTCAAGCATTTGATACTGCTGAAACCCTGTTCACCAAACTTTTCGGGGTCCTGGATGACTGGTTGGAACATGTTGCTTTGGGCTCCGTGGATTTAGAGCAGCTGGTTGCGCAAAGCCTTCATGTTGCTGAAGACTGGGACAATAATTTTAAGAGCTCAAAAGCTTGGGGTCAAGAGATGTCTCATCTCATCAGGTAAGTCAGTTTAATATCGAATCGGTGACAGTTGAATTCCAAATCAGCATCTAGTATGAAAAAATAGTGTATTTGCGTCGGAAAAAACACCAAAATAATCTCTCTTTGGAAAGTGTTTCATGACTTTCATGTGTCCACAAGAAGGAAGGAAGTAGGGACCACACGGCTAAGAACTGCATTGTAAGCAGATAAAAAATAAAGCAATTATTCATGCTCCAAAATCAAGTGCTATGAGTGTCTTTTATTTTTCCCCAAAAAGGTTAAAGTTTCAGTGTATTTTCCGAAGAAAATGCACTATTTTTCTTTCTCTTGCAGGTTTCTCAATATTGTTTCTGTTCATTATTTGTGGTGAATGGGCAGATAAGTCGGTAAGGTTTCTCATATCCAAATTCGAAGAGGATCAATTATTTATGAGATTTAGTGACTTCTAAAATCTTTTAAGGCATCACTTTTTCAAACCTCCGGAAGCGTTTTACCCCTGAATATTCCTCTGTGTATTATTTTATACTGAGGAACAGGATTTTGAAAATCCATCTTTGATTCCTTTTATTTTTACGAAAAATATTTTCAAAGCAGTTCTGTCTAAATACCAAGAAGTCCGTCTTCAATTGAGATTTTTGCTTCTTGGTTCCAAGCTTAACCACTTGGATGCTAAAGCGACCCTAAATCAGAAAGGAATTTTTGTGTTTTGTTGAATACCTCTTTTTTGCTTTGGAAATGGAGATGCGATAAGTCTACTGATGAGGCTTTCGTTCCTCTTCTCTAATATATCAATCCTATTTTTTATTTCCTGTTAGCAAAGTTTAGAATGCACTATAACATCCATAAGTGACAGCTAAAGCAGTGGAATTCCATGTTCTATTCTGTTCTATTCCACTTCACTTGTAACCTACTTTACTATTTCTATTTCAGTTGCGACAAGAAATTTGAGTGCTTTACAGTAAGTTGTGCACCTGTTTTATCAGAAATAGAATTGCACAATCGCCGGTTTTGGGATGTTTTAACAGTGTCACTTCAGTCTTCCATTCTTCGAGATGTTGCCCTGGTTGAAAGTTTCATCTCGGAGTCTCGCCTTCTTTTAGAAAAGCAGCCTCAATCTTTACTTGAAATAGGAGACGCCAATGCCTCCTATGTGAAAATTATGAACTCATCCAAGGAGGTAAGAATATTATTTTGTCTTCTAATAATTCTATTTATTCTAGTAATTCTAGAATAAGAAGAGATATATCTTTCAGTCACTTATTACAGATCTCTTGTTTTTTTTTGAGTCCACGCCAAAAAATGTACGCAATTTTTGAACTGCAACAAAAGATTGTCTAATGTCAGTTCAGCATTGACAGTAAATCTGTGATCCGTGCAAGAAACTCAAGTTTGAAAATTTGGTCACTACAACTCATTTTGATAGTAGGTATAACAGTAAAATACATAATCTAGAATGAACAAGAAGCTGTCTCTGAGACCCCTCTGTTAAAGTACTGTTTCCAATTACTGTGAAACACACCAGCACTAGTATGCCTCGTTTCATTATCCTACCATGAAGTCATTGAATCTTTCTAGTAATTTATTACTCAAAGTTTCAACGGCGTTTTCCTTTAATATTTCATATCTCGAAACAATTTATGCCTTTTTTGTTTTTCATGCCCAGATGGCAAAACTTGTGGTTGAAATAGAGAAAAAGAACAATGTTCTATCAAGCTGGACAAAGGATCGAATGGAGCAAGTTGCAGACTTGAAAATTTCATGGGATAATTTTGAGTCCATATTGAGCAATCAGCAGTTTGTCTTAAATCAACAGGTATGTAGGTTTTTTAGACAAACTTCTGAAATCAGAAACAAGTAGATAGATCAACCTTTATTATCTACCAGCTAAAAGTTGCTGATTGGCTAGATGGTGCAGTCTAGGATCCAAGAGAAATTGTTAAAAAGGGAATTTTCCCTTTCTTTCCTCACAATGTTTCAATTTTTTTTAGCCAGTTTCGCGAAGTTATCATAAAAAATGGAGGGGGTCCCGGGTCACTCATTTATTTGTGGGATAAAGACTTCTCTATAAGTTTTCAAACATACTAATAACTTGCAACTCCGTCATTTGAGAAAGCACCAGAAGTCACACCTGTAATTCCATGAGAAAGAAGGAAAAAAGCTCAGAAAGGGTTTTTGACTTTCTCATGGATAATGGAGGCGCTGAAATTATAGAAGCGAATTGATCATATGATAACTTCAACAATAGAATGTGTTCTAAGCAGGCAAGAGATCGCTTCACAGATGAAAAAACTGATTTTGAATCAAAACCTGACAATTTTTGAGCAATTCTTCTTTTAACAATTTTTTTTAGTAAGGAGTTTTTTACTCCCTTTAAGTACTAACATTTCTCTACTTTTCGTTTTTCAACTGTTACTTATACTCACATCAATGTTCCATTATCAGGTAGAAAACATGAAAAATCACCTATCCACACTCTCTGAGAATCTGAAAAGTGATTTTGAGAAATTTGCTCTGCGCTGGGAGCAACTGCGTCCGAAAGAAGCAGATGCCCTTGACATGAGTGGGTCTGTACTTCAGACCAACCTTACCATATTGAAAGAAAAAAGGGAAGAATGGAATCTGTTATGTGAAACGTTGGAAAGTATCAGGTGAGGATTATTTGGTTTTTATCGATCTCAAAAAATTTTATTTTACAAAACCTCTGCCATTAGGAGGAAAATGAGTGCTCCAAAGTGTCTACAAATCCAAGTTCTCAGAGTTTCTCTTCTACACCTATATTAATGCCAGATATTTATTGAGTCAATTTCAAAATAGTTTTCATGCTTTCCCAGTATACCTTGATTATCAATTGAATTGTGACGGCAGTCCGGGTTGGATACCAAAAACGCCAGATAAGCATAAGTATATGAAACCAAATTAAATGTGTTTAGAAAACGAAGAAAAACAAGTAAAAAAATATGTTCTCTAGTTGCCCCCGACAAGGGATGAGCAGATAATCAAGGTACTGTACCTCAATTTTTTTTTAAATTCAATATACAGTCATGTTTAGCAACAACAAGTTACTTTTCTTTTTTTACAGTAGACAGCTTTGTTTTTCTTGTTTTCTACCAGCTGCTCGCTTTGTCTTCTTGTCATGGATATTTCATACTGAACATGTTTCACACCATCGAATGTGGTTGTTTTCTTTCCAGACAAGATTATGTAAAATTCACCATGGACCCGCCAGATTTTCCTGCTTTTGAAATGGTAGGATCAGATTTAAAACGTCATGAAGATATTTGGGCATTGTATGAACAGTTCGCCTCGTGTAAGTTGTTTAAGCATTATCCCATTACTTAGACTCTACTGCTAGGCCCAGTCTTGTGACTTGAATCTTATTGGTTTAATTATGAAAATTTTGTGTGGACTCAAATTAGTGACACGTTTTATGTTAATTTATGAACAGTACATATGCTCTGGTGAAGCATACTTCTAAAAATTACAGAATTCAGTGGCTATATTTTTTGTTTTTACAAAAGTGGATCACTGCCTAAAGTCTAATGAATAAACTTTGGTTCAATGTTTTTACAGATGATTTGGGTAAAGAGTCTGACAATCAAGGGAAAAAGATTAAGGCCAAAGGTCATGTTAGTAACTCTGATTTATTGGAATTCAATACAAATGATACAAAATGGGAATTATTAAATCCCAAAATCATTCGGTAAAATGTATTTTTCATCATGTGTCAAAATCTGCTATAAGTCAAATGTTTTCATAATGACTATGATCACTTGGGCACAATCTGTATGCAATGAGAAGTGCTGTTTTGCATAGAACTAGTTATAACCTCTCAGGCTGGCAAAAATTTTTGTCTCTAGAATATATTTTTCTAGAAAAAATGGGGTTCAGACAAATATATTTTGACACAATTCTTGAATAATGTAAAATACTTAATCAGCAACAATTTTTAATGCGCTAAAATAAGTTCTGAGAAAATGATGAGGGGTCACAATATATTTTCCTTCCTAATCATTGAATGTTGCTGTAGCACTGGAAGAAATTGGGAAAGAAGACTGGATTGTCATGAGAAACAAAGTAGTCAAGAGAATGGATGACTTTGTGTCAAGCTGGAATGAGAAACTGACCCAATCACAAGCAACTCCATTGATAGCACGTCTTCTTCAAGAGATAGAAAAGTACAAGGTCTGACTTATTCACTATTTTATGCTCAACTCTTCAATTGTAGCCAAGATCAATCCACACAGGTCAGTCATTGCGCAGCTTCTTTGAAATCCACTCCCCCGCCTGGCCCTAACTCGCAGCACTCAATGCTACGTCACAATGGGTGCTCCCATAAGAAATACATTGCAGGCACTCAATACTGCATCACTGCGCAGTAGAGTACCAAAACTCGTCCTCAGGAATGACTGACCTGTGTGGATTGATCTTGATTGTAGCATTCATTTAAAAAACTTAGATTTTATTGGCCAACTTTTGAGTCGCTATTTAACGAAGCTCCTTCTCAGGATTAGTTTGGCATCAAAAACTCAAGTTGAAGAGAGAATTCGTTTCGAAACTTTTCCAAATGTTTCAATTAAACGTTTTAATTAAAGTAGATAAAGAAATTACTACCAAAAATGTTGAATCGGAATATTAGGTACGTCATCAAGATGCAGTTGAATATGTATTAATTTTATGAATTTAAGTCTTTGTTCTTACTTGTTTTTTTTGTTAGGCATTCATCCCATGCTTGAGGTTTTTAAGAGGTGATATGTTTAGTGAAAAGCACTGGGTGGAACTGTTTTCAATAATTGAGCAGCCGTACAAGCCTGTGGAGCTCATTGTTTTTAATGACTTTCTCCAACATAAAGAAATCGTCCAAGACCGCCTCTCTTTAATTCAGGTATTTTTCCAAATTATAAAAGTGCTATGATATCTCAAACTGCATTCAGCAGAAAGTCATCACCAGTCAATATTATGTTTAGCTGCAACTCATCTATTCAGCTAGTCCTTCATTTAATTTTTTCCTCCTCTCAAAAATGACTTACAGGACATCAGATTCTCATGCATTTTTCAACTGGAATTCCTTTAGCGCTTGCAGAACAGCAAAGTCGTTTTATTTTTAATTTGACCTGATGCAGACAGTATGTAGTGTGATTGTCGAAAGGTGATTCAGACAATATGTAGTGTGATTGTCGAAAGGTGATTCAGACAGTATGTAGTGTGATTGTCGAAAGGTGATTCACACAGTTGAACCCCTTTTTTTCCAGATTTACTCCATCCTCCATTTGTTTTCTCATTATATGCCTCAAAATCTAATATATCCTGAGATTTTCTCTCTCTTCCAATATTATATCTCTCCTATCACTCTCAAAGGTTGTATCCCCTCTCCACTCCCTTTGACAGTCGATCATTCCAACTGCCATCAAACAACCAATTGAGGCGGCTCCAGACGCTGAAATGAAGACCATGATATTAATGAAATCAAGCAAGTGAACAAATAAATCTAGCATATAGTCCATATCGATGGTGAAACCACAGAAATCTGTATCTCGGTTTGCAGTGTCGCATATTTTCTGTCATACTTTATTTTCTACATGGAAAACGGAACGTTATTTTTAAAAAATTTCAGTGATGTCTCTTCTCTTTATGAAGAATATTCTGTGAAAACTACAAGCCATGATATTGGTTTGGTCTCCTCTTGAAAATTAAAATAGGAGCAGAGACTTCGAAACACCGCAATCGAGATATGCATTTTTGAAGTTTCATTATCAATATGTCATAACCATTGGTTTAATGGCCACAATTTCTTTTTTTTCCAGATTATTTTTATGCTTAAAATTAAAAAATTTAATTGTAACTCAGGTAGGGCTGTGCGAATAGTGAATTTTCCGAATGAAGCGAATAGCTAATAATTTCGGCAACTATTCGAGAATAGCGAAGGGAATAGCGAATAATTTAAGTCAATAATTTACAGCTACGAATAGTACAACGAATAATTTGAAATGACTTCTTTAAGTGTGAAAATTCGCGAATATTACAAAAGTCGACAAAAAAGTGTGATTAATTTTTTTAAGAATTTTCCATTTGCTCATTCACGTGCACAGTAAACAATGAAGTGCTATGATAGTAGCCTAGGCTGTTAAGAATGTGTTTGAAGATTCCTGGATGCTGGCTTGACTGTCCCTGCAGTTACGTATGCATTCCCAGGATTTGAAGGTAACTGCGCAGGCAGTCAAGCTAGTATAGAAGGATCACCAGACACATTTTAGTATTTTATTTTTTTTTGGTGTAAATGAAAATGTGTTTATGAACTTTTTTTTTCTATTTTAGACATTTCTGTGTCTTTCAATCCTTAATTTGGGCTCTTTGCTAATTCCCCCAATCGCAATCGCGCTCGCTGTTCGTAAACTCGGCAAAGTCAGTAAAGATCAAAGGAGATCCGCCGTTTGCGATGTCTCAGATGGAAGCAGAAGCCTTGAGCAGGTCCTAGCAACGTTTCACAACTGCCACTCGGAAATTCGTCATTTTTGATGGCACGAATATTTGAAAATGTCAGTTCAAAAATTCACTATTCGCGACGGCTCGATCATTCCCAATTTGCGAATAGTGCGCGAGGCAGACGAATCGAATATTCGCGACGCGAATAGTCGGAATTGCGAATATTCGCACAGCCCTAAACTCAGGCAATTAAGAGAGGGGAAACCCTTTACTGCAGCCAATGATTGTTCTGTCACTATCTCTGTGTGTCTCTATTTTTTTCTCAGGAGCTAAATACTCGAGCAGCCAATGAAATAGTTCTCAGACAAGCATTTTCAGAACTGGAAATCTGGGAGGTCGAAGCAAAATTTACCATGATGAACCATGTTGACTCAGCAAAATGTAATATATCGCTCATTAAAGACTTCAAAACTGTAATGAGCAAGGTATAAACTTTATAATATACACATTTAATTAGCTCCATTAATTTCAGTGTGTCTTGTGAGTCTCACCAGAAAGTAACCAGGAAGTAATCAAGTAATCAAGAATCTATTGATGCATACTGATGGCTAAAATGGGAAACCATGCATCTCTGTCTGCAATGTTGCAGACTTCCTGTCATTTCTTTTTTCTGCCAAAAACTAGTCAACGTAAATTCTTAAAAACTGCCTTAATTTTTCATCTCTGTCAAAAGAATATTCAGTATAAATTTTAAGCGATGAAGTTGACTTATTTCCCTTCGAAAAAATGTAACAGGAACGGAAATTTTTAAACACCGCAATATAGATTCAGGATTTTGTGCTTTGGTCTTTGATATATTGCATAAATACTAGCAATTCTTAAATGTAACTATTCGATTCTTTCATATTCGAAATATATATCTAAGATGGTATTGTATTATTTTGAGCAGTCAGAAGTAGATAGGTCGAATAGCATTGCATTTTTGCAGAATTTCACCTTGCAAATTTTTTCTCTCTTCATTATTACATTAATTACGTATCAAATTTAAAATTTTGGCGAATTTTCATGGAGCTACAAAAAAGAAATCCTTAAGAAATTCTGAAAGAAAATTTGCTATCAACTTAGGTGAATGAATGAATTATAAAGATTTGTTTAATTAATTCAGTTTTTTTTAAAAAAAAAATCAGAATTTAAAAGTCATTTTTCCATCTCTTCTGTTTCTATCAGGTTGGAGATAATCAATGTCTCCTGCAATCAATTAAAAGCTGCCCCAATCATGAGCATTTTTTGGATCGTGCTAGCCTCTGGGAGACTAAAATGTATGATTTGGATCTATTTTTAAGACATTTAAGTCAAATTCAGCGCAAGTAAGTGTTGCACACTTTCAAATTCAGTTGTCTGTATCCATATCAATAATTTCCCAAAAATTTAATTTTAAATTATTCACTTTAACGAACACAAAATTGTTTCCAAGATCAGATAGAGACATATTTAAAACTCAATTTTCCCTTTGAAGTAAGATCGCCTTTTCTATGCATGCAAATTAATAAAATTTAAACAATCATCAAAAGGTAGACAATATCAAATACAAACATGGAGACATCTGTAGATATAAATATGTTGTAACCACAACACAAAAAATTCAATATTTTTGGAACAAATAAGGGTGCCACTAGAAAGATCAGATTGGTATCGGCTAATCTGTATTTGTTGGCAAAAAATTAAATCTGTGAACATTTGAATGGATCCTGTAATATCTACTCTCAACACTGCTGTCTTGCATGTGTACTTTTTGTTTGGGACCTCTCAACTTGGAAAGTCGTAGCAGATTTTGGGAGCAACCTCCTGTAGTTGTAGAAACCAGAGTGGAAGGTATCTCTGAGGGATCTGCTGCAGGATTCTGGCCGATGTCACGGATTCTACTAGTTTGAGCTTCGAGTGCACCTTTTGTTTGGAGTCCTGAACACGGAGTATACATGCTAGACAACAGTGTCAAGCGAGGATACTACAATCCTTTGAAACGAGATTGCTCTCTGTAAAATGTCCTGTAGTGTTAATTTTTCAGCAGTAATTACTTTTTCTTTTGCAGATGGTTGTATCTGGAACCAATTTTCGGGAGTAGTTCTCTGGATGTAGAGCGAGGGCGTTTCGAAAGAGTCGATCGAGACTTCAGGTTTGTCCTGAGCGACCTCATTGCTGGCGGCTGTCGAGTCATAACACTAACTCGGATCAACAATATTCGAAATATTCTGGATACGTTGTTATCCTTGTTAAATTCTTGTCAAAACAGTCTCAATCAATTTTTGGAGGTACGAGATATCCTAATTTGGCAAAATATGTGTGTTTACAATATTTTTAAAATAACTCATCCGAACATTTTTATTTGCCTCCTAGAGTTGAGTCAAAAAAACAAATACATTTTTTCAGATACCTCTTTCAGTAAATAGCCAAAAAAGTTAATTAGTAGACGATAGAGAAGGAGTGCCTTGTCCAATAAAGGCAAGTGTTGTCGTGAGTCTGCTTAATAGTGTTGAATCGGTCAGTTCGATAAGAACCTATCTCCTTCTCCTAAACGAGTATTTCCCATACTTTCTCCCTCTCTTTTACATTCAGTTTTTGACAATCTGTCATCTTCAAAAAGCACTTCTGAGAGCTCAAAGATTATTTTTGGCAAAAAAAAAAAAAAAAAAAAAAAAAAAAAAAAAAAAAAAAAAAAAAAAAAAAATCAAAATTAGTATGATCTACTATTCTTTAGAAAGGATTGAAAGAAAACTTTAAAAAGAAGAAATAATGTAGGTCCTTTTTAGATAGATCGCTTCCATTCTCTTTGTTCCCATTATTGGGTCCACAAGTCAATCACTTATCGTGTTGGCAGGTGCCATTATTGGACAATATTTGCACAGAATGTGCATCTTTTCTAGTTTTTAAAATCAGCAAATCTAGGGTCCAGATGCTTCCAGTTAATTTATTTTTTTGCTTTATCCAGAAAAAACGATCACTTTTCCCGAGGTTTTACTTCCTGAGTGATGAAGACCTCCTCGAAATTTTGGGGCAGTCGAACAAACCGCAAGTGGTTCAGCTCCATTTGAAAAAATTGTTTGCAGGAATTCACAGTGTCAAGTTCAATACTGAAAGTACACAAATCCTGAGTATGGTTTCTGCTGAAGGTGAAATCGTCAATCTTTTAACTCCTGTTACTGTTACTTCGAAAATTGAAGTAAGTCAAAGGAGTCTTGTCAATTTCTTGTTTAAGTCTTTTTTATTCTCATCTTGAGTATTATGAATGTGCAAAAAAAATTTGTTCCTTTTTTTTTAAATACTTATTTTTAAAGATAGGGAAAAGTTAATGTGTGAATTTCTGATCATAGAATATGAGTCCATGCAAAATTGTAAAGTTATGTTGTAACTCTCTTTAAACACAACCTCTAAGTGAAGGAGGATACTTGTTCCAGTGCCAAAATCAATCTGTACTCTTCGCTATTTTCCGTAACATGGTAGATCTAACAATGAATTTTGATCTCAACTTGATGATTTTTAAAGGCCAGATTTATATTTTCTATTTAAACCATGAAGATTGTAAAATGTTCATCAAAATTATGCACTGTACAAAATTGTAGGAAATTGCCATCAGTATTGGTGCATTGCTAGTCTTCAAAGGTATAAACAGTGTCCTCCTCCAGAAAATATTGATGACCAAATAACAACGCGAGACATCTAGACCAGTGTAGCCTTCACAGAACATTCATAGCTTGCCACTCTTTGGGGAATGACATGGACAAAGCGTATTAAATCATGACGGCATATATTTTCTGCATTTTTCATTCTAACTTGAGAAAATTTTTATAGGAATGGTTGAAAAAGCTGGTAGAGGAAATGCAAAGAACATTAAAGGAGTTGATCATTTCCTGTTTAAGAAGTCCTGATCCTTCAAGTTATCCATCTCAAGTACTATGTTTGGCAGAAAGCGTTTCATTCACACGTCAGTGTGAGGATGCAATCGCTAAAGGAACATTGTCTACTCTACACTCAGCTTTGAAAGTAATCTTCCTAAATGTCATGTATTTTACCTGATTCTGCCGGGCCCTCCATCCCTCTCTTGAACATTACGTCAAAGCCAAGCTCAATCAAATGTATTTAGAATTGCCGCTCTGCCTGTATCAAGGAACCCCAATAAAATATTTTCACAGAAATTTGCATGTATCAAGTAGTCTTTGACTGCAGGTAGCAGAATATGTCTGACTGATTTTCAAAATATGCTGCTTGTTTTAAAGCTCAGAGTATGTATAACATATACTTTTATACTTATTTAACTCATCTTTAGCTGATCTTTAACAGTTCAGCAGATATACAGTCGGGAACATTTTTGGATGACCCTCATAATAAATTTTATTTAATGCTTTGCTTGTAGCTCGACTTAACAATGGTAAAACCAAGATGGATGAAATTCTGGTATGCATAAAACTGTGGTGGATGACGTCATACGCTTTGTTTTTAAGGACAATATCTGCATCAGTATTGAATATGAAAACACAGTGTTTGAACGGAGCTTATTATTTTTGGCGGATCTATAATCTGCAATCATCATGAGACAATTCTGTAACTAACACAACTAATCCTTACACTAAAAGTAGCTCTCCTTCTCTTGAAAAAAAGAAGTGCCAGTATCAATTGCTAGTCAGCGTGAGGATTTCAAAGTTTATTCAATTTGTAACCATCATGTTGTGAATTTGCAAAATTTTTGCTCCAGAACCAGCTAGAGAAGCATACCAGTGTGAAAGTGGAATCTCACGTGATGGAGTTGAAACTAAAAGCCCTAGTCATGGACACAATCCACCATTTAAGAATCATTTCAGAGTTGGTAGAGGCCTCAGTCTCTTCTCTCAAGGATTGGAAGTGGCAAAATAAACTTCGGTATTTCGTTGATTTTTCCTCTCAATATGAGTAATTTTGAATGAATTTTTGCTTGAAGACAAAGACAAGTTTTCATGAAATATGAAGACCATGGAAGAGACATAGGTTGATTTTCTGGTCACAAATCATTTTTTCTTTGGAAGAAAACGTCATGGCCTAGAGTAAATTCGATGAATGGTTTTATGCTATTTGACCGATGTTATTTCACTTTGTCCAGCCTTTTTGAGATTTTTGGTAAAGCATACAAAAATATTGGTAAAACAATATACAGCCACAAAGTGAATTTGCTCTCTGTTCGGTACAAAATGCATCAAAGGAAAGACTGTTTTGCATTCTGAGCACTGTCCACATGGACAGCTCTTTTTCACTTGCAAGAGGATTAAAGCTGGATCAAGATTTATCTCTTGGCCACCAACAATAGCAGTTGTTCGGTGGTTTTTAGTAGAGGGCAGCTGTACAGGAAATTGTTAAATAGAAAGAAGAAATTGTATTTACTCACTTGCACGTTCAAAATCATTCTTCCTGCAAGTGAGTTATTACCATTCTCACTTTCCATTTACCTATCTATGACTGAATAATTGAATGATGAAGTAAATTAATGAAACCACTGATGAGGTAAAATGAGTCCTTTACCTAATCTACTTGTCTGGATTGTTCTAAATCACATGTATTTAAATGGGCACAGCTATTTTTGTCAGTCTGGTTTGCTTAGAATTTTAGTCAGTTTTTTGAGGTTTCATTGATCTCATTAGCATTTTGATGCTCTGATCTTCGGATTTTTATAGTTTTAGCAAGATTATTTTGGTAGGATTTTAACAAATTCACCCTAGAAATGTCATACTGCCGACTGAAATGCTTTACTTATGAACATATTTTTGCACGCTGTGACCAATCAGGAAATGGACCATACAGCTCCAATGGTTTCTCATATTGTGATCCCAGAATGCAATTTTTGAATAGTCCATTTTTTTATCGTTAGATTGCCTCTCCTTATAAGACAGGATTACGAGCGCCCGATTTTCTTCTAGGTTACCCTATACATGACAGAATGTAAAATAAAATTGTACCGAAAGATCCGTGTGACATGATGAAAGCACTTGCTTAAGACTTACTGCACTTCGTGAAATCTTTATAGGACTCTCAGTGTGGGGCAAAATTTTTTCATGCTTTTTTTTGCTTCTCACTCCTTAGGTTCTATTTGAGGAAGGACAACACTGTTGTTGTCAAAATGGTTGATGCGGAGTTTGCTCATTCCTATGAGTATGAGGGTAATGCTCAGAAACTTGTCCATACTCCTCTCACTGATCGATGTTATTTAACATTAACTCAGGTAAACCAATCTATTTGTTTCATTCATCTTTTTTAAATAGTAAATTTACCCAACAAATTGCTTGGAACGCTGAATTTACTGAAGCAACTCTATTCTCTGCATACTTGAAAGTCAGAAGCAATAAAATTTACCACACAAATGCTGATCAACTCCTAGATAAATATCCAATAGCTCTTTTTTCGTTACAAAAATCTTTCATGAAGTTGAAAATATCTTCATCAGTTCAAAGAAGTAACATTTTTCCGAGAAAAAATGCCTCTAGCTTAAATGGGTTTTTGCTTTTCTATTTGAATGTTGAAGTTAGATTATAAAATGATCAAAGAACCAAGTCCATCAAATTCCTTACTCTATTGATATGTAAGTTCCTAGTAACTTTCTTGTGCCTCTTCAAGTTAAAATATTGTTTTTAACTGCTGAAAACATTAGAATTCTTCAAAAATTAATATTTGTATTCTAATAATCTGAGTAAATCAAAATTCTCTCAGACTAGGACCTTCTGATTTGTTTTCTCTCTAACTTTTCATTTTTAGTGTGGTTTTAAGTCATGAATTTTTCCAAGCATTTTTCTCTGTTTCTCAGGCAATTCATGTTGGGCTGGGTGGTAATCCATACGGTCCTGCTGGAACTGGTAAAACTGAATCAGTAAAAGCTCTGGGCAGCCTTTTAGGACGCCAAGTTTTGGTTTTTAATTGTGATGAGGTTAGTACAAATTTAAAATGGTCCGTCCAATTAAACTTTTCACAGTAAGAAATCTCTGAGTTCGTATCAGTGATGCAAATTTGAGGATCCAATCAAGTATTTTTCAGAATGAACAGTAAAATTATTCCCTCTTTTCTATTTAAATAACAAAAATGTAACATGCCAAACACAAAACATTGAAAATTTTAAGTTTATTTTCACATGCCACTGATGCATAAAAATCTCAGCACCACAACACAATCTTACGTGTTTTAAGAACCACAAGACTTTATCAGTTGAATCAAGATTAAATCACGGCAATTACTGCAGTTAGCAGTTCAAACCTGCTTGCACTCACTTTCACACCATACCAATGGAAATAAAGCATACAGCTAATAAAGCCACCCTATACTACAGCCGTAGTTTTCAAGAATTTGGAAACTAGAGAGACATGAGTTTTAGACTCACTTGCCATCTTCAGTACCGAGTATCTCTCTCCAAATTGTGGGTGGAAGCAAACGGCAGACTATCGGCAGCCACCTCCTGTAGAAACCAAGTAAAAAATCTGTAACTTATGCTTGTGTGTAGTGTTGGCTAGTTTGAACTGAAAACTGCAGTGATTAACATAAGTTTGTCATGTTTCAACTTACTGTTAGCATTGGTATCCAGTTGAGCCCAATCACTTTGTAATAAGACTAAATGTTAATTTTGAACTTTTAATAACTTTCTCTCAAAATCAGGAAGAGTGTCACTTACCTCCTTCAATTAATGTAGGTCTCAACTTTCAAATGGATTCTAGCTCAATTTTTTTCCCATCATAACTTACGACTATTTAGACGGTGCTGCCCTGTCCTTGGAATATTTTTAGGTACAAATTTTGAAAAAAATTCCTCAGACAGCAAATATGATATTGACCAAGTGCAGCTTCATCTGAATTTTTGGGTTTTTCTCTAGGGCATTGATGTGCACTCTTTGACACGAATATTTGTGGGCATAGTGAAATGTGGTGCATGGGGCTGCTTTGACGAATTTAATCGACTGGAAGAAACAACACTCTCTGCAATTTCAATGCAGATTCACTCCATTCAAGAGGCATTACGAAACAGCAAGAATAAAGTTTCACTCATGGACCAAGAGGTATCAGCCTATATTGCTCAATTATGCACTTATATCTTCCCCTAAGTTAAGGTCGTAAAAAAAGCTAAAGACCATGATTTATCTTTCCACTAAAAATTAGATAATATCAAGTTACGCATTGCCTATGTTTATTATGAACGCAGTTCAATCTGATGCAGATTATTATTCATGAAACTAATACAACATGAATCAAGGTTTTCGATAATGTAAATTTCCTGTCATAAAATTCTTTGAAGAACTACCATAAATCATCATTGCTCAAAATTCCGTGTGATTTTTCTTAGTTTTTTGGAAGACGCTCAAATACGACCAAAAAATAATGCGCCTAATGATTTCCTTCATAGAAAAGCGCATTCATACAAAGAACTAATACTAATATTTATAAAAAATCAATCCCTAATGCCTTCTGCCTTCATATTTTTGCCCCTCTTGAGGTGCTTTCACATTTTTCCCCTGATCGGACAAGTAGCCGGCCAAGCACTTTCTACACTCCTGCCATACACGTTTGCTTATTTATTTTTGATCCATGCCTATTTTAGAAAAGGATCAAAGCGTTAATTAGCATTTTTTACCTGTTAGATCCCTCTTAAAAATGTTTGTAATCACTTCATGTTCGAAATAATCGGTCCCGAAGAAACTTGTATTGAAAAATTTGAAAATGGAAGGTTACCTATTGCAAAATCTCACAATATTTTATAAATTTGAGCTTTCATTTCAGAATATAATTTGCCTTCCCTGATAGATCCGAATTATTCTTTTCTTTTATTTTTTTTAAAGGTGGATTTAAATCCAAACTCTGGTATCTTCGTAACACTGAATCCTGCAGGTCAAGGGTACGGAGGCAGGCAGAAGCTGCCAGACAATTTGAAGGAACTTTTCCGGCCAGTGGTCATGACGCAGCCCGATGCTAACCTTATTGCTCAAGTCATGCTACAATGTCATGGCTTCAAAGATGCTATTACACTTGGAATCAGGATTGTCCAGATATTTGATGCAGCCAAGTGAGACATTAAACAAATCCTTAAGTTCACGAGCAAAGTAGCTGTTATGCACGGCTTGAAATAGATGGCAGCGTTATAGTTTTGATTTTTAAAAGGAAAATTAAGTAAACTCGTTCCTTAAGAGTTCATTTTCAATTATAATGTGCATAACAAGCTGAGGTATCCTTTCCTCATAGCAACGGAAGATCCCTTCAATAATCATCCTTAATCGAATTAATGTTTTTGCGCGAGAGGACAAGTCCAATGAATGTCTCGAATTTCCACAGACTGACACTCTGCTTACGGAACAGCTCCCTGACCAGGAGGGTCACATTGGCTCTGTCACAGTAGTGTGCTAGTTTCATGTGAGTTTAAAAATTTATTTATGTAGTTTGAAAATTTAAGAAGCCCAAGAAGGAGGGAGGAAAAATCAAGATTTAAACATTTTTTAAGGGGCTTTTTTCTTTTTATTTTTCACAAACTAGAGGAGGGTTTTGCTGTACCTGCTGTAATTTTTACAGGGATCTAAGAGTCGTTGACAGAGAGAGATAGATTTAAAACATCTAAAAAAGTGCCTTACGTAATATATGAATGGCTCTCAGGTAATCCGGTAATTAGTCTCTAATTTTATTCCTTCCATTTTAGGAACCTGCTTTCATCTCAGAAGCATTATGATTGGGGTCTCCGAGCTTTGAAAACAGTCATTAGTAGCTGCTGCACGGCGTACAAAGCAGCGCGGGAGTCAGGAGTGTTAAGTACGAAGATTAATGAGGCAGCTCTAGTTGTAGAGGCCTTACGGCTGAACACTCTCTCCAAACTCACTTTCACTGATGCCCAAAAATTTGATTTGCTTGTCAAAGATGTGTTCTTGGGAGTTCAATTCCAATCTAATTGTCATAGTGCTCTAATTGATGAAGTCAAAAATGCTTATGTATCTCTTGGACTTACTTATAATGAACGCCAGGAGAGGAAATGTATTGAGCTTTATGAGCAGCTTCAACAAAGGATGGGAGTGGTAATCGTCGGGCCTCCTGGATCCGGGAAGTCTACCATTTGCAAAATTTTAAAACAAGTGAGTCTTGATCAATTGACCTTTATCATCATGACCAAGCAACGTCTTATGGTTTATCTTAACCTGAGCAGTTATTTGTTCTTAAAATGACGAGTTTTCCCTCCTCATGGCAATATTTATGAAGGAAGGTGCTGTAATATTGTATATTTCTATTCTACCTACGCTCAGAAAGAACAGAGTTATGGACACCATATAGCTGTTACTGTTTGTTACAAGGAAAGCACAGAATATTGCATGCCTCATCAGGCATTAACCACTGGAATCAATTTCATGAGAAGACACACGCATAGGAGGGTAGTTGCGTCACGACCAAAGATAAATAATACCTTGAAAAAAAGAGTGAAAATTTGAGTCTGAAGGCCGATTTTGTCGGAAAATGTAGATTTGCAATCAAATGCCAAAAAATCAACCTTTTTTGGTAGAATCGGACAGCAGACCCATGTTTACGCCAGTTTTAGACCCAAGAAGAGACCAGAAATGACCAATTTATGATGCATTGAGAAAAGTATAGACCTTCAATAAGCAAAAAATTGTAGAGTTAAGGAAATTCAGGCAAGGTGGGCCCAAAAACGGCCCTTGTCGATACCCCTCCTTTGGTATAAATGATTCAATTTTGAGTTTTCTAATACTGAAGTCCCATCTCCTGCGGACTGTCACATGTATATCTGTTTCAGTTTTTATCATGTTTGTAATTTTAATGATTCATCACCATTTGGCTTGCAGGCATTAAGTGTGCTTGGTCAGACAATGAAACAGCACACATTCAACCCGAAAGCCATGGCACGACACCATCTCTTGGGACACATCGACCTTGACACCAGGCAATGGACGGACGGTATTATCAATCTCACTGCTCAGACGGTTTATTCAGAACCAGAAACGACACATTCTTGGGTAATTTGTGATGGAGATATTGATCCGGAATGGATTGAGTCGCTCAATTCTGTCTTGGATGATAATAGGTTGCTCACTCTCCCCTCTGGTTGGCGCATACAGTTTGGATCAAATGTCAACTTCCTGTTTGAGACTCATGATCTGACCCATGCCTCGCCTGCCACCATATCCCGAATGGGGGTCATTTTATTAAGGTGATCCTTCTTTTTTACTTCTAAATTCAATTTGTTTTTACTTAAATGACAAGCATAGGACCTTAGAATAACAAAAATTACCAGGGAAATGAAGAAACTAGATGAAAATCGAAATTTTTTAGTCTTCATAACTTTTATCAACAGGTTTCCTTTGTACTTTGGTCAACAGAGATGTTCACCAACCCTGTTTTTCCTTCAAAGATACAATTTAACGTTAGAATTAAACTTTATAGAAATACTAGATTTTAGTCAATTAAAATGTGCAAACAGATACAAGTTGAGCCCCTGTATTACTCATGATGAGCTTTTTAAATCAGGATTATTTGAAAAGAAAAATACATGTCCTCTAAAACTCAGTTTTTTGGCATAAAAAATATACAAAGTACTAGAAACTTTCAAATGAAGTTATAAGAAACTAGAGGACTAGAAAGTTCAGTAAAATACGCCGCTTGCAGCAATCAGATGCTTTTGTTCTCCATAGCTGTATCTTTCAGTTTCTGTCAAATTTCTTCCCACGAATTTTGGATTTCTTCAACATTTTCACCGATTTACTGTGCTTTTTAAGTAAAAATCATTTGTGCACGATAATTTGCTCAATCTGATTGTTGTACCTCTTATTTGAAGCAAACGGAAAAATAGCACAGAAAAAGTTTATCGCCTTATCTAAGAGTGATTAATGAGCTGAGTTTGAAGTATTTTTCATACTTTTTTCTGAAATGGGAAATTGGAGAAAAATATAGAATTTAAAAGTGAGAAAATGTGATGTCATCCAGCGGCATTTGCCATTTAAACAATTGTATTTTAGCAGCTCAGGTCATTTTTTCTTTTTTCCTCAAATAGTTCAATTTAGAAACCAAGGATATCCTCCTGCTCGGTTTTTTTAGCAGTTGCATTTTAAACATGAAATTTAAAAAATTTCAGACACCTGCAAGTTCTTCGTTGAGGAATTAGCAATAATTTGTACCTTTGTCGGAGTTGCCACAGTCAGACAGTATAGTTAGGGAAACCGGAAAATGTCACGGAATTTTAAAAATTCAGGGAAATTGTGAAAATGTTAGGGAAAATGAAGAAAGTAACAAAGGAGATTAGGCTTAACGTCTTGCACAACAAATGCCTGAAAATTATTTCAAATAATGTCTTTCTAACCATCCGGCTTATCTTCAGTTGTCAGAGAATTGCACCAAAATATGTCAAGGAAATTCATTCTCTAAATTCTGTGGCAACCGTGCCTTGTAAGGAACCTGAGAATGAAAACATTATCTATAATATTAGGAAAAATTAAAAAATAAATCAAGTATCCCAGCTAAAAAAATACTTGCTACCATGTTCACTGAAAGTTCATTGAATCTCAATATTTAACATGTTCAAACTTCTCGAGTTCTAGTTATTTTAATCTTCTTGTCTGTTTACAGTGAGGCTGATGTTGACGTAGACTGCATTGTGACAGCTTGGTTAAAAGACAAAGCAGCTGAAGATTCAGCTCTTGCTTTGCTGATGCAACAATATTTTCAGCAAGCAGTGTCCTGGATTCAGACCAGTGGAGAGATGGCCGTCAAGTGTTCCTTGATCACAGTTGTCAAGACTTTTCTTTCACAGCTGACTGATGTCAAAACTAGATCGCATTTTGCTGTAGCAATGGTCAATGGTCTTGGAGCAGTCCTAACATTAAGTTCTAGAAATGAATTTGCTAAGCAGGTAATTTTAGTTTGGACTACCGGACATGTTAACAATGGAAGTTTCATAAGGCATTAAAACTCCACTAAGAAAAAGTTGAGCAGTTTGAAAATTTGTTAAATTAACTTTTAAAGAAAATGACGGATTTAGTGTGAATTAAAATAACTACATTAGACATTGCCTACTTTTCTTTGATGTCTTATTTTTTTAAAAAAAATCGAGCATCATCGTAACTTTAAATTTTAAAAATGTATTCTTCATTATCTTAGGTAAAAGTAAAAAGGTATTAAGCAGCTAGATTCTCTGTTGAAAAAATAAAACATAAAAGAAATTAGGCAATATAAAATTTGGTTAGGCTGATTCCAAGTAAATTGATGCAAGCTACTAAAGCTCCTATTTACATATGATCAGTCGAATCAAACTTTCTACTCGTACAAAGAACTAAAAGAAATGCAGAACAAATTGGTTGTTGGAAACAAAGTCAACATTAATCATATAGCTAGGATTTGGTTTTAAAAGAAACTTCTTTGTCTTACAAGACATAGAAATTCAAAACTTGTCCAAAAACACATTCAGCAGATCGAGAACGCTGCAGAAGTGCAAAAAATTACAAAACGCTGCGCGTTACGTATGACCCGACATTTTTGCCTCTCTGTCTTATTTTCGAAGAGCTTCACAGCTCAGGGTCTGATTTTATATGGAAAAATGCCTAATTGTACAACAACATTTTTGAACATCACTTCATGCTCGCCGCTACCATGGGATGGCGTTATCTAGTTTTTTCGAACCCCTAGAAAAGTCAGGGTTGCAGAAAATGCCAGATCACGCATCTGCCTGGGTGTGTGAAAATGTGGCAAAGCCCTCAAAAATGTGAAACCAGAGAAAAGTTATAAGGGTCTACAATCAAAAGTCAAAGGAAAACAGAAGAAAGAGGTCGTCGTTTTTGAAGTAGGAAAACTGTGGGAACTTGGAAGATTCCCTGAACCCTTGTGGAAAATTATTTCATTATGAAACACACTTAGTGTAGTTTGCAGCCCAATCAGATATGAGTAGATTGTGAATTGTTTTGGGGAGCATAAAGTTTGAATTTACGATCTAGAAAAAGTCCCAAGTTCTCCTTCATAATTTGAATCTGAAAATTTTTCTTTGTCCTCCATGATCAAAATGAAATTCTTTTGAGAAGATGTGCATTGTAATGCTTGGATCCTAAACTCTTTTCAAGGTCTATGAAGGAAGAACCTTCAGTAGTCACGTAATTTCATTGGAGTTGTTAGTTTTCCTCTGTAATAAGCACTAAGTTTGATAAGCTTTGAGAGGAAAGAACATCAATTTGTTTCAGGTTTTTTTAATAAAGCTGAGACATCTCAAAAACATAACATTTGAGTCCCTAGTTCTCCTTCCTTTGGTTCTAATAAAATTTAAAGAAACTACTGTTTCATAGCTTGTTATGCATTATAAGGTGACTTCATGTCTTCAAGAGTGAAAATTTACGGAGAACTTAGAAAAAGAGAGAAAGAACATCACTATAAATAATTTCCTTTATGTGATGTATCTGTAAGCAAGTGTAATAATGCACTTCTTTTAAGTTTCAGTCATTAATATTTCTTTTAAAAGAAGATTAAACTTTCTTATTTTGTATAAACAACTTTCGACCTTATTAATCGCTTATTCTTGTATAATTTCTCTGACAAGGTATTCACTTGGACCAGTGAAATGGTGCCTGATATGAGCAGTGCGATGAACTGTTTTTATAGTGTGGAAAGAGATTGTGTTGAGACTTATAGGGTATCTCTTGATGAAGAAACACCTCTCTCATCTCTCATTCCTACCGCTCAAATGAAAACTGCTGCTAATGTCGTTCGATCTTTCATACAGTCTAAAGACCCTTTCATCTTAGTTGGAGCATCAGGAAGTGCTAAAAGGTATAAATGACTTAAAATTAATTCTCATTTGTTTTCCTGTACACTTGTTGGCTCAGTAATTTGAAAATTAACGAAGAAATGAAAATGAACCTATATCTCTGAAAAAGGGGTATCAGGTCCCACTCTGTCCTTCTTTAGATCAAAAATTTCATTCAGATTTTCTTGATGTTTATATTTTGAAAAGCCTTTGGTAATCAATTTTCTAAACATCATGACATGGTCAATCTTGTATATAGTTTTTTAAAGAACATGGGATCGTAATAGTAGTCTAATTTCCGTCAGGGCTGATCACACGCGTTTTAATGTAGTGGTTTTTTAGCCTTGGTTTTAATTTTTTATTTGTGTTTAGCAGTTGATAAAGGCTCGGGTGACCAGCCGAAACATCCTGCATATTGTGTTTATTATTTTTAGCCTTGTTTCCCACTGATTTTATTTGTCTTTTTGTTGTACATGTTTTGAGTTACCATAACCTCTCTTCCTCTTGTATGCCATTAACTTGGTTTTCAAAATTTTTATATACTGTCCCCTCCTCTAGATTGCATCACTTACGTGAATTTTTTTAGTGGTATAATCCAAGCATTTTTTTCGTACAAAAAACAATCATAACAAAATGGGTAAACAAGGTCAAGAAACAATACAAAATGCCTGGGATGTTCCAGGGTGGTCTCAACCCCTTTATCAACGCAGGAAAACAAATGAAAAAGAACCGAACCCTAAGCCCCAAAATAACGTTTTATGCGACGGTAAGGTACCGCCGAATGACGCCATCCAATTGTGTACCCATTTTATTGTGTTTATTCTTTGTTGAATTATTAAGGCTATTTTTATTTTAGTGTATTGTTTGCATCTTTTTGGATTTGATAATCTTGATCAACTTCTTACAAAATAGAATGAATTCTTCACATGACTATCTTGCATTAAAACATGAGGACTCTAACCTTTGCCACCTTAAATTTTTAGGTGCCACTCTTGTATCTTTCACTTGACCATTCAGAAGAGGGGATAGTAATGTCTAACTTTCTCATTTATTTACTCCTTTTAAAAACCAAATCAATGATCATTATTCAAATTTCTTACAGTACATTGTTGAAACACTGTGTCTCAGAAATGAGGAATGTTGAGATCACATCTATTAGCTGCAGCGCGTGTGTTACGCCAACCGTTGTCATGCAGAAGTTATCTCAGGTAAGTATTCAATGCTCATCAGATTCTAAGTTCAAGTTACACTTTAAGATGTTCACAATCAAGAGGCATTTCTGCACACCTGCCACTCTTACATTTGATTCTATTTCTGGCTCAGAAGAACAAGGCTTAAGAACCAAACCAGAATTATAACGATTTAAATTATACTGTAGAAGAAGAAAAGAAGGTGGTAGCCTTTTTGACACCTTGGAAAGATATTTCTGATATAAGTGGGTACATACATTTTTGTAGACCATTTTCTCAAAAATGGTGTTTGTTGAAAAATCACACTCCTATAAGTGTTTAAAATTACATATGATGTTAAATACTACCAAAACAGGAACTGATAAAGTATTTGAATCATTCTTTGAACTCCGCTTATTGTATCTCTAATACTTCTCGTTTTTCCTCAGCTATGTCTGTTGGTCACCAGTAATACTGGGCGTGTTCACCGACCAAAAAACTCTGAACATCTAATTTTACATTTTAGCGACCTGAACCTTGCTCGTCCTGATAAATGGGGCACCAACATCTTGATGGCCTTTCTACAGCAGGTACCCACTATTGTTTAATTCGCTCACTTATTTTTTTTTAAGTTTATACTCCATTGGACAAGTGAAGTAGAGAAGTCATAACTTAAATTTTAGGTCACACAAATAGGCATCATTATGCCTCTGCAAAGCTGCTGCTTGTATTTCGCCTCAATGGAAGCTGCTCAAATTTTGTACCAATATCTTCATTGGCTCAGAGGTAATAAGTGTTGTAAGGGCGCAAAGGATGGGGAAATAGCCCAACTCGCGATGAGACTAGAAAGCACTAAGGTGGCGATCACCGGCAAGTACGCATGTATGCAACACTGACCCCTCGCTGGCCGCTAGGCCGCCGCTATATAGTAATGCCCAAAAGATGTAACCCTGGCGCGGCACGCGCCAACCAAAGCACCTATCTGCGATCACCTCGGAAATACGCGATCTCTCACGTATGTCCGAGGTGCTCCTAACAGAGGCGTACTCTCAAGGTAGAGTACGTCTCTGCTACAGTGTCCAGATGTTTAAACTCTGACCCAATCTTCATCTCACTTCAAGGAATTTTCTTCTGAAAGCTGCGAAGAATACAGCCCTAAAAAGAAAAAACAGAGAAAAATGGAACGCTGATTTTGTATAAAGGTTTCTACTGTCCTCAGAACATATCATTCTCAACCAGCTGATTCGTTCCTCCTCCCCCTTCCAATCTATGAAGATATACCTGTAAAATAAGCAAATCGACAGTGAAACTGCAGAAACGCACATCTCGGTTTGTGGCGTTGCAGACCTTTTATCATACTTTATTTACAGAATAGATTAGTACTCACAGCCATTTCTTGAAAACTTCCTAGATTTTTCTTCTATGTGTGCAAACTATTCTGTGAGTATTGTAAGCCACGATGTTGGTTTGGTCTTTTTTTAAAACCAGCATAGGAATGGAGGTTTTGAAACACAGCAATGTAGTTACCAGTTTTTGCAGTTTCCTCGCCGAAATGCAACTGTCACAAAGGGAACGGACCTTAGTGCTCTAAAACTCAAAATCAAATTTATGGTACCCTTGTGTGGAGGAGTTTTTAATAAATACTTTGGTTTAAAAAAAAAAAAAAAAAAACTGCTCAGAAAGTTTAAGGCCAACAAGAGTTGTGACTTTTGAAAATTTGGAAATAATTCAATGAATTAATTAGTGGTCCACTGGCACCATCAACCTCACCAGTACAGCAAACATTTCTACGGCAACTAGAAGCTTTTATCTTATAGATTCCTCATGAATTTCTTTATATTTGGCAAGGTTCTAACTTACAACGGATTTTTTGAGCCAGTCAACATGGAGTGGGTTGGATTAGACAATGTACAGATTGTCTGTACGCTTTCATCTTGTGAATTTTTGAGCCCTCGTCTCATCTCTCTCTTCAAAATCTTGTTCATTGGGTGAATAACTCTGATAACTCTCAAAATTGGTTCTCAGCACTTTTTTACACAAGAAGATGTTAGCAAAAATTTCACGCATCTTAACAAGTTTTTGTGTCTCTTTTTGTTTCATTAGTTCCTACCCTATGATCACCTAAATTGTCCCTTCCTTTAATTCATTTATTTCGGTTTCTTTGAATTTCTGTAAAATATCACGAATCATCTCTTTCTATTGCCTTACATGCACTTACCCAAAATATAATGATAACATTAATGTGGATGAGGCCCTTGTAAAAAGAGTCCAATCAAAAGAAAAACAGAATGAAAGTTCTGCAAGAGATTCACTTACATCATCATAATCATTTTACATTACAATCATCTCATTTAAACAGTTTAAATGTATCAGATGATCAGATTGTTCTCATCCCATCAATCGAAAGCTTTTTGTATTTGCAATCATTTAAAGATGAATATCTCATTTTAACTTATGGTTGACATTGCATTCTTACACCTAATTCACATTTATTTTGCATGCAAGATGTAGTTGAACACAGTAATTTGTTCTTCTTTGTGCATGATGTTTTTCTGACAAACCTACAGGACGCTCATGTCTTAATATTGAAAAGAGGCCAAACCTCCAGATCTTACTGGAAGAATAACTGCAACTTTTTCTGGAGTTTTGGGTAGAAAAAAATAGTAAACACAATTATGAAAAAACAAATAATCTTAATGATAGTTGGCATGATTGACCAATATGCAGAGAGTTATGTGCTTTTATTATTTTTTAGTCAATTTTATTTTCAGTGAACAAAGTAGACCAGAATAACAAACCATCTCATGATGACTGCAATTACTTAAATTCAGTTCTTTAAATGGATATTGCAATCAACATTTGTAAAATTGTGGCAGAAAGTAAATTTCTAGTTATTCATCATTGATTTCATAAAAAGTGTCATCAATGAGCTTTCTCCTGAAAGGCTTTTCTACTGTTAAATGCTCCATTTGAGTTTTGAAGGCTTGATCAAGTATACAAAATTCTCTATGATACATTTCAGTACTACATATCAGCATGTGCCTCCTGTAATATCGAGGAAAATTTATTTAATTTATCTTTTGCCTTTTGCAGAACTCCGAGTACAGAAGAACTGAAATTAATTTGCTCTGCATATTTAAGAAATGTGCTCCAAAGTAAAGAGCAGTCCGTGGCTGTAAGCTCATCTATGGTCTCTGTGTTCCATCAGGTAACTATGTTAAGTTTTTTATTTATGTCTCCTCCTGAAATTAGGGTCTCTTTTGTTGTGCAAGCCTGGAAAAATTCAGATTAATTCAATTGAGAGTTTAAAATTCTGAAAAATTCAAATAAATCTGCAGAAGAACTTAGGTGCAAAGCACTCAGTGAAAGTTCAAAAATTTGATTTTTATCCACGATTGATATCCACATTTGATTTTAGCTGAAGAAAGCATAATACTTCCCATGTGGTGCTGAGCATTAGCAACTTTTGAACAAAAGCTCATCCAGTAATCCTACACAGTAGTAGTATCATATCTCAGTAACAAAATGCGGGTAAAGAAGCCGAAAAATTCAACATTTAGTACCCCTTCCTCCTTAATTCGCAAATGAAAGGGTCATCCCCAAGAAAGCTTTTCCTGGTCACCTGTGGATTCAGACCAAAGTTCATATTTTGAAAGAATTTTATGCCTAATGTCATCTCCTAAAAGTTCACCCCCAAAAAAATTTTAAAGGAAGGCTTGAAATCACAAAATTTGAATATGTGTATCTCCTTAACAACCGAACGTTTTTCACCCAGTTTAGCGTAATAATAGCGTCTTTCAATAAAATATTGAAAGATTTTGGAAACTCTGATTAAATGAAGGTATTTATGAGCATTTTCTTCAAGAAAATTGCCAAAAAATAGCGATTTTACCATTGCAAGTAAATTTTGAAAACATTTAAAAACGGGGAAAGAATCATCAAAATAAGATACATGTGTTACTCTGTACTCATTTATTATGACTTTTTCATGTTGAGAAAATGTTTACATCAGGAGTCGAGCTGTGTTAAAGTTGCTTTCCTGCCCTAATAAAGCCAGTGATAGGCTTTTCCCCTGTTTTTGGGGGGGAAATTACTTTGTTAAGTTATCCTAGAGAAAAACAGGGAATCTTCCCTCGAGTTGTCCATGTTTCTGATTTTGTTTTTCCTACTACGACTGAAATATGAAACCTTGAACTTTCAGGTAACAGAAGCATTCAATCCAACTCTAGAAGACTATAGTAAATTTTCTCCACACGCTTTAGCTCACTGGTGTAAGGCTATGAAACGCTATCCTCTCCATGATATTAATTCTATTTTAGAGGTGAGTATTGTTACTCAATGATCTCATTTTTAAATCAGGTGTGGACAACCCAGATTTTGTTATTCATCTTACAAATTTGCATACCATAATTGCTTTGATCCCAAGGTGTGGACCATGGCACTGACCGCTCATCTCTTGCAAGAACTGATGTGAGGTGGATGAAGACTTAACTCAATCCATTAAGAAAAGAGATTTTACCGTAAAAGAAGGCAGAAATAGGTTGTCGGTGCCAAGGGTGCAGGATGTTCTTTGCCTTCACATTGCTGCCTGCACAAGACTGCTCCCTTCACCATGTTCTTTGCATGAGAGAGAATATCATACAATTTCCTTATCGAAAATTAATAAAATAATAATAATAAATAAAATAAATAATAAAAGTATTGCTTAGCAGTTCCCCTCTCAGGAAATAACACATTTAATGGTTTCCTTCAAAAAGTAGAGAATTTTTTCATGGGAATTATACTAAAATTTAAAAGAAAAAAATCTGGAATGATTTCTGCCTTCACATTTGAAGCCGTATCTGAAAAAACGACGGATGTTGACATCCGCCGTTTTTAGGGAGGATGGCTTTTTTGAATGTGTGGACTCTCAAAAGCATGTGTACACATTTCGAGACTCAGATCTCAGTTCTGTAGTGAGAAATCAGGCAAAAGCTGTGTTATATGTAAAAAAGGCGGATGTCATGTCAACATTCGTCGTTCTTTCACATAACTAGTTAACAGCCAAGTTAAAGGTCAACTAGTCAATGCTTAAGCAGTTAATGGCCACCCTTTTTTAGAGGACAGCGCTTTTATTTAAACTATTCATCTGAAGACTGAAATTTTGATATAATTTCATTGTAAGAGACTGACATAATTTGTTCCTTATTTTTCTAGAAGTTTCCAAATGTTTCATTTTTTACCATTTATTAAAATACTTAGTTAGCAATAAGTTTTTGTTAATTTCAATTGTTGAACTTTTTTGACATTGCCATAAAACCTAATTTCAACCGTTATAAAAAAATTATCTGTAAAAACAGCGGATGTTGTTTTTTTTTTTCAACCCGATATAGCTCACTGAGTTTTGCTTTGAATCAAAAAGTCTAGAAAAAAGTTTTTTAGGGGAGGATTTGTTCTACATAAAATCCTCAAGCCGAATCATCTTGGTTTCAAATGAAGTAAAAATGCAGAGCTTTGAAAATTTTGAGAGTGTTTTTCTGAAATCTGAAAAACTCAACATCTGCCCTTTTTACAAATATGGCTTTATTTGTCCCCCCGTTCATGTGTCTACACATTTCCACTGTGACCGGTTGAAAACAAATTTTACAAGTTGTGACAGAATGAAAGCAGCTCAAAAATTTTTATTCTGAGAGAATATCATTTGAAGTTTTCCTCTTCCGTATTTGTGTGACTCAAAAGTTTTAATGGAAAAGCAACCTTTTGCTCATTTTTAAAACATAATTAAGTAGACTGCTTGTAACTTATTGTTGAGGATGCCAACGGTCCAGTTATTGAAACTATATCGGCACAACAAGACAATACATAACCCTGTTGTAACTATGCAAAACATTGTATTATGACATCCAACTAAGCTGCTTTAAACTTTTCATAATTGGCCTGCAGGGATCATTGAAGGCTCAAGTACCAAAGTCTAAATCTAGCTCAATGAGAATCCCTCTTCTGAATTTTTCCTTGCGAAACTAAGTACATTTTCCATGGACAGTCACATTTTAATAAAGCTTAAAGTTATGAGGTCAAAACATCAAATAATTGTCATTAAAATTTTTATTTTAAAGTCATACTGCTTCCAGTATAAGGATCGGGTGCAGAAAGTAAATTCTACCCGAAGAAACAAATTTTCCTGGAATTCAGCTTATTCACAGGCTTCATTGTGCTAAAATATCCAAGTATTACTTCATTTTACAATCTCAAAACGTTTGTTTGTAGGTATTTGCCTACGAGGCGAATAAATTATTCAGGGATAGACTACTAACCCTTAAGCAAAGAGAAAAATTTGATGAGATTCTCGTCTCTGTTATTAATGACGAGTGGAGCCAGTGTCTACGAGTGATACATGAACTCAAAGGTAAGTTCAATCAGTCTTCTTCTTTCAAGTTTCTCTATTTATTTCTCGTTTCTTTGAATGTTCTAACAATTATGACCCTCTTCTAAAAAATGAGAAACAGTTTAGTATCTTTAACAGAATTGTTGGTGGTATAAAAAGTTGGGGAATTCATGGTGACCCAGAGAAGTTAGGGAATTTTGCGAGTAATGCATAATCACAGCAACTTCAGCCAGTGCCACTCGAGCAAGTGGCTATGATTAACCACGGCTTGGCAAAAGTTGGTGTAATCAAAAGGAAAAAATCTAAGTTCAGGCTAGGAATTTGGAAGTTCTGGAGTCTAGGAAAATGAATAAATTATGGAACTAACGGTGTCGTAGCAAATGAAATAAAATTACCACAGCTCATAATGTCATGGGAAACCTTTAAGGGTAAAAAAAGTTTTGGAGTCGGAGGTAAGAAAGTAGCCCCTCACTAAGGTACAAACAGTAAATGAACAGGAAAAAAGTTGAAATTTCCGTAGTTTTTGTATCTGCACTTGCAAATATTTACATGAGTATGTTTTCTCTCTATTCCAGATGTCTTTTATGTGTGTGAAAATTCTTCTCAACACACACTCATGCAGCTGAAGTCACAAGATTGGGCAGCTCTTGTTCAAAAATCTCTGAGCCAACTCGGTATTTGTGAACCCTCATTTCTTGTACTCATTTCAACCAACTTCCTCTCTCAAATCTTCATAAATTCTTCATTCTTCTACTACCTCAAGGAGTTTGACTGGAATATTCAATTCAACTAAAACTGCAAATCTTGCGATTTTTTTTTCTTCTTTTCTCTTGAAAAAGCTCATTTTAGCTTAATTTTCTCTCCAAGAGATGTGAACAAGATATCGGGAAAGTCAGGAGGCTGCGCTGCGATGGGTCCAATTAGACCTGTATTGTGTCTGCAGTTACCTTCCTGAATGGTCCTAACTAGTGTTGCACCAAGTAGCATATCTATTTGAGGGAAATTTGTGCTGAAATAAGCTTTTCCCCTCTGTATTAAGATTTTTAGCTTTATACTGAACTCTAACCCTTGTCGGCAAAATTACCAACTTTCTGGCCGAATGACACCAACAACCTCTGATCTGTCGAACCACAATCAGTTTATATCATAATAATTTGTGTTAATCGTCTTTTGTCACACTTTGAAAAATTTCAAAATGCCTACTTGGTGGTATTGTAAAATGTTAATTTTTTTTCTCATTCTTTTAGAAAACGATGGTCATGATGTGGAAAACATTTTGGTCACTCCTGAACTTTTAAATGCAGCAGCTCAATTCGAACGAGTCCTGACGGACATGAAAGGCTCCCTTTTCTTACCTGGGAGTAGTGGATTGGGCAGGAAGACTGCCATTAAGATCATCGCCAGTAGACTAACAGCCAAAATTGTTTATCCAAAAATCGGACAAAATTACTCATTCTCAAATTTTAGAAACGACATGAAAAATGTATGTTGTCACTTTACTCAGAATGAAGTCATGATTGCTTTTTAATCTGCAGTTGTTTTCACCTGATTTTATTTTAATGATAAATTTGTTGCTCCTATGATATAAGGGTGTATCTAAATTTCTACACGAGCTCCGTTGTCCATGTAACTATGCTTTTCGAGGCTCTTGCTGAAATTGAGATACGCCTTTACATCAGAGGGATGATGAATCCTTCTGCATCAAAGAAAATGTCATTTTTGTACTTTAAACCACAATGATGGAGCTAAGAAAAACTCTAATGATATCATATACTATGCATGAAAACCCCCAAAAAATGTGCATATGACCTGATATATCACTTGGTTTTAAGGATTTTAAGTTTTAACAAGAACACAAATGTTTGCTACCACCACAGCCTACCCACTTATAACTTGAATCTTGTGAAGGCCTCTCTAATTTTGTAAACAGCTATTTTCAGAGAGAAGTTTCGAGAAAATATTGTACAAGTGCAGCAGTACGTGGAAAATGGAAATGAAGTGCCAGAAACTCAAAATTGAGCTCTATTACCATTGTACGAAGAAGTTTTTTCTTCCTTTAGATTCAAAGGGTTTTGAGCCATACAATTGTAGTTTAATACAAATGAAAAACGCGTTGAAACTCACTCTTGTACTTTTGATTAAATCAGAAGTGCTTCGGCGCCATGGCCATCCTTATTGATGCGGGGCTCAGGGGTAGTTACAACATTTTAACATGATGACAATATGTTTTGCAAACATTTTACCACAAAAAAATCCATAAATGTTAAGGCAAGCGACCTTTGCAACGACTTTTTACTGTTGATAGCAGAGGATTATACTAGATTAGGATAATTTTGTGACTTTTAATTCTATTTCTCCCCTCTTCATACACACTTAAGTATTACTAATTATTTTTAGGTGATGCAGCAAGCAGGAATTGAAAATGAGCAAATATTCCTCATTTTAGAAGATCACAATCTAATATTTCCAGAAATCATGGATATGATTAATAGTTTCCTTTCATTCGGTGAGGTTAGTGTTCCTTAAGAAATTTCTGCTTCAGTTCCCATTTTAAGTCTTCCAAATAATGCATGATTGTTAATTATGAATAATCAGTAGAATGAATTATTTCTTTAGATTATAAAGTTTTTATCTCATAAAAATTTTGGAATTTTACGTTTTTTTGAACCAAGTGATAATAATCAAAAGCCATGACGAAAGAAGTTTTTGCAAGTATCATGGCTTGCGCGGAGTATGTGTAAATGATTCTTTCTTGTCTCTTTTTTGTGTTTTCTATGTCAGTCTTTACGACTGAGGGTGGATCCAAATGGAAATGTCACTGAAATGAGTAAAGGAGAATAACTTCAATTAAAAATTGAAGGCCTATCTGTAGAGACTGTAGAAAAGCACAGAAATTGATCTTGCTCTCTTTAGTTTTTATTTTTTATTTTCTGTCTCTTTTGATGGTGTAATAACCCTGATTACGGGTCAATAAGGGGACGTAGCTGGAGCGGCATGATATGAGCCGACGGGATGTCTCTAAATAGAGATATCTCGAGCTGACGTCACAAGGCTCCAGGGGGACTATTGCGTCGGACAATGGTCGCCCGTGGTCTCTCTATGGAGAGGGATCTCGTGCAGACCATCTACACAACACAACAATGGGTGCTCTTTGGGGGGCTGTCGTTGACCCTCCCAAAAATGAAAGACGTAGTCAATAAAGAGAGAAAGAGTCTGTCTTTGACTGAATTTCAATATATTTTCTGAATTGGCTATTCTTTCAGTTGAAAGAACTTGACAAGACTGAAAGGATAGCTAAGGGGGAAAAAAGACTCAAAAAAGATGGACGGTGCTGAAAAGCGAACCGGAGTCGTTCGTCTGACTTATCAGCTCGTCAATGACGTGCATGTGCAGGCCGGAGCCCTAAGCACATGCACAAGACGACCGTGTTGTGAAGACTGACTTTCCTCAAGCAAGTGGCCCAGCTCCCTACCCTCGGGTTGGCCGGCGGCGCGCATGCACATTTCCCAGCGGACATCAGCGTTTTCCCTAAAGTTGGTGCTCCTCCTGACGTTGCCAATTTCCCCCTCTAATGATGAATTGTCTGGGAAAATTGGGCGTCTCCTCACAATAGTTCTATTTTGTTCTTTTATTTCCAGGTATTAAGTAATTGTTTATTATTATGTAAAACCATTAAATTTTCTTCCAGATTCCTGGTCTGTTTCAAGTTGACGAACTAGAAAATTTGGCTTCCCCTTTGAAAGACTCCGCTGAGACCGTAGGAAAAAGCTCCATTGAACTGTTCTTTGAAAGTAAGAGTACAAGAAAATCGGTATTTCATACATGAACTAATTTTAGAAAAATATTATTAAGAAAGAAGGAATGAAGCTGTGGATTTTTCTCAAAAATCTTATTCCCTTTGCAAATTTTTTGGATCTTTGCTTGTTGGATCTTGTTGTTGCAATGTTTGCCTGAGAGCAGACATGAAAAATTCAAGGAAAAGGCAGAATTGTTTGAAGTCAGTCGTTTTCTGAGTTTTGAAGGATAAGACTTAAAAAAATTAAAAGGAAACAAGATAAGTTTATGATTTGATATTCTAAGATTGATATTCTAATTTATAATGTTGCCAGTATTTAAATCATGGCCGTTTTTTGGTGTCTCTTCAGAATGATGTTTTCAATTATTTGAAAAGATCAAAGCATTCTCAAAATGTGAATTTCCCAAGAACATTCTAAGATTGTACGAAGTTTGATCAAGTTTCATATCCTTCTCAGATACCCACAACAATCTTCATATGATCTTGATATTGGATCCTTTACACACTGACTTCACCTCACATTGTGCTCAAAATCCAGCATTGTACAAGCACAGCACTGTAATTTGGACTCTTGACTGGTCATTGCAGACGATGAGAATGATGGCAGAAGACTCCTTATCTCGGTCAGTTCAAGAAATTTGTCTTTATTTTGTATCCTCTTTGGTCGCAAGTTATTCCCTCTTTCTTTTCACACCCAAAAATTCCTGCCTAAAAGAAAATGCATAGTAAAAGCTTTTTAACATATTCAATTTGAGCCGTTTATGAAGCAAGCAGTTGTTATCGCTGCACTTCAGCTGAATAACATCATCATCAGGAATGAAGGTCCAGCAAAAATTTTGCATGTTCCTGCGGAAGTGAGAGCAGATAATAACTAAAAATGTATACAAGAGGCGCTTTACAATTTCAAACAGTGAAAAACCAATTCAAGACTGTTTATGAGAACAGAGATCTCAAGAGCCGAAAAATTCAAAATTCCTGATTCTGTTATTCAGTGGAATGTTTTAAATAAATGTTAGCCAAGGAACACCGGAATATTCCAAACCTTGCTGGAGTCGTAAGGGTTTGAAGTTTGCAGTCCTAAAAATGTAGTTTCTTGGACAAGGAATCAAAGGTTTCGTCTGCCAATTCAGGGCTCACAATTATTAGATTGAAATACAAGTTTGTGCCCTCTGTTTGTACAACTGTTCACTATAGACTGCTTGTAACTTATTACATAGGATACTAGAGAATGATTTCAGTTATAATTCAAGCACATACTAATTTTTTGCTGAACGAGGCAAAAATTGCTTCCCTTCAAAATTTACTGCCAGGAACTGATGTTCTGTCTCTTGTGGATGATCACACTTGCAGAAACTTTCCGTGTTTGATGCTGATTTTAATGTACATCTCATATTTATCTAGGAAAATGAAGGTAGAAATCGAAAATGAGACCTTGTTGGAGAATGAAGTGACAGTCTCAGCCATCAGTGATGAAATAATCTCGGTTTTCGTGAAAATTCATGAACAAGCACAAAAGTGGACCGATGCCACACTGAAACAGTACATTGCGCTAGTGAACTCCTACTGGCATCTCTTTAAATCTTCTTACAAACAAATCATCTCCAAGCAACGGAGATTACAAGTAAGAAATAATTGTCTTCAGCTATCACTACTTTAGCCATTTACTTAACGTAGAATAATGATTCTTTAAGTAGAACCTTGAATTGATAAGCTGTATATTGGACGATTTCATATAGTACAAATGGATCTGAGGGCTAATTTATTTTCTAAGTATTTTTTAGTTTTATTAATCTATGACTGAACTTGTCAACATGTCTCCATTCAAAAAGTTGTAGCTTTCACCTCTTAATTTTATTTTTTTAATCAGAAAAGAAAACTGAGCATGGAAATTTCCATGTTGTCTTCAGTCTGTTCTATAACAATTTTGAAGCCATCAATAATCATTAAATGATTCATGAGGAACTGATGGTTTGTGTTATTCTGAATGAGGCCTCTACCCTATCAAGGTTTTGTAACCTTGAAATAATCCGTAGGATTCCATTTTTAGTGAACATTGAAAAATGTTTTATTTTTCTATCCATGAAAAACTCCCCAAGTAAAGTCATTATTTCCCCTCATCCTGAATCTAATCTTAAAGTCTAATGCTTTCAATGAGTATTTTCTCCTTAGACAGGTGTTTCAAAATTAACGGAAGCGCGTGATATTGTGGCCAAACTGAAAAGTGAAGCAACAGAACAAGAAACCAAGCTTGCAGAGAAACAAAGTAAAGCAACACTTGCCTTAGAAATGATTACAAATACGATGAAATCTGCCAACACACAAAAAGGAGAAATGGAAACCTTGAAAGAAGAGTTTGAAAGAGAAAACGCAGCTCTGTCAGAAAGGTTGTATTTTGGTGTCTTTCCGATATTTTTTTCAAGAAGGAAACTATAAGAAAAAACACAGCAGATGTTTCATGATTTTGGTGGCTAAAACTAGCCTCGAGCTTTTTATTGATTTTTTTTTCTATCATTTTTAATTTTATTTTATTCAAACAGGTGTTAACTCAGTTACAGAACACAAAGTAAAACAATCCCATCAAGATAGAGAAAGGGATACTAATTTTGTATCTTTTATTTTATTGAACATTTGTCTTTTTTTATTCCAATTCATAAACAACTAAATTAATCAGTATTATGTTGTAATTAATGCACATTTATTTTTGTCAATCAGGAAAAGAGCAATTGATGCAGAATTGGCAGAAGTGGAGCCTTTGATTAAAGCAGCTCAAGCTGCCGTCGGCAACATCAAATCGGAGTCTCTGTCAGAAATCAGGTCCCTGCGCGCACCACCAGATGTCATCAGGGATATTTTGGAAGGTGTTTTAAGGCTCATGGGCATTCAAGACACATCGTGGAATTCAATGAAGTCTTTTCTTGCAAAGCGAGGAATTAAAGAAGATATTCGGTACGCAATTTAAGCCCGACTATTTGACTCAGATGAGGCAAAATTGCATTTTTGGAAAATGTGACTATCAGGTTCAAAAAGTAAACCACATCCAGTCATATAAAGCGGACTTACGATGGAATGTTGGAAGTTTGCAGTTCATAAAAAGGAGTCATAAGAAAAAGCTGCAGATAGTTTACATCTGCCATGTTCAGGACTGAAGATTATCCACAGTTTCTAACAGTAGTCTACTGTTGCATTCCAACTTTTCCACCCAACTTTTACAAAAATAATTTTCCTGAAGAAATGGCCTCTGTGCACTGGGGCTCATTGAGGCTGACAAGGACAAATTTAAAAAAAAAAAAAAAAAAAAAAAAAAAAAAACAATGATAGTTGAGTCCAAATTGTCACCTTCCACAAAAAAAGAGATTTTTGTGCTCAATATCGCATATTTTAGAGAAATATTTATTGTTAATTTGGGTTAGAAAATCAGAATTTAAGTTGCTGACGGAGAATGTTCTCCCGAATCCTCATGCATATCCTAAATGAATTTATGAACAATGGAGGACGAACAGTTGCATCTTAATCTTATAAATTTAAGCCCTGAATATGTCAGATGGAAATCATAAATAGCTTTTTCTCAAAACTATATTTTTCAACTGCTATCGAGAACCTTGGCACAGCCTTAAATCCATGTATCCAGTGAAGAGAAGGGGACTTTAGTACTCAGCATTTTTAAGTAATAACTTTTTCTTTTAAAATTCAAATATTTCCCATCTTTGTATTACCTGTGTCTCTTTCTTCAACTTCAATTTTTATATTTTCGTTAAGCACTTTGTAAATTGTGTTCATATCTCGAGCAGAGAGGTCTACGAATAGATAATATGGAATGTGCTTTTGTTTTCAGTTATTTTGATGCCAGGAAGATCAATGCAGACAACCGCGCATCAGTTGAGCAACTTTTGCAGGTAAGGAAAGACTCTTTTGAAGCAAAGACAGCGCTTCGAGCCTCAGCTGCAGCCGCACCCCTTGCCACGTGGGTCACAGCAAATGTTAAGTACTCTCAAATTTTGGAGAAAATTCGACCTTTGGAGCGGGAACAAAACAAACTTCAACAGTAAGCTACAAAAAAGATTTTATCATGGAATTGGGTTTTTATAGATTTTTACGAATATTAGTCATTTGTCCTCCTTTTCAAATTTTTCAAAAAAAAAACATCTCTTAATAAAAAATCTTTCATTAAAAGTTTAGCCTAACTTTGAAAAATCCCTGCACCATTTAACATTTATCTGAGGGTTTTTGATTAATTAAATTTTCTTTCCTCCTTTTATTTTTGGAGATTGCTTTCTCTGCTACATAAGCCGTAAATATCTTATAATTTTTAATTGCTGAAAATTTTAAATCGTCGTTTTACACTCTTCTTGCCGATTATTTAGACCTTCCTGTTAAAAGGGAAAAAGTATTCTATTGTGTTAATTACAATAGCGTTTCTTTTAAAGCTTTCCTTTGATGCTCTAGATGCACCTATCATTTTAATCATGCAAGCAAACGCAAAACCTTACCCTCCTAATTGTTAAAATGCATTTTTAAACAGCTCTCAACCAAGTGGTATCAGGCTCAACACTCAAAATTTGGAACTTTGCAAGGCGTCATGAGAGTACCATTTGCTGGTAATAATGATGGGTATTATAGTTAAAGTGTGAGATCATTTTTCTCATAAGTAATCATTTTCTTGATGGACTATGCGCAAAACCTCTGTCTCTCATCTCTCTTAAAATGGCTATTGCTTTTTATAATCACAGGAAATTAATGTTAGCTGAAGAACAAATCGGTGAATTGAGCATGGGTCTTGATGATGTTGATAAAAGAGTTGTTGATCTGAAAGAGCAACTGAATACCAATACAAAAGAGGCGGTGGAGATTGAAATCAGCTTGAACAAGGCCAAGGAGACACTTGCTGCTGCTGAGGGACTTGTCATGAAATTAGATGAGGAATATTTACGGTGGAAGGAACAGGTTAATATTGTTGATAAATCATTATCTTCGCCTCTAATACCAAATGTTATTACTACTTTAAAATGGTACTTATTGTATTCAGGGTTTATCATGCTCTAAAAATTCTTCACGAATACTTTCTTGATTTACCATTCAGATTTTCAAGTTTTCAAATATCCTTGAATATAAAGAAACTGCCCAAACATACTTCATAGTCCTTACATTTTACACCAGTTGGTTATATTTTTTTAAGTCCTTTATTGCTGACTTTATTGTGCCTATCATATTGAAAATGTTTGCAAGGATGTCTGTGGCAGTAAAATTTTTGCTCAGTATGAAAGCATGAAGTTTTATGAGATTGGTCCTAAAAGCGGTACAGATGTTGGAGTAAGCCTAACTGCCTAAGAGCTAACAAAAAACCCTACTTTTAAAATTTTGAAAATAGCGGCCATCTGAAGCTCCTCTTCTGCTCATTTAAACACATGCAATGAGCCTGTTGCAGACTTTTCCTACAGCAAAAATAACAGTTGTTACTCATAGAAAGTGTCTCAAAAATTACAATGAGCGCATCGACAAAGTCTGAAACACACTCCTTACTTTACAATTTGTATGAGGAACTTGCGTTTTTTCGAGCTTCCCGCTTCTAAAACGATACCATGGCACAGGTGAGCATTTCATGAGAGGAGTAATTCCATCTAACTCCTGCTCCCAAGGATACCACGCAATATTCAACATAGCCGACGACAATTCGCCAAAACACATGTAACAAGACGATGATTCTAACCACATGATAACAATCGGTGTGTTTACATTCACATTTTTCTCGCGTTGATAGATATCCCCCTTGATTGACCTCTTGCTCTCCTCAACTTACGCATGGAAGCATCGGCCATGTTGAGCAGGGATTGAATGAAACGGCTCCTCTAACAAAATGTTCACCTTTGCCGTAGTATCCTTTTTGAAGCGGGAAGCTTAAAGAAAACGCAAATTTCTCATGCAGATTGTAAAGTTAAGAATGTATCTCAGAGTTTGCCGATGCGCTCATCATGATTTTTGAGACAAAATCTATAAGGAACAACTCTTATTTTTGCTCTAGCAAAAGTTTGCAATGGGCCCATTCTTGTATTACTCATCTATGTCACTGGTAGGGTAAGCGTATGAAATTCAGTTTTTGCAGGTGGTGGTTTAAGCCTGGAGCGGGTTCAGGAGCAAGCTCAAAATTTACCCTCGATCAAAAAATGTTATGCACCTCAAATCATCCCATTACTTTTTGTTTTCAGTTAAGTGAACTAGGATTGCAAGTGGAAACCCTGAATGTTCATTCTTTACTTGCTGCTGCTTTCATTGTTTACTTACCTTCTTGCTCTCAAGATTTTCGCCAGTAAGTTTCAGAACATAATTTTCATAACTTTAAAAATGATAAACATACATTCAATAATTTTCAATATTTTTTAGCCACAGGCTGCTTGATGCCCTTTTTTTTAAAGCACTAAACAGTCATACTAAAGTCGTGGAATTGTCACTCTTAAGAGATACAGCCAACTGAACAGATTTTTCATCAATGAAATTGCACAAACAACTTGTTGAGCGTATTTATTGATGGCCAAAGTGCGGAACCATGCATCTTGGTTTTCAATGTTGCAGACTTCCCATCATACTTTATTTTTTCTTTGGAAAACTAGTCAAGGTTATTTCTCGGAAACTTCCCTGATTTTCCTCCCTTTCGGCAGACTATTCTACATAAATTTAAACTGCTTTGTCAGAAATCTGGATTGATGGTTGGGTTTTGTTATTCACTAAGTTCGTGAGTGAAACAAACCCCTACTCCTTTTTTTGATGCTCTAAAATTTTTTATATTTTATTTTTAGGCAGACTGTACAGCAGTGGCAAAAAATGTTGAACGTTGAAGAGTTCTCTTTCGTTCGGTTCATGAAGTCAGAATGTGAACAGTCTCAGTGGGTATCCGAAGGACTTTCGTCGGATCAACTTTCATGTGAAAATGCATTTATAATTTTGAAGGTGAGGCAATCAAGCATGTATCAATTCACTAAAAACAGACAATCACTAAAAGCAAACATCACTATCAATTGGACTGCATTTCGCAATTTGGAGCTATAAATTCTGGCTCATCTGAAAAAACACTTATGTGCATAGGGAAACTAATGGCACATACGTCGTTTTTAAATCGGGCCGGACTTTATAGTTCCTAATTGCAAAATGTATTCAAATTGAAGCACAAGTCATGTAGACTGTGTTGTTGATTTTAGCAATATGTGTTAAAATTCAGTATAAAACTGAACTTCTCATGGTAGAAGGAAAAATTTCATTTAAGCACAATTTCCTCTCAAAGAGGTATGCTGTTAGGTGCAACAGTAGTTACAACCAACCATGAGGGCAACTGCAGACGCGTTTTGGGTCTAATTGAAACTATCATCAGTGTAGAGCAGCCTCCAGATTTGCTGCTTCCAAGCTCGGAGAATTCCACCAAGTGTTGCACCAAACAGCATATCTTCTTGAGAGGAAATTGTGCTCAAATGAACTTTTTCCCACTATAAAGAGAATTTCAGTCTCATACTGAATTTTAAGGCACAGGGGCAAAATCACCATCACTCTGTCGATCTAAATACATGAATTTAGTTTGAAGTGCAATACTCCTTTAACTGGTTTTAGAAATTTTCTGTTAAGATAATGTTTTCAAGGTCAGAAGTTGCCAACAATTAAATTTATTTTCAAGGATTGATTTCCTAAAATCAGAATACCTAAATTCTTGATTTAAAATTCTAAGTTGAAAATCTAATTTCCTAAAATCATCATTTTAAATACACATTCAAATTAGGTGAATTTAGGAGTTTTTATTCTTTCGGGACTGAAGCATACCAGTCCGCTCCATAATATGTTGTAATTGAGCACTAATATTTTCTGTTCGGTCTGTTACAGTTGCTGGAAATGAGCTCCGAGGTAAATCATGTTCTCTTTTTCTCTTAAATTTTTATCAATGGATTTCAATGGATTATTTTGTGATAGTCTGGGTTAGGATGATAATTTTTGTACAATGTACCAACATGTGAATATCAAATATAGTATTGGTAATAATATTTTTTTTGCTTTGTTAAGTCTGATGATTCTGTAGGCACAGACAATTCAGTGTAGTTTTGAATATTTTCATCCAGAGAAATAACTTAGTCATGTAATGTTTTCATTTTGTCTCCAGCAGATATGTTATGTGCCTCTTATCCTCTCAGCTTATACTAACACTGAAATCAAAGGTCACCTTTCTGTTTCCAATTTTAATTCAATCCTGTTTTCAAGCCCGATTTCCCATTCTTCAGTTATCATTCATTTTTCTTCCTTTTTGTTGTTGTGCTATCTCTTCCTCTCATTAACTCTTTCCTTTTTTTCATGCCTATATTTTCAAACTAAAGAGGAAAAGAGACAGGAAGGGGTCAATTTAACCAGAACAGACTCAGATCTGTGCATGAGGTCACAAACTTCGGAAATTTAGTGGGTGTGAAAGCGAGAGGTAGAAAATTTGGTTTTTCACCTTTTTTGATTTTTCGTTTTTTTAAATTGGCTTACATCATCAAACTGAGATTTGATACGTACATAATCTTATGAAATTGAGGTTTCTTGCCTCAAGAATAAGTGCCCATCTTGTTGCCTCTAACTACATGAGGAAAAACTAATTGACTCTATTGCGGCACAATGTGTCGTCCCTATCCAATGAAGTTTAAATGAGTGAGTCACATAACTGTTTATTTGTCACTAAGTTCTTGCTCAGTGTTCCACATTTTTTTTAATTTCAACTTTTTCTCCGTGCCTATAGCTAAACCTAACGCCTTTTGTCATCGACCCAACATCAATGGCTACAAACTGGTTAAAAAAGCACCCGACAGACAGTTCAGTGGAAGTAGCAACCCAAAGTGACCCCAGATTCCTGACTACTCTTGAATTAGCAATTAGGTAATAATTAATTTCATGCAGCGGAGGTAACTAATGACCATTCCTGGAAAAAGGAACTTAAGCTTTGAGAAAATCCATTTCAAGTTATCGGCACAGTGTTTAAGAGGACTGTTTTCAATTTTTTCAGTGTGAATAATACTCGAATATTTAAAACCTAACCAAAGTCACAAAGTTCTTGAAGCTCACAGCTCACAAAAGATACTTTTAAGAGAAAAAGGAATCATAAAGTGCGCCGTGTCAAGCTCATAAAATCAACACAAAGATGTTTTTGTGGCATCACCTCAGGCTCATGAGGCTAACAGCAGTGAATTTATGTCTGATACTGATTGTAACTGCTTTCAATTAAGAGGGGGTTGATGTTCACATTCTGATAGTAAAATTGAAAGCAAATGGCAAAAAAAGACTTGAATTTTAGAGTTTTTAGTGTATTTTTGGAAAAGTCACCCCAAAATCCGTCTCAATGCTTTGAATGGCAAGTCCTCTTTTAGCTTGTCTTTCTGGTTTAATGTGAAAAAATACTCTCGTTGGTACAGAATGTGTCACAATTTTACTGTCATATTTAGGGCTATAAAGTAAATGGTGATAATGTTGATAACTTCTTTTGGCACAAAATTTAAGTGCTTAAAGCTTATTGTTGGGATACCAGAGAGCATTTTTTATGGAAAATTAACTTATTGATCTAACTTACCAGCAATCGCTTGTCTAACTAATTTTTCTCAGGGAACTAAGGTTCTTTCAACTATGAATGGTCCGAAATGGAAAAGGAAAAGTTAAAGCGGTAACAGAGCCACTTATCATGTAAACTCGAAACTAACTGAAGTATCATCATCACAAAAAGGACTGTGAGACAAAAAGGAGTGACTGTATGAAGGGTAGTGTCAAATGTTTTGAGGGAAGCATAGTGATCGCCAACAATTGTGAAATGAGAAAATGTCAAGAATTGAGTGAATGTTATTGTTAATAATTCAAATAACACAATTCTGAAATGTTTCCTTTGTCTTTCTGCTACGCTGTTTGTACTAAGTTTAAGAATTATGCACCGACTCTCTGAGAAAGGTGATTTTATTTTTAAGACTTTGTTTTATAATATGATCCAAAGAAGAATGACTTTAATGTGGGTTTCCGTCTATTTCAGATTTGGTAAAGTTCTAATAATACCTGAAGTTAGCAACATCTGTCCTATTCTCGTTCCTATACTCAGAGGAAATTTCTTGTTCCAAGGTACGAATATTGTTTGATTTTGAAATTTCTTTTGCATGCATATTTTTTTGTAACCTCTTGCCACAAACATCATCCAGGAATCCAGGGACCGAACTGAGGGCAGAGCTTTCTAGGCTGGTACTCGTCATGACCAATTTAGAAGAGTGGTGCACTTGCAATGTATGGTCGTTGATATACGTCAACTGAAATTCTACTGTTTAAGAAGGAACGAAGAAAGCAGACTTCGACTTGTCTTTTTGGAGTGGAGAGCAAGGTGGAGAACAATTACTTTCAATTGAATTGGCAAATTGGGTCTGCTCCATGGGCAATGCTCATTAGATACAACTGCTGAATTCTGGAAAGTAAAATATGTAATTTTGAAATCACAATTTAGCTGAAAAAATCATTTCCTCAGGAATAAAAGTCATGCCAGACTTTTCATCGTTTTGAGTGTCCTGGGCTAAAAATGTAAAATAATGATAAATCAAAACAAAATGCTATGAGCTTGGCATTTCACTGTTGTTTTTCAGCTTTTCAAATTTCATATAACTCTAATGGAAAGGATGGAAATTGATTTTACCGCAAAACTGTTTCAGGCTCCAGGAAGCTGATATTAATCGGAGAAAAAGTTGTAGATTTTAACGACAAGTTTCGTCTCATCTTGTCTTGTCAAGAATGCACACTGCCACCGAGTCAAAAAGCATCAGTGATCTCAATCAACTTTTCTCTCACAAAAGCTGGCCTAACTCAGCAGGTACTTTCTTTTCTCTTAATTTTGTCCACTCTGATTCTTTAAGTCATGGAAAATAGCTAAGTTCTGTAACATGGCAGTAGCTTTTAGTTCAGTCTAATGAGATGAGCTATATGAAGCTGGAAGTATTTACTCAGTGCGCAATTTGATTCCTTCCATTTTTTCAGTTGCTGAGCTGTGCTTTGAAAATTGAAAAACCTGAACTTGAGGTGAAACACAACGAATTGCTCAAAAACGCTGAAACTCTAAAATTACAACTACATGAGTTGCAAGAAAATGTTCTAAAAGAACTAGCCAACTCACAAGGGAACATTCTGAATAATAAGGTTTGTACTGTCATTTATACTTGTCTTTAGCTTAGTTTGTCTTTGTACATTTGTGTGCAGATTTGTGAAAGGCGTTGAAATGCATCTACCGCCCAAAAATTTTAACCGATGTAAAAAATCCCAAATCCAAAACTTTATTAAAAAATTCCCATGTGGCGAAGGCACATGAAAAATTCCTCAAAAACCTACAATCAACTGAACCCAGTGATAACTACCTATCATTTTACAAGTTTTTTTCCCCCACTCAACTGTATTAAAGTCTCCATGGGAGATTATCTCCAATTTGTGGGTGTACCTGAATGGTGTTTTACATGATTGTTCATTGTCGGCCCCCCTCCAAAAATTAAAGAAAAAGTAACTCTGAAGGATACATTTGTATCCAAAATCTCAACATGATATGCCCGGCGGATTTATGTTGGCATACAAATATAATCTAATATACTTCCTTTCTTCTTCTTTTTAAATTGATTTTTAAGGAGCTGATAGATTCACTGAACAACACAAAGAGGAGCAGCGAAGGTATCAGTATTTCCTTGACCAAATGTGAACAGCTTCAATCAGCACTGACGCAAGAATGCAATGCATATCAAGCTCTGATTGATGCCGCAGCAAATTTATATTTTGCTTTAGATTCCTTAAAGCTCATGAATGTTTTTTACCAAATGTCAGTTGCAACTTTCACAAACTTGTTTGAGAAGACCCTCTCTTCTACTTTCCAAGTGAGTCTCTGTTCATTCAATCACTTTTGAAATTTAACATGCTAGGCAACTTCAGAAAATGGGGTTTCTATCCTGAAATTTTGGCAGATTGTTAAAGTTTAGTCCATACATCATTGAATTAAAGTAAAGAAAGTAAATACTCTTGAAAAATCTAGCCTTTGACAACATTTTTTGGACACTTACAGTTGAAAAACATCATTGAAGAAGTTTTAAATTAGTTCTTGACCAACAAATTTGTTTGAAGAAAGGACCTAAATGCAGGAAAGCTCGAAATTCTGATATTAGTGCCATTAGAGGAGTGTTCTACAAACACTCTCACAATATCCGCCCAAAAATATCAAACCAAACGGAAAGAATGATGCTGTGACGTCTGCAGTTAACTAAATGTGGTTTTAAGGGAAAATGCTCTAGGTTTTGATCTGCCATTTTTGAGGTTTGAATATTGAGATCATGAAAATAAAACAAATTTATATTTAGCAGCTGGTATATCCTCTCTCTTAGATCAAAATGGAACTTGAAACTTAACAAAAATTTCTTACATGAAATATTTGCTCCAACACAATTAGGACTTTTTTCCCCATGGAGGTAATACATATATATTTCCTTGAATAGTTTCTTAAGTTACTGGAAAAAAGAGTAAAGTTATCTCAAAGAAAATTAAAGGCATCTTCTTTCTTCAATTGAATTGTAATCCAGTCAATGAGGAATTGGACTATGACTCTCATTATGTAAGACTCGATGTAATTTGGCGCTAATTTTTCTCGTCTATTTGACTAAGGAAATTGGATCCGTGGACAGGAAAGGAAAGTTCATGGCATTTCTTCATGCTGTGTATAATTTCATGAGCCGATGTCTTTTCAAGGCAGACAGATTGACCTTTGCCCTGCATTTGGTTCGCAACGTATTTCCTCAGCTTTTTTTACCTAATGTAAGTAAACACTCATTGTGGCTAAAAATTCTATATTTTTAGTAGCTCAAAGCAGTTGCAGTTCAGAAAGTGCTAAGTTTTAAGGAAATTAAAAACAGCTTACAGTATAATGTACAAGTTGTTTAGACAGAATAGGAAAATGACGATTTTTCCATCGTGCATCAAAATTCAGTTTAGAACTGAAATCTTACTGGGATGTTTCATTTATATTGGTATATTTCTGTGATAAAATGGGGGAAAGGAACCTAAGTGATTTCGTAAAATGTTCAACAATCCCAAAAATTAATTCTGGGTCCAATTTTTCAATTCTTAGGAATTTTTGTTGTTGTAAATATCTAATCTGCATATCCCAGAGATATTTCAGTCAGGTCAATTTCAAAAATTTAACCTAAAACCAATGAAATTAGTGTCTTAGGTCCCTTGCCATTCCCTTAACTTAAGCCAAACTTTCCACACAATTTTTTTGAATTTCAATTCCATAGAAAACCCTTTACAATGATTTTCAACACAAAACTGGGCCAACTTTTGATTTTATTTCGACAACTTAAGACCGTGTGAACTGTCAGAGTCTAAACTGTGTAATTATCCCAAAAACTTGATTCTTGAAGTTTTAACGTGAGGCTCATTCTTTCGTATTGCCTAACGTGTACTGCCTCTATAATTGAACAATGCAAAGCAATACACAAGGACTCAATTGAGACGTTGCAGGAAGGGCATTTCTGGATAGTGGTGTTTTAAAATCTCCGGTGCTAATTTATTCTTAAGAAAGGAAACCATTGGATAAATTTTCTGAAATTCTACGTTTTCAGCATTGTAAAATCATCAAAAATATTCAGTAAAAGTCACAACGATTTACATACATTTGCTTTAATCATAACAGATGAAATGTTAGCGGAGCTTTTGCGACACCGCAACCAAGAAATGCCCATTCTGCACCCAGTGCTTGAATTAGACAAGAAATCTGTCTGTGATTGCAATATTTCTTTCTTTCTTTTTTTTTTAAATTGGAGCATCGTGCTTTGAATATTTTCAAGAATACATTCTCCTCAGCTCTTACCTGATTTTAACAAAAATTAAAGAACTGCCATGCTTTTAGAATGATCAGTTTTTCCTAACAGAAAAAAAAGAAAAACCTAAAAGAGACACTTCATCCGTTTTTGTACAATTCTAATGGCATCATATCTAGTATTATATTTTTTTATTAAATATGAAAGTGACATTTGATCTTTCTCTGTGCAGGAATGGGAGTTGCTCATTGGTCAAGCTGTTGGTGATTTAAAAATTGATACTGCCAAGGTGAATGACGTTGTGCCTCAGTGGATTGACAAGGATCGTGCATTTGATGTCTTCATTCTTCAGGTATTTTATGCATCCTAATACGTGACTGTTACCTAATCCTTGTGCCCCATACCTAACATTTGAAAACTTCAATTTTTTTTCCTTTCAAAATAACACTTTTGAATTTCTACCTTCAAATTGTCCAGTCATAGCGCGGTTTGACTCAACATTTTTAGGCCAAAATATTTTCATAACACCCTCCTATGCAACATTGTTATTAAAGCAAATCTAATAATGAACGCACTAGGGACAATGAGAAATAAAAGAGGATAAAAATGTGATAAAAAACACACACAATGTAGATGGCACTAATAATATGTGTAATTCTTCATGGAATAAATAAAAAAAAAAACTAAAAATAATTTAACAAATATAATTGCATCAAACGATTGATGCATTCAATGAGGAGCACGAAAATAAAGAAATAATAATAAAAAACTTAATCTGACTTGCCAAAATGGTAATACTATACATGGATTAAGGCACATAAATAACTATCAAGACATGGCCTCAAGATCTTGGATCATATCAGCTAATTAAACTTTCCATAAGCACTTTCCAGACACTTTCCTCTAAGCTCAGTTCAAGGGAGACCAGGTGGAGGCCATTAATAAAGACATTGACGACCACAATCCTGATGAGAATTATCACCAGGCACAATTTTCAGACTGCCGCAACACCTGTTGCTACAAAACAGATGATTTTTGTGTTAGTAGAAACCTATCTGGTAAATCTGAATTGCTCAACATTGAACTTATAATGACTGGCTTAGGGTCAAACAACTTACAAATTTTTAAAGCTTTTGAGAACTTCTTAAAGCTGTCAGTATAACTTTTGATGAACTTCTTGTCTAGATTATTACTTTTATCAAAATGATCAATAGCAAAAATATGTCCTAAATACGGAGCAGTCAAAATACTCAAAACATCGATCACAAGTTTTATCTGTTGATCAATACTTTCTCTGTTTTCCTCCTTTAGTAAAGATCACTAAATTATGTCATTTCTTAAAATCACTCTCGGAAACAGTCAAATATTTGAACAGGAGGAAGGTGCTTTAAGTAGCTCCTTCTAAGGTACAATTTTGGTACAGTAGCTACAGTTTCTCTGAGTGTTCAGAAAGCCGTTGACAAAGAGGAGCAATGTGGTCGTGATGTAGAAAAAAAATGTATCTCAGAACAGAAACGATACCTTATCCAAGGGATGGATCCTATGAATGTACATTCAATTCTGCTAAGATAATGTAAGCATTTTTTCATGTTATTTTCGTTAGTTTCTATCAAATTTACAATTAAATTCAAATGTGCCACTTTGCGAACCACGAGTTCCCTCTTCAATTACAAATATAATTGCTCATTTTCAGCACAGATTTTACATGATAACACCTGTGTAACGAATTCATTAGCAGGCTTTTTCGAATATCATTAATTACATTTGTTAGGAAATCTATTAGTATAAAATTTGAGAATATTTCATGTAACATTCAATGAATGCACTGGTATAAAAATAATAAAGAATGAATACAAAATTTAAAATTACTTCAATGCCAAGATTCTGTTGTTCCATTTAACTTTAGAAAAAATGAAGAATACGGAGTCGCGATCAATCCTGATACCATTGATCGCTAGATGAATGTTGAATTTTTAACAGTGACTTAATTCAGTCAGTGTCGGAGGATCAGACTGGATTTGGTTGTTAATTTAAAAACATGTTTTTTACTTGCATGTGCTACAAGAAAGAAACAAATGGACCGCGTTTAACAGAAAGGAACCAAGCCACATCGGCTATTGCCAAATTTAACTGGGCAATTTAATTTTTTACGAGAGAACGTTTCTGTGGATTTCCTTGAAAATTTTGAGGAATTTGCCTTGTACTGTGGAGAAAATTTGCTGAAATTTGCACAAAAATCCGCACAACCGTTTTCATGTAAAAAATTGAATTGCCAAATTGCAATAGCTGATGTGGCCTGGTTCCTTTCTGTTTAACGCGGTCCAAATGTGACAGGAATAGACTTATGAACTTTACAGGAGAAAGAAGGAAGTGGCACCTATGTGCATTGCATGACTTTTTATGAATAAGTCTTTCATCTGCTCCAGAACTCTCCGTGCAGCTTTTTAACTACATGTATCTTATTCTTTAAAACATTCAGGTTGATAGGTTACAACTTTCACACATTCTGCTCATTTCCATAGTGGGGCAGAAATATCATCTCTACTGTGAGATGTTCCGGAGTGCATTCATGGGTGCTGACGTTTTTTCCCTCATTAATACTTGTTGTCAGATTTTCCAAACATGGAGACAAAGTTACTTAATATCGAAGTATGGTCCCTTCATCTTTAAACTGCCCCACATTGTCGAGTCCAGCCCACCATTTCCGTAGTGTGTTCTTGCACACAAGCTCAAACCACGGAGTGACAGGAAACTTGAGCTCGGCCAGAAATCGATCTAGCTCATCTTTCTTCACGTATCGAACATCTTGCACTTCATCTGAATTGGGAGAGAGCGTAACGTCCCGCTTTAAAAACAATATGTAGTCTATTTCATGTTCACCCCATGTTCCATCTCCTACCGAAAAATAGTGGATCCTTGTCAGGTAGTCGAAGTACTCAGGCTTGCATTCTTCAGCAGGAACGCCCAGCTCAAAACCCAGCCTACGTTGAGCAGCCAATTTCACACCCAATGCGTTTTTTTCTTCTTGTTCTGCAGGGATCTGTCAATTGAAAGAGGAAAAAATCGTTTCATATTTCAGTTGTTCATAGGTTTTTTTCCCCCTCCCCTGGGATAATACTTTTTCATGAATTATTGAATCCTTAGCATCTCCCTCACCTTTGTAAATAATGTGTGGTTAGGATTACTCGTCATCAAGCCTGTTTTTTCGGCAGACTTTTAGTCTTGGTGGCTCTTGGTGGGGGACGGAGCCTACTCTGTAATGAAATTATGTGTATTTGAAAAGAATAAAATTAAATTGAATTGAATCTCATTTAAAGAGAGACATTTGCCTCTGCACATCTCAACCACATAGATTACTAGGAAAAACAATTTTTATAATGTGGAGAAATAAAAACGGGATGTGCCTACGAGCAAAGCATAGCTGTGCATTTGATAGAACAGTAGATTCCATTTAAAGAGAGATCTCATGTAAGAGATTAGATCTCATGTAAGAGATTAGATCTCATTTAGGAGGTTAGATCTCATTTTGAGAGAGGGGTTAGATCATAGATCATTGGCAACAAGAAAATTCTAATACTTGGAGAAATAAAAACAGGATGTGTCTATAAGCAAAGTATTTCATTTGATAGAACAGTAGATGTAAACTCCAGTGCAAAATGTTTTCATTTTTTCATGGAATAAATCCCAAGTCCTTTTTTTTGTTAATTTTGCATTTTCTACAGTTCAAATCATTTGTCAAAGTCATGCTTTTCGCTGGTAATGTCATGAATGTCAAAGGTTTTCACTTCATTAATGGCAACGATACAACTTTACGCTTTATGAAAAACCAGGACCGGAGTTCAGCGTTTTGGAAGATACCTCATCATGTCAAGTGTCCTCGAGGCATTTTTGGCCGTTTTGTTCATACTTCGTTGCATCTCTATCATCATAAGAGGAAAGCCACAAGATTGTATTTTGTGAAATTTTTTTTTACTGTGTCAAAAACTTATAGTGAAACTTGTTTCTAAAACTACTTTTACTTGATGTCATTGACCTCTAAGCTAAAAAGAATACTGATATTAACATTCTCACCTCGAACAGCGGATGGCTGCAGCAAGCATTGGTGTAGTGGTTCGGAAAGGTGATTTTGGTTGCAGACCTTTGTTGAACCAACATCTCGTTCTTTGAATTAAATAAAAATACACTGAAAGCACGATGAAGTGGTATGGAATTGTTAACAACACGGTGGCAGGCTTCTTTGGTTGAACTGCCCAATGCTCGGTCATTTTCATCAACCAGTATGCATTCCTCCAGCAATGCTGTCTCTTGCACGGGATCAACCTTTTTCTGCAAACTGCTTTGAGTACGGTGGATCATTTTAAAAGAAGATGGAATTTGGGGAGTGATGGTGGCAAGCCAGGAGCGAGTCAATGGAGCGAGAATCCTGAAACAAAATGTACCCATGATAAGCAATTAAGAAGCCTTTCATGCGTTTGCGGGGCATTCTTTAAGAACATGAAAAAATAATCAAGAAGCGAAACGTACTCTTGAATTACATTTTCTCAGTTAAAACGGTTTCCTAGTTGGATGTATTTCGATCAAACAGAACCATGTGCAGGTGGTAAAGATGGGGTCTGCTCGTTAGCACTCTGGTTATAAGAATGAATGGGAAATATAAAGTGCCAGTGACGAAGCCGTCGTCGTGGCTCCTCGTAGTGGTCATTAACTCATGAGCCCTGTTCACAACGCTTTAGACACATGCCCATAGCTCATGGGTGCCGCATTCAGTTGGTTCACAATTCCATTTGCTGAATTGGAAGCAGGATTTAACATTCTGTCAAATGGAACTATGTGCAAAGTGTATGAGCCATGGGCATGTGTCTAGAGCGTTGTGAACAGTGTCATCACTATGAGGAGTTGCGACGGCGGCTTTGTCACTGGTGCTGTTTATTTCCCATTCATTCTTATGGCCCGAGCACTAATGAGCAGACCCCCACCTGCACATAGTTCTGTTTGATAGAAATACGTCCAATTTAGGCAAAGCTTAAGATATTCTTGAAACCAAGGATCCAAAAGCGTGAGTAAAAGCACTGATAGAAGTGGGATAAGAGATTTAAAATGAAAAATATCAAAATTTTGTTTAAAATTCAAATAAAAAATGATCAAATCATACATGAATACATAAAATTTGTTTTTTCATCATCAACTTCAGTGTACCTAAGCTGAGCAAATAAATGCACAAGTGGTGTCATTATGCCGAAAAGATGTATCTTCGAAGGGAGTATTGAAAACCGTTGAGGCTGAGTCTGTGCGCCTCTGTGAAGGAGTAGCCCTCGATTTTTTATAAATTTCTTTGAAAATAGATCACTCATGTTCAATGATGTTCAAGTAGTCTTTTCTAGAAAATGTTTCACCTGAAATATGAACAGTTTTTACATGTTGGTGCCGCACCGGGTTTCCTGATTTTGATAGCTTTATTTTCTTTTTTTTTTTTCGACTTTCAGTACCACATAATATCATCTATGCTTGTATCTGAGTAAGCTGATCGAGTGGATGTTTTGAAATTTGTCGAAAGAAAAAAGAAAGATTAATAGGCATTACAAATTTTATTGACCAAGTATTTTATCAAGCGACAACAAAAAAGAGAAAGTTAGAATACCATATCTCTTAGCTGAAATGTTGATGACGAGGAGAAATTATTTCTGCTGTCATCAAAAATTTGTTAAACTTTTAGAGAAAATAAATTTCATGCCTAGAACCAAAGTATGACTCCCAATTTAAGACTTCGAGCACAACTTTCTCTAATGTATTAGTTTATCCTCACACCACTTTCAACAAGCTTATTGAACAGGCACTGGAACATGTGCTTCTTCAATTTAATCACCGAAGTAAATCTAAATTTTCGATGAGATGGAAAAAAGAATTTATAAATTAAAAGGGACCAAAAGAAAAGGAGAAATCTTATCAATAGATCTATTCACTACCTGCTGATATCCATATTTACTGACACAAACTCAAATCTGTAGTTAAAAGCATATGACGGAGGAAGGATAAATGGAGGACTACATAATTTTTTGCCCTCTAACAATGAAAGATTCTATTTCCTGACTTTTTCAAACAACATCGCGACCACGATCACTGATTTTTGCGCTGATTGCATCTCACTTTGCATTTCTCATAATACGAAACTTTCTAGGTTACTTTTTGGATTGTTTACATTTGCATAGTCTTGCGCTGCTGTCAAACTTTCAAGGTCATTACCGGTGCTAGTTATTATTAATAACATCATCATGGCAACCGTGGAGACTGCCTTCTCATCACTGAAAAAGCGGGAAATTTAAATTGGAAGCCGGCATGGGCCAGTGTTTATTCAATCCCATGCAGATGATGAGTGATTTCTTGCCGCCTTTGAATGGAAATGCGCACATCATTTTGCCAGCTGAAACGTAGAAAAATTATGGATAAAGTTCCTTTTAAGCTCACCAAAGGAATATATTTGTTTCTGAACATGACTATTTAGCTTTGATCACTAGTGATCAAAGCTAATGATTAGAAGTGCAGGCTGTGCACCCACCCTGAAAAACTTCTCTCCCTTCCAGGTATATTATGGTAATGGAAATCCCTAGTTGTTTTAATTATTTATGTTATTTTTACAGAACACTCTCCCCAATTTGTATTCAACTCTGCGATTAGAAGAGGAGGCATTGTGGCGAGAATTCATGACAAAAGGGGATGTCATCAAAGTTCCTCCCCATTGTACAGATACAGTGTCAGACGTCCAATTCTTGTTAATTGTCCAAGCATTAAGACCAGATAAGCTTCACTCCACCTTAACCAGCTTTGCCCTTCAAACTTTAGGTAAAAATACAAATCTTAACCCTTTTTATATTAGAAGTGAAAATTAGAGAGTTCTTGCTCAAAGTTACAGAGCATCCCACATGAAAACTTCTGATATCCTCTTGGAGGGTTTTTTACCTGGAATCTAAAAAATTGTAAAATCAGGAAATTCTACACTTTTGCCCTGTTTGGAACATGTTTTGAAAACTACGCAACTTTTTTCTGATTTTCTAATAAAATTTGTTAAATGCATGGTCGATCTTTCCTCAGTAGTTTCTACCTTCTTATTACTGTTACAATGAGGATTTTGCTTCTACACATGTTCTTCACAAGGTTTCTTCTTTCAACTCGCTTTTGCCAACAAGGATTGTGATCCAATCAGCAGGTTTCGAATGTAAAGAAAAATGATTAGTAGATTGTGTCTCAATCAGACACATGGCCCTTTATATTCCTGAGGTTTAACCTGTGTTCCTGAATAGTGATTTTTTAAAATTTTGTCTATACTTGCTGACAGATGTTATGCATTTGTTACTAGTGAATTTTTTTAAACAATGGTTGGTTTGGTGGGCCAGTGTCGGGTGGTCCGGGTATTGGCTGGAATATGGTGTCCCTTTGAGCTCACTTAATGAGTTTATTCATGTCAACCATATATACCGCATATGAGCTGGTGTATGAGCAGTGGGGGTCTGGTGGCATAGTCGCCAAGCTAATCTTCAACACTTCCTTATCCCTGCGGAACTTTCGGTACATCTTGAAGTTCCGCTCCTCTCCTAACTCCAATCCTATAAATGTTCCGTATGTGTTTAAGCAAGACCAGTCGTTGGCTTTGGAATGTAAGTATAATGACTTATCGCTAGCAGGTGAGGTCTCAATTCATATTCCTATTTCTATTTTGTATATACTGATTGACAGACTCACAGGTTTCCTTCTTTTTTCTCTGTTAACAGAGTTACAGGTTCTCTCTCCACCAATGTTTAGCTTGAACTCATTGCTTGCTGAGTCGAATAATTTAGACCCAATTTTGTTCATCATTTCACCTGGTTCAGATCCTTCATCTACACTTAGAGACCTGGCATCCTCTATCATGTCAATGAGTCGCTATCAAGAGGTATTGTAAACTGTTTTATTCAATTTCAATGTTGAAAAATTACGTAGAAGCTTATAATACAAATGGATGGTGAAACTATCTGACAATATATCTTGGTTTGCTACTTCGGAGACTTTCTGTTATACTTTTTTTTTAAATTCGTAAGGTAGCCTTGAGGCTTTCTCTCACCTTAAAACTCCCTTGCATTATGCTTGAATGGCTCCTTTACTTCTCCATTCAAGGCACCGTGCAAGTTCAATATTAGCTCAATCACACTGGGTGTAAGTATACTCAATAAATAAATCTAAATAGGTACTTATTATTATTATTATTATTTATTTCAGATCGTTTTAGGGCAAGGACAAACTGAAACAGCTGTAAAAAGTTTACTTGATGCAGCTAAGAATGGGCTTTGGCTTGTCCTGAAGAATCTTCATCTTATGATATCTTGGCTTCCTATCTTGGAGAAAGAGTTGAGACAATTAGAGCCGCATCCAGATTTCCGTCTGTGGCTAACGTCAGAACCACATCCAAACTTTCCAATTTTTCTAGCACGAGCTAGTCTGAAAGTAGCATATGAGGTAAATTTACGATTATTAATCATTTTAGCAGTGCTAAAAAAAATAAATATCTGTGGACCTGTGTAATCTTTTTTCTATGGTGTTCCTTCAAGTTTGCATCAGAACTCGATGTATTTATCGATGAAAAAGGTATATTTTACGTGAAAGAATCATCTGTAGCTTTGCGTAACAATTTACACTACTACCCTGTAAATCTCATAATCAATTTGAAAAAAAACCATTGTTTTATCAGACATTTTAGAAATAATGTAATATTTAATGATGATTTTAGACACGAACTTATGGAAAGAAAGTATCCTAATTTGTAAATTTCAACAGTTAATATGTGTAATATTTACCTATCCTTGAAGTTAGGGTTTTCCCCTGTTCCTCCTACATTTCTTACTTTTTTTTATATAAGATCTAAAACAGCTTCAAAATTTAAAGTTACTTCTTGTTCATAGGCTCCGCCTGGTGTAAAGAGGAATTTGCTGCAGACATTTAACTCATGGCTTCATGTGAGGCCAAGAAATCAGGAGCATGCTGCAGCCATGTTTATTTTGGCGTGGTTCCATGCAGTTGTACAAGAAAGGCGAACATACATTCCACAAGGTTGGGTCTCTCATTATGAATTCAAAGATGCTGATCTCCTAACTGCTGTCAACTTCCTTCACAAAAGAATCCAAGGAGGTACATCTCTCAAATTTTTATTTTCCTTTAATTCCTTATTTTCTCTTCATCAGGAACAGTTTTTCGGAGCTATTTCTCTAATTTGCTCACTTTATGTAACTATGCGAAAAAGGATAGCTTTTGAATGAGAGATATCCCAATAGTTTTTGGAGACGGAGTTGAAGTGTCTCAATGTTATTTCCTTGTATGAGTAACTCTATCACAGTTAAAATCCAAAACCAGAAGCGCGAAGTGTCCTTATCTACCATAAAAGTTTTCCAATGTATCTCAGAGCTAAGAAGGACATTTTGGGAAAACGAATACACTTATTAAGATCTTTCAAGAGCCTCTTTCATTTATTTTAGCTAATTTTTACGTGACAGCAATTTTAAACAGAATTTTTCTAGCTCATACATCCAAGATGTTTGTGGTTTCTTGAGTGCAACTATTGCTGATTTTTGGATGAAATGATTTCAAAGTCAGAGTTTGAGAACATAGAATGTACTCAGTATTCTGTGGTCTGGTAAACCAGGAAAGTCAGGGAATTTTGCTACAGCAGCGTTTAGTAGAAGTCAATGTGATTATAAAAAGAAAAAAGTCTAAGTGGATGTTTTGTTCAAAGATCAGGGGAAGTCAGGGAATTAAAAAATTTTGGAGTCAAAGGAAAGTCAAGGAATTGGAAAATGAAAAAATTATGGAAACTCGGAATGTAGCATTTATCAGTTATACTCATTTTCTCATGGTTGATCTTCTTTTTTCTCCTCCAGATGAAAGTCAAGGACTGAAATGGGAGTATTTAAGGGGCCTTTGTCTGGATAGTATTTATGGAGCTCGAATTGATAATGTTTATGATCTCCGCATTTTATCATCCTACTTGAAATCATATTTTCGATCCTCTGATTTGAGGAGTAACCCAGTCTTCAAGAGACTTCCATACTTCTCCATTCCAGCCAGCTCTAATATAGCAGTATGTAGTTACTCTTCAATAGCACTATTTGTATTCTAAGATATTATTCTGCTCTTGGTACAATCTAATTAGTTTAAAGATAGAGATAAAATTAGTTTTCCACTATAAAGAAATATTTTTACACCAAAAAAAAAACCAAAAAATGAACGTATCTTACTTTTGTCGTGTTTTGTGAGAGCTGGAACACTCCTATTAAGAATTGAACTAGACAAGGTGGTTAATTCACGTTTTGAATTTCCAGCTAGAGATGGCTTCTCAAACCTTTTATAACTTCATGGAAAAACCATGTCTTCAAAACGGGTTATATAAAGACAGTCCTTACACAAAAATGTAAAAATCTTTGGTTTTTAAAAATGAAAAATACTTTCTGTTCAGGAACTTAGTAAAGCTTCTCTAGCAACTTTGGTGCACTCTGAAGGAGTGTTGTTGAAATAAATGCGGTCAGCATTAAAGCACAAGGTGCAATAGCCAAGAGAGATATGCTACTATTGCAGGTGTCAACAAGTTACGGGCTTGCAGACCTGTACACTTAAACCTCACTCAGCCAGGTCATAAATGTTCCCAAGTAGAGACAGTCTTTTTCCAAATCATCTAATGAAACTGGTTCATCACACACTCTAGCAGTTATTGATCTCTTCTCTAGGACTACATTGCTGTTTTGAAAAAATTACCTGACACTGATGATCCAGAGATGTTTGGTCTGCCTGTAACCATTGATCGATCGTGGCAAAAAATCAGAAGCACAGAGGTCATTAATCAATTGAAAGGTCAGTCACAAAAACGTAACTCTTCACAGCTTGCTGTTCGGAATGATACACTGATCAATGAATCATAATCTGAAGTTCGGCCCCTAAAGAATGTTTAATTTTGAACAAAAGAAAACTGGACATTAAGCATTGTTATTTGTGTAAACAGTCACTTGCAAGTAGATTACACTGAAGTCTCCAACTGTCCAATATATCCTTTTTTTGCTTTATATCTTTGTTTATTTATGTACAATTTCAATGAGAGATAAGAATCCCATCAACAAACATAAGAAAAAAATATGATTTTTATTTTCTCTTCTGATTTGACCCAGAAAATTTTTAATACATCCAATATTTTTCAAGATTTTTTGATGAGAAATCATGTCTTGCGATGCTTCCACTCCTACTCTATCCAGTGTTTTATTTTTTCATGAGAAAGTCTCCATTGGTCACAATTGTGAAGGTCTCATCCAGTCATTATAAGGATTCAATTTTCCAGCTATAATTGAAAGAACTCTCTTGTTTCCCTTTTTTTAATTGGCCCTTAATTGTTGCAACTGTTTAAAAAATGTTCTAGGTCTGACAAGGAGAGCAAAGCAGATTGGTGTCAGCCAAGAGGATTGGAAAACTCAGCTTTCACCCATCTTAAACCTATGGAAGAAGTTAAATCAGGTATAAGATGATACAAACTTACCTAAAAATATTATGTTTACTACTCGGAATAATTTTTTGAAAAATAATTATCTTCCTGTGTAAAATGTATCAAAATTCTGAGTTGTTGATATCGAATGATGCTCAAGGAGGTCCCAGTTTCAATAAAGTCAGCCCCATCAAAAAATGAGTCTAGGGTATAAAGATTAAAGGTAGTTAATCCTTCATTGTAAACTGATCACAATTTTCATTGAAAAAGGGCCTGTTGCAAACTGTAGTTGCCTAGAGCAAAAATGAGAGTTGTTTTCTATAGAAAGGTGCTCAAAAATCATAATGAAAACATTGGAAAAGTCTGAAAAACACTCTTAACTTCACAATATGCGTTTTTTAAAGCTTCCTGCTTCAGCAACGACACTATGGCACAGGTGAACATTTCGTAAGAGGAGTGGTTCCATCCACCCCTTGCGCCCTAGGATGCTGCGCAATATTCAACATGGCCGACGCTAACCTGTCAAAACAAACGTAACGAGACAGGATTTTATCAACCAGCGTGTTTATGTTTACATTTTCCTTGCATTGATGAAGGAAGGCCATGGTGCTTCCTCACGATTTGAGCGCGGAAGCATCAGCCTTGTTGAATATTTTGTAGTATCCTAGCGCGCAAAGGTTGGATGGAACGACTCCTCTTACGGAGTGTTCACTTGTGCCCTAGTATTGTTTCCGAAACAAGAAGCTTTAAAAATCGCATATCCTATGCATATTTTACCCATATTTTTTACGCAAATCGCGGAGTTAGGAGTGTATTTCAGACTTTCTCGATGTGCTTATTGTGATTTTTGAGCCGTTTTCCACAAGAAATACTCTCTTTTTTGCTCCAGCTGAAGTTTGCAATAGGCCCTTTAAAAACAACAACAGTGAAGGATGGATTTCTTTTCGATAAAAATTGCAGAATGCTCATAAGGTTACCTTTTGCTTCCTTGCTACAATGCTAGTTACAATTCTCTAATTTGTTGAATGATGCACGCTTCAGTTGTATCTGTACTTCCTCAAAAAAAACCATATTCACCCACCCTCTTTTTTCCTTGGATTTGCCAGTAAAAATCTACCTTTTCGGTTCCACTTTGGCTGGAAAGCGTTTTTTAAAATCATCTCTGGGTAGTCAAAAACCAAAAAAAATATAAATCTATCTATTTTTATTTTGTTCTAGGGACTTGGATTTTTGCAGATGAAACCAACGAACAGTCCTAAGGGCCAACTACCACTTATTGAGGAATTCTTTTTTAATGAATTGGAGTACGGCATTATGCTCATCCACGAGATACATAAAAGTTTAGCGAGTCTTAGTCGTGTCATTAGAGGTGTGAGTCAGCCTTCGGCTCGTACTGAATCCCTGGCTGAGACTTTAGCCAACTTGAAGGTAATTTCAATCAGTTGATTTTAGATCTAAAGGGGTCTTGAATGATTTTGGAAGTAGTCACGGGGTCATACAAGTATCATGCAATGCATTGTCTCTACCTTTTTGACACTTTTTGGTCAGGCATTTTGTTACCTGAATACCTAGTAACGCACAAAGTTTGAAGAAATTTGTAAAGTTATCGATCAAAAATACACCAAGCTTTTTAATTTCTCTTGAAGTGATCATCCTAGGTTCAGATGTGAAGTTTGAAGTGATAAATCATGTTAAAAATTTGGGCATACTTTGAGTCTCATTTAACATGAAGACAATTATTGTCCCTGCCCATGAGACAAAAGAACTATTTGCAACACAAAGAAAATGACAAAATTCAACGAAATAAAAGCTTGATCCGTGGACAGAGGGTGTGTAGCGTTTTATTCAATGTCCTCTTTTTCCAGACAAATTCTGTTTTCATTTCTTCAAATTTTGTAAACTTCTCTCTTTTTTTCTGCAAATGATTCTGTAAACTTACGAAGCCAGGGCAACCATCTTTTTTTGTTTATCTTAAAGTAAGCCCAGTTGTTTACCTCATAGGTTTGACGTATCAACTGCAGGGTGTCCAGCAAAATGTTCCTCTTCTTCTCCCCGACTTTCTAGGTTTCCTCTGATCCTTGGATTTTCCGTCTCTCTGACTTTCCCTGATTCACCCCGACTTTTTGTTCCAAATCAGAAAAAAAGTCACAAGATTGGTTTCCATAATGATTCGGAGTCGCAGAGTACTATAGTGCACTGAGTCAGCGGCTTAATATATATATATCAGAAGAAACACAAAAATTAACATAACCCAGCGCAAACTATCGGTAAGAATCAGTAGCTAGCTCAAATTTCCGAGGTAGAAATTCACCGCAGACCAGGAGAGTGCGCATAATGGCTCAGCATCTGAGGGCTGTAAAGTTATGCCAGAAATCGCATTTTTCTGCACTCTGGGTTACTTGTTTTATCACATTGACTTCTCCGAAATAATTTCACCGTCCTAACTTTCCCGGTCGCTAGGCGCCCTGATCTGCTAGTCTGAAACTGGACAGTGGAATCACAGAGGAGTAAAAATGAAGTATTAAAATCTTGAATTCATTTTCAGGTCCCCTATGATTGGCACCAACTATGGGTCGGCCCTCAAAATCCAATGAGCTACATTCGGAGTGTCGTAAATAGAGCAAGTGCAGTCCTTCGGCTTAGCTCTTTGAAAGCCGATGATATTTTAAATCAGCCCTTTGATTTAGCTGATATTTATCATCCGGCCACGTTTTTCACTGTTCTTAGGCAGCACTCTACTAGGTGAGTCAGGTGGAATGAATATTAGCTGTTAAAATTCATCCAGTTTCACTAGACTATACACTTAAGTTTTCTCCTAACTATGCCACAATTAAATTTTTGCTCATCAATGTGATTTTTTCCAGACCATCTATAAGATTTTTTTCAAACAGCTGACATCTTGGAACTCATGTTTTATGTTTTATTCTCCTTGTAACAAAGGGCTCGTAAATATATGAGCTTTCTTTTTATCCTTAGCATTGTCTAAACTTACAATTTAAGTTTTATGTATTAATACCTACCTATTTATCTGCATTTTCCCATCTGAGGAACAGTAAATGGTAGATAGATAAAAGGCATAGTTTTTGCAGTAGCTAAGATGTTTTTAAATAAAATTTGTTTTGAAAGAAAACAAATCAGCAGGAAATCGGGAATCAGAAGCGTCAAATCAAAGTGTGCCTCAACATTGACAATGCCTCTTAATAACGGTATGTGCAAGCACATCAACCAATCTGTTCATAAAGACAGCTAGACTAAAATTACTCTATTGGGAGATTTTTGGTGGCTGAATTGCATGTAGGCCACCATACTATGGTGCCAATTTTTCTCAATTTTTCAGAAAACAGGTTATTCCTTGCATCAAATTCAGTTTTTATAATTTCTGAACATAAGGACATTAGATTCATTGTTTCTGAGGAGATCTAAGCAAGACTTGTCCTCTGAAATTCAGCATAACTGACTCTAGTGTTCTTTTAACATGAAGAGCAATCATTTAAATTTTTTTGTTTTACTCTGCACACGTCATAGGACCTACAATGTAGCTTTTGATGAATTAATCCTGAACAACAGCTGGTCTAAAAGTGACAGGAAGGACAAAGAGATTTCCGTGAGAATTACAGGACTCCTGTTGGAAGGTGTCAGATTTGATGGTCGCCAACTGAGAGAGAATACTGTTGACTCACCAACAGTTATGGTTGTCCCTGACGTCACAATTGCTTGGACCCTCAAGGTATATTTGTTCATACTATGTCAATTCTTTTGATGTTATGAAAGGGTTTTGCGAAATGGGCTCAGGTTTTCCCTAAATGTTATAAATTTTTTGATATCTGATTTGTCCGATACTTTTTAACCCTTTATGACGTATTATTATTTATCTGCAACAACAAGCTTATTTGTTTTTTTTTTAAGAATTGAACTATACCTCTGTGGCATGATGTCGCAAATTTGATAAATATTTTCTTTCTTGAAAAAATGGTTACCTAAATTTTGAAATTTCAAGGGAAAAATTTGGGACTCTATGCCCCAGTATGCTCACAAAAACTACAGCATCGAATTGTGTCCCCAAGAATCTGAACCCAAAATTAATTTACGCCCTAGAGGATTAAAGTACCCGAAGGAACTCAAAGAAAAATTTTGGGATATTTGATGATAGGGAGTATAATTTTTTTCTTTTTAAATAATAAAAACATCTTCGATCTTCTCAGTCTTATCAATCCCCAAGTGCCCCTATACTTATCCATATCATCAGAAAATTTAGAAAGTAAACTTCCGTTTTTTGGCAAATGGTGAATTTTAATTTTTTAATCCCTATTAGAAAATTTTCCTTTCATTTGGATGTATTTTAATCGAAAGAAACTTTCTCCATTTTGTCATGAGCCCTTATCATGTATGTGTCCTTATTGTTCCCAGAGCTCAGTTCACAATGGAGATGTGTAGCTACTCTTGATTTAAATATGTCCATTTATGAGTTGAATTTGGATATTTCCAATGAGTCTAGTTTGTTCCATGTCATATTTTGTGAGAAAAAGATGAGGAATTATGTATTGTTATGCTTGAATCCTGACCTTGCAGAGTGGTTGGGTTTACTTAGCCTCTTTAGGTGAGGAGTGAGGGTTTCAAATTGAAGAAAAAGAAATCGATGGCCAAAATGCGAAATGATGTATCTCCGTTTGTGACGTTGCACACTTCCTTTCATATTTTATATTTTCTTTGGAAAATAACTCTGCATAATTTCTTGGAAACTTCCTTGATTTTTCTTCTCTATTAGCAAAATATATTCTGCTTTAATTTCAAGCTATAAAGTTGGCTTGTTTCTCTTCGAAAAATGTAAAAGAAGCGGACATTTTCGGCCCCCCCCCCCCCCCCCCCNACACGGTGGTACGTGGTTTCGCTCTTTGCTCATCAAAATGTAATACTGTCTGATTCTGTAACGAAGACCTTATCATAATTTTTGGGATTTTATTGCGGCTCCCAACAAGTAGGCGAAGCACCGGGATAATTTACGAAGAAGCACTGTCAGTTTTCAACGGTTGTAAGTGGTTCAGTTCATTTAAATGCCAATGGAGGGCTTGAAGTTTATTTTCATCAGACAATTTGAGCACTGAACAAGGCAGATCATTGCTTTCCTTCACAACTACTTTCTTAGAACCACAAACTTTTATCCATCGTGTTTCTAGTTTGATTATATCTACTTTGGTCATAAACATTCATGTATGTAGTGATAAGAATAACTCAATTTTGAGGTTTTTGGCATTAACTTCCCTTGTCCTGCTGATTATCACCTTTTCTTTCAGTAATTCTTGCAGCTCACCACAATATAATGTTTGATGGTTGAATTTCAGGTCTTGTCTGATGAGGACGACAATCAAGTTTCATTTCCTCTTTATATGTTTCCGGACCGCGAGACTCCTATCATCAACATCAAAGTATATTCACGTTCAGAAGAGGTGGACAAATGGATCCAGACTGGAGCTGCATTTCATTTGCGCAATTAAGATATTTTAGTTTTCCAACATACACACATTATTCAAATGGGTGAATTTCATCTATTGATTTTCAGTAAGGTCTGGAACTTTAAATAATGGAAAAACTTTATTGTCCGGTGGAAATTTTGTCCCATCAAGTTTTAACTGATTTTTACAATAATAAAACCATCACATCAAGTAAGCTCTAGATATCTAATGGAGGCTCTATGCAAACTTTGCAAGAGTACGAACAATGCAACTAGACAAGGTACAAATTGAAGCATTCTCGTATGTTCTGAAAACAATAAATTTCCTCATTACTTTACTGAACCTGTCCTGCACAAATGCCTTGGAAATTAAAGGAGTACAATGAATCAAACTTCCAATTGAAAAACAGCTTGATTGTTTGTCCGCAGGTTTTTATGCGCAGTTAAGAAGAAAAAATAATAATTCTTAAACGAGTCTCCTTTCAAAATTGCTCAAAGCTTGTATATTTACAATACAATAATTTAAGAAAAATAGGTACACTTTTTTAAAAACCATAAAAAAACATGACAATACTTTGGTAAAAACAACTGACAGGTAGAATATAAACTAGATTTTGGAAAATATATAATAAATTGAAATGCAATAAAAGTATAAAAGTAGGAAAGGGCTACCTGAAAGGAGGAAAATTTTTGATTAAATGATTATGCTTCAGTGTTTGTTTGTTCCATTGAGAATTAAAGGGTTTAATAGTATCAAACAATATAAGCTGAATATAATAACAAAAAAAGGCTAAATTTTTATGATAATTCGTTTTTGAAGATCCACCCTACTAGTTCTAAAAATGACCACCACATAATATTGCTGAAATTTGACTCCAAAATCAGTGATTATTTTAATACTTTAAAAGATACCTTGAACTATAATCAAAGTTCTAGCAACACACTTCTAAAATGTATAAAATTATAAATGAGCTTTGATACATCAAAAGTAAAGGCTGAAAATATATCGTAGTCTTGCTAACTGGACACTCGTAAGTGCAAAAGAGATATATACAACTGCTGAGAGATATCACTCATGATTAGTTGATATAACGTCATTTTACTCAGCGCTACATTTGGGATCAAATTTGGAGCTTCAGAGAGCAATGTTATTGGTTTTTTGGGGGTCAATAAAAAGTACAAACGGCAGGTTTTTTCCCATTTACCTCTGACAGAGTTGGTCAAAATGTTAATAATTGCAGTCAGACTGAGTGAGCTTTAACTCAGATAACATAAAACGGCGGTGGCACAAATAATCTCTTGCTACCATATGGGGTAGATTACTCTTAAAGATTAAAAAAAACTACACCTTGAGCTCACAAATTATCAAGAATACATTTTGAAGTTTCAATACACAACCTCTGTAAGATTAGCTGCATTTCTACATAGTGAGTAAAAATTGATTTCAAGTCAACAACAAACAAGGCTTTCATTGGCGAAGGTAAATCTTAGTCAAATTGTTTTTTTTTTTTTTAATTTTGTCCTTCCAGATGCATCTTTGAAACACAATCTACGTGGTCACTGTGACGAATTTATTCTTTCATTAAGAATGGTTTAGAAGGACAGGGTTTTCAAAACAATCATCATAATAATTATTTTATGATGGAAGTTACGATGGAGCAATGGATTGAAGAAAGTATAATGTTTCTAAAATAAACTCCAGAATTATTGGGCAAAAAGAAATATTTTTAGACATGACTGATTTCGGGAAAAATTAAAGATTAAATTGCAAGTGAAACCAAGCCTTCATCTTATTTTGGATAATTAGTATGAGGGAATGGGAGGTGAAGAATTTTCTTTCAAGATTCAGGAAGAGGATTTTTTAACTCAAAAACGTGTACCCAGAGGTTACTCGAAATCTTTATCACTTGTTACTTCTTGGTTTACAAAAAACGAGTGATCTTCATATGACACCACGTTAGCAATATTCACATGGACCCATCATTTTGTATTTGAGCCAAAACAAGTTGATGCGTACATTTTTGAGAGCGACGCATTATCCAGTGAAAAAGTATATTAGTCACAGAGCCAAATGCACAGATTTTTACTAGGTGATCTTCAACATGGGGGTTGAATCATTAGTCAAACGAATTATATAGCTTAGGAGTAAATGTTTGACAAGTAAGGCAATTGTTTCATAAGTAGCTTAGATCCTGTGTAATCCACATTGCTAAAGAAATAAATGTCTTTTATTGCTAGTGGGACCTTCTTTATTCAAACGATGTATTCGTATGAGGCAATTAACCGATACATGTACTTTGCTCTGCCCCTGCACCCATAATCGTGAATTGAGACAAGGTAACTTCAAAATTTGATTGAAGATCACACCTATAGACTGACTTAGTGACATAATTCGATCGTTTCACCTAGATCTAATGAACTGCTCTCATATCAATTGCTAAGCTGCACCTTTTAAGGGCAACTGAATTCATTGGCAATACATGAAATGGCTCGGTCACTAAATCAGTCCATAGAATTCTACCCAAGACTGCAATCCTTCAAGATCTCTGAAATTAGAGTTCAAATACTTAGTAAAGTCCATCTGTAAATTTTCTACAAAGCAAATACAAATCGGCATCAACTGCCAGTAATGAACAAGCTTTCTGTATGCCATAAAGACAATTATGCTCCCAAAAGAATTTTGGCCTCATCCAATAAGGGTAACGAGACTTCAAAATGCTGTTAATCAGTATGACTTCGAGTTAAGAATTCTGTAGAAATATAGAATCTGAATGAAGGTCTTGCATGCAGAAATTGATAGACAAGATATGGTGATAGTATATTGATGCAGCTCCCATAGACAGTATCAAGTATTCAGTTATAGAACTCGAGAGGTACAATTTGTAAAACAGAGAGCCATCGACAGTTGACAAAGGGTGATGCAGATTTTTTTAAAAGCTAACCACCAAAAATAAACTTCAAAATTTTGAGATGTTGAAGGATAATGTAGGCACTACATTTGATGATGTTTCAACACAGTTTTTTAAGGTGAGAGCTGATTCTACAGAGGAGAGTTACGTACTCCTTTTGCAGACAGTTTCATGCCTATTTTATTTAACTAGTTAAACGATGCACTGTACAATGAACAAAACAATAGAAGTGACAAGATTTGTCAAACAATGCACATTAAACTTTAATACATAACACAATAAACCACTATATAGCCAGTTTAAGTAAAAAAAATCCCCAAATTTTGTAATGATCAGAGGAGGCAGCAAAGATAACAAAGAACGTTACTACTCTTTCACTTGATCAAAGAACAGTTTACCAGTGTTTCCACAATTTACTCCAGAAAATTATTTCAACATCATTTTACGCTCTTGGTTTACAGCCAATCAGAAATTTGGTTTTGACATGCTTCAACTCCGACCCGAAAATGAGAGCCAAACTTTGATAAAATCCTCAGGATTATTGAGGCGTATTTAAATGAATAAAATATTTTTAACATAACTCTAAAGTGACAAATACTGAGAAAAATGACATATTGTATGTAGTTTGAATGCCCATTTTAATACTCACATTATTTTCCTAAGATCTGAGCTACAAAGAAAATGTTTTCAGGGTCGGAGGCGTTGGTAGATTAAAACTGAATTCTCCAGATAATGACTTACTGGGGGGAAATCAGCATTTTTTGAAAGGCAAGAATTTGGTTGAGTGCTAACATTACTATTCTGGCTTGGTCATTGTACAAAGTTTGTGGATTTTCCTTCTCGAGGTGACTAAAAAGATAACTTAAAAAATAATGAAAAAAGAAAACCTAACAAGAAAAGAAATGCATTATTCACAAAAAATGGAATTAACAAAGGTAACCTGCATACAAGTTGAAGGAGAGGAGTGGAGAGTGGTGAAATGAATCAAGTAATATCTCATGGAAACAAAGCATCAGGAGATTTCTGTCGAATAACTGAGCGTACTCAGTTAATAATCAAATGTATCCTAGAAATTCAGAAATAACAACAAATGGATACTACACAAGGCTAATATCACAACTTGTAACATTTATTTATAATTTGAGTTCATCAGTTGAGGAGTTAGTCAGTAAAACAACAAAGAATCAACTTTGCTCAGCAAAGAGAAAAACCTTCTGTGGTATGGAAGAGGTAAAGAGCGAAAATATGACAAAAATGTGAATTTCCTTAGATACCTCTTTTTATTTCTAATCTTCTTTCTCTTTGTGAGTTCAAAAACTTATCGAGCAAGAGAGACCAAAAAAAAAAAAAAAAGATACTCCAATCAAGGAAACCAAAAGGTATCTAAATATCTGTTTTCATTAGTGTATACTAGTTACACTACTAGTAGTGAAGCACTGTATCTTCAATTAGGCTAAAATTCGAAACATTTGCTATTATGTATAGTAAAATCAGTCAGTTTCCTGAAGAATAAAGAGAAAATTATCAATTTCTGTTTTTCTTTCCTTTTGTTTTTTAAAGATAATTAAAATAAAAATCAAATAAATGTTCACTACCACTTCATCGATAGTTATTTGTTGAATATATGAATAGGGCTGCAGTTAAATACAAATTGATTATCTTCCTTTAATATGAAATGTTTTACTGGAGAGCTCATCAAAATAAAAACTCAAAAAAGAGACAAATTAATTATGTTAATGAACAATTTTTCCGCTCCATTCCTAACCACCAACTACTGGGTGATCTGAGCAACAGTCTTCAAAGCTCTAGAGAGAGCAGTCATTTTATGCAGGCAATATTCCCTCTTTTATCCAGAGGAATTGCAAGGGGAGATTATTATCTCTATGTTTCCTCATTAGAGATAGGGGTGATACCTCTGAATTCAGCCCCTTCTCTCAGTGCTGAGAAGGTTTTTATAAGATTATTAAGAATTTCCTCTCTGTGTTCATGGGAGAAAAAGCAGAATGATAGAGTTTTCTCCCTTTACGTCTGCTTCTTCACTGAGAAAAAATTACCTACTAGATTTCAGTGAATACAAAGCACTCAAAGGAAACTTCAAAAAACTAAAAATAGAAAAAGAGGGAGGGTAGGAGGATGAGGAAAGATAGACAGTAAAATCTTATCTATTACTAGTTGAAGAGAATTTGATCAGTCTCGCCTGGCACGTCTTTTTGGTGCTTTTGGCGCATCTCCTGCCCCGGCGACAGGTGAGTCCGGTGCCTCCTGGGAACAAAACATAACAAAAAAATGAGAAGCTGTAAATGAGGTTGTTCTTGGTCAAAGGGAATGGACCATTAGACAATGTGCGAATTCAAGCGCTATTATAACGTGGCCATATACATGGCCACACATATTTTAAGTTCCCTTCCCTTTCTCCCTGCACTTGCGCTCACTCTGAGCCAATCAGAGAGGAGGATCACTCGGCTGCACGACTGCTCGTCTGTCTCCTTCCGCTTGGGAGCCAGTGTTTTTTTTTATCAAAAATGTAAGTTGGTTTTTATTCCACTTTAAAAAGTGGCCCTTTGGGCCACCATGTAGTTTCCTTCTTAATTCTCTCATTCGTTCAGTCTCAGTGAGGTATTCGAGGTTTGCGGATGCGGTTTGACCACGGATTTAACCTCTTTTCTGGTGCCTTTACTCAAAAACTCTTTTTCAGTGGCTTTCACATTTTTATTGTGATCGGATTGATTGTTCAGTCTCCGAAGTTTTGCACCTCTCATCAAGAGATACAAGAAACTGATCACAGATAGTTCTATTTGTTATTATGAGCTGTCTAGCTTACAGAGAGTATGGAAGGTTAGAGGCCTGACTGGATAGGGAAGAATTGAAACAGAAGTTGAGCCGTGAGCAAGATGTTGCGTACGTTGGCGCGAGAGTGCGCGGCGAGGGAGATTACTATACTACTGCCCTGATTGGCCAAGCGAGGTTGCGGACGGACGATGTATGAAAAATTGCCTGCGTGGAGGTAGTCCGGCAGCAACATACCCGCCGCCAGTCTCTGGTAAGCAATAGAAAATGGTAGTTACGTTCGTTGCCAGCGAGCGCTTCTGTTTCAATTACTTAGCATTGAGTCGGGCCTCTAAGCTTCCATACTCTCTGCTACCTTACACTTAAAGTAAAGGGATTCTCTCACCGTTGAAGTAGATTCCTCGTCTTTTCCATTGTAGGCACTCGAGTCTGTGGAATCTTCTTGGCTATTGCGCTCTTCATCGTCTCCCTCTTGGTCTTGCTCCTGATTTGAGACACCTCTCCTTTCACCATCACTTTCTTCATCTTCATTTATCTCTTCTGGTTGGGCTCCTTCTGCCATTTCAGCTTCCACTGCATCATCAGCCACAACCTCATCAGTCTTTTTAGCCCGAGCCGAAGACTCTTTATCCTGGGGAAAAATAAAATTTCATCAGAACTAAAGCATCCTGGATATGAAGGACTCGGCAAAGCCACTCAAAACTATGAGAAAGTTGAGAGTGCAAGAGTCAAATCTGCTTTGGTAAAGAAAATCTGTTAGAGCAAATGGACGTTACCAGCTTTCTTCTGATAAAAATGGATTACCTGAAAAACTTGATATTATCCCAGTAGCTGAGAGCAGAGGGTCATAACTACTATATTTTCGGGTCAAGATGTCTTGAGAAACCTGCCTAGCAGCCCTATTGCATCTTTGATTTACAATTTTTCAATTTTGCATCTTTTGCCTGGCATTAGACAAGATTACCGAACTAGTTCAAACACACTGAGGCATTTGAAGCAAAGAGAGTACGGTCCATTTCGCTGATGAGGCAAACAACATAGTTTTTTTACGTAGTCCAGGGCTCATCAGCAAAATTGACTTTGTTCTTTTTGCTTCAAGATGCAAATATTGCAAGATATCTCATAGAATAATTCGATTTTCCTGAAATTGTTAGTTGCGATCTTTTGTTGTTTAAACATTGTAAGTAATAATCCTGTGATTACATATTTCTCACAATGCGTCAAAACAGTAAGTGCGAGCCCTCTTTTGAGTGCGCCTATTGACTTGATGTCAAAAACTTCATCAAATTTCAAATCTAATGATGTGGCCGGTAAGTCAGCATCCTTACCTTTAAAATGGCCGCTTTACATGCTTGAAAAAAATAATGAATGAACGTTGTGGCTAATGGGAAGGAAGGAGATTTCCTGGCTGAAAAGAGGCATGAGAGGGTAGGAAAAGGGGATACTTCGAGCTGAGGACAGCAATTTCCTTCGGTCTGACCCAATGCAGAGCAACTTATGAGCCTCCAGCATGAAGAGAAACACAATGCTTTCATGCAAATATCTGGAAACTTCGCCAAATATTTGCCCAAAGTGAAAATAAATTAAATGCAATGCAGAATTGTTTGGTATCAAAACATTCACTAATTTCCTTTATAGTTACAAACAATAGTTAGCCAAGTATAAAAATACTCTTGCATTTTTAGTGAAACAGGGTTGCCACAGGATGTACAAAATAAAATTCTCTGGCATTTCCGAAAATCCCCTGAAACATTTTGGTGAAATTCCCTAACATTAGAGGAAATGCCAGATGGTTGAGAAGACATAACTAATATGAAATAAATTTCATGCAAAATTTGTTTTTCGAAAGGTCAAACCCATGCTAGAACACAGAAATTCAAAAGCTGCTTCCCCAGAATTTCAAAATTGTCTGACATTTCCTGGTATTTCCTGATCGTGACTGGGGTTGTTTAAAGACATATTGAGGAATATTTAACTGAATAAAAATTATCTTAATTGCCACTGCAGGACTGGATAAATTTTGAGGAAATATAAAAAAATGTCCAGGTGCTAGGAAAAGTTGGGACAAATTTAACTGTTTCAAGAGAAAGAATGACGAGAAACGAGGGAAACACTGTCCTTAAATAATTAAAAGAAGTGTATAGGAAAGTAGAGTTACTTCATGAAAGTATGTATTATAAAAAAAAAAAAAAAAAGAGAGAAATAATTTTAAGACAGAACAGTTGAAGATTCCCGTTGACGATCAAATTCCTTCAGGAATGTTCCACAAAAATATTTCAGTCCAAAAATTGGGTACTTAAGGATGCAAAGAATGAACAACTTCAATTACTTTATTTTTTAATGATTCATTTTGTAGGCAGGCAAAATATATTTAGCCATTGATGGTGTTCCTATGTAGCGTCACAGCTATTTTTGAAGAGAGGTACTGCTGCTCCCTTCGCAGATGACATTGGCATTTTCTTTTACCTAGTCCTACTAGTTTCCACTGGAAGATTTACTTAAAAAAAGTGCGGCCCCCTTCTTACCATTTTTTAATAAGTCCTGTAAAACAGACTTTTCATAGTTTCCTACAGCAGTAAGAAAATAAAGAGTTTTATGAATTGGCCTACAACTTGGAGAATATTCAATAAAGTTATCATAAAATATTGTAAGAGAACACTAATTAAGGAAAGAAAACTTCAGAGCTAATTTCGGGTCATTATTACGTGGTAGTCTGAGGAAAGTTGCCCATCACATTCATCAACGTAGAGAGGGTTGGTAACGGAAGTCTTTTTGTGTAAGAGGGTGTCAAAAACTTTTTAAAACCGGAAAAATAGTCGGCAGGGGCGGTTTTGTGGCTTACTCACTGTTTCAGAACGAGAAGATGATTAGAAAGCAGCAAAGTTTTCGGTACTAAAGAGAGATATAAGTAACCACTTTCCCTGAATACATATTCTAATTTCCACTCCGCAGATTTTTGTTCAGCTTACTGAAGAATGTTTACAATGAAAAAAAGGTGAATGCGTTTGCGGTATTTTTTAAAATATTTCGTTTTATGGCTGGTTGTTTGTGATGGCATGCTATATAGATGCTATGGTATGAGGATATCACAAAAAGGAAGGAAAAAGGCTGCCAAAAAAATTCGGAATCAAGTTCCTCAGGAGAGGAGACAGAGTGGTTGACTGGTGGGAGGTCGGAGAATGGAGACAATGGGTTAGAGCAGAGATGACCGAATGTATCAAATAGAGGCAAGGCTTTAGGACAATAAAGGAATGCGGAGTTTAGTCACAGCACACCAGATAGAACTGCAAAAGCAATCCATGGGTGTGTATATTAATAAAGAAAAAATGATAAGTTTTCGGGTGTTTTTAGTTTCATTCTCACAAGTTTTTACCCATTGTAAGAAATGATGCAAATTATATGAGCTCATTTATAGGAAAGAGCATCATTGCGACTTACTGTTGATATTTTACTTGGATTTAAATGGTAAAAAGCACTGATTTTTCTACACAACTTGGTAACAATGGGAAAGCAGACCTGAGGGAGAAATTTTTCCCGACAGCACTTTCTGATAAATTCCGTTGAAAAATTGAATTTTTTTTTATGTAACACTCTTGGGCATCTCAAATGATTAATTATGAGGAGTTTGGCTAATTTTTCTACCAACAGATGGCATGGACTAAATTTCAATCAAAAGACTTTGTGCCCTAATCATAGCAGATTAAAGATTTAAATGGATTTTTTCTCAAGACAATACTTTCATTAGGAGACAATCTTTGAACTACTTAAACACCATTTTGGTATAACATTTTCATGCGCTTATTATGCCAAATTATCAGTAAAACACTCCTACATTCAGTCATATTTACACCTTAAATCTGCATTTTGCAACACCAAAGTCCCTTTGCTTGTAAACGATTCAGTATGCATGACATCCTGGTGCTTCTACAAAACAGGGTTAAGATCAATTTGAGAATCACAGACGATCAATGTATTTCAGTGAACTTTCACTTACAGGATAAAGAGGTATTAAAGACTATTGGAAACATTGAACATATGACAGCCAAAAAGTATCCGCGATTTAACTTAATGACAATTATTACGGGCAAGTTGAGATGGCCTCTTCCCTTGGTTACTGTTTTCAAATTCCCAGAAATTTTCATCTTTCCTTCTGTTCTAGTAATTCTCCACAATTTTGTTGATTAGTCTTTCGTTATAATCATAGCGCAGGGCAAAAATTATTGTTCCACTTTAAAAAGCACACAAAGAATATCACAAACAGAATTAGGGAGGAGAGTTAGGGTGGAAGGATTCAGGCCATGAATGAATTTGGGTAGCCACATCGAATACAGCAGAACCCAGTTGACAATGGAGGATAGCCAACAGCTGGTATAGCCGGTGGACAACCGACAGCCGGTACAGCCTGTATGCAGGAGACGGATTTGACTTTTGCAGGACGAAGTTTGACCGGGCGTACACAGGTAGGTGGTAAGCAACAGAAAGGTGTGCATTTTGAGACTCTACAGCATGATCGAGGAGTGCAACAGGATTTTTTGCTGCGGTAACAGGATCGCTTACACGGATTCCTGCCACAGGGTCTGCTTTGACAGCAATGAGAACACTTGTTGTGACGTTTGCAGACAAGAACACTTACCTGTTTACTCTTCCGGCTACCACAGCAGAAGGTGCAGTACAAGACGAGAGGAAGAAGTACAACAGCAATTGTAACTGCGTACATCCATGGATTCTCCTGGAAGTACTTTTTGATTTCGTTCCATGTGGGTATCTTGCTTTTGCCATTGCTTGCAGTGCTGAACCAAGAATCGAACCAGGATTGCTGGGATGGATTAAAATAAAAAGATACAATTAAAAGAAGGTAAGCGTACATAAAAAATAATTTTTTACCAGGTAGGAGAAAAGAATGCTGATGTAAAATATAAAGCAAAAAATGTGGAATAATTCAGGCACCTTTACTGGCATTCAACACATAACTTCACACAGAATTAATTTAATTATGTAATGAGGTGGATAGATTCAGAGTCATCATTCCGTTCAGAGCCTTGTAGGCCCTTCGAACTTACCAGCTCCAAATTCTGAGTGTAAGTCTTTGACAGCCACCACCGATGCCTAGATATCTGGCATAATTTATTCTAGTGCTATGACAGATACGGCAGTTATGGATAATTAGGGGTTGAAATTAGCAGGAGCGCTATTTCATGTATTTGCAAGGCTGGACAAGAAGTGACGAGTTTTTTTTTTTTTTTTTTGTATTATCTCCCTGCCTCATAGTGAAGTGTAGCGGGTAGCAATATAGTTGCACGCAGGAGCAAAATAATCGATTAGGTTGTTTAGATAGTTGATCAATGATTTATTTTTGCAAGCCAAAACTCCTCCAGACAATTTTCTGGCCTTTTTTTTCCTCCCTCGTAGTTTCGAGCGATTCCTGGCTGGACTCCAAAACGCGGGGCCGGACAAGACGACAAATGCCTGGCCTCCCCTCCCCCCTCACAATGGCTATTTCTGCTTCCATTTTCTCATGAGAGAAAAAAAAAACCGGCTGATGAGGTGTCAGTCTCTAAATAGATACTTTTTACCATGACATTCAGTCTTCTGTAATATTATGGTGTGTCTTCAGAAAAAATACGCTGGATTCTGAAATTGAAAACTCAAGTTTTAGGTGAGAAGTTCCTCTGATTGCTGTATTTATTTTAAAAAATGTTAGCAGTACAAAATTCCTCACCCCTTCTGCGCTGAATTTATCAGCCTTCAGTGTGTAGGTCTGTTGTGTGAGCTGGTCCGCATACTCCACACTGTCCGTCAATAAAATATTGTCAAAATAAATATTTTTTGAAAGAGACCAAAGCTCGAATCCGACAGCACCCTGTAAAACCAGATCAAATTTGAAAAAAAGAAAAAAGGGACTAAACAAAAGCATTTCCCTATATTACTCTGATATTATTGCCAAAAAAGAAAGCATAAACTTATGTCTGCCATTTCCCTCTAGCTTTTGAGTCAAACAATATGGAACGACCTCTTTCGAGCCTTTAACATTAAAGGAAAACGCAGGGAACAATTACAAAATCAGAGGCGGCATAATGTCCCAATGAAATCAGCTTAGTGATTAGCCAGGCTTGTGAAAAGAAAAATGAACTTCCATTGAAAGATATATAAAAAAAAAAAAAAAAAAAAAAAAAAAAAAAATTATTAAAAAATCAAGATGAGCGGTGAAGAGAAAGGCAGAGTTGCAAGAAATCAAGATGAGCGGTGAAGAGAAAGGCAGAGTTGCAAGGGCATTTGATATTATAGAGGTATCTTGGTCGGATAGAATTTTGATGTACTTACAATGTTGACACAACTGAAAACTTTCTTGTCATCGTAATATTCAGGGTTGGGAATTTTGCGTGGATACCATTTCCCTTTGTAGTTAGGATTGTCGATTAAAGGTGCTCTCCACGGTCCTTTGTAGTCAGGATTTGGAATTATTGGCGGAGACCATGGCCCACAGCCTGGAGCCGTTTTACAGAGGGGATTTTCCACTTTAGCTGGCTCCCATTCGCCATCCATGTCAGCATCCCTATTAGGCAGAACAAGTTATGAAGAGCTCTGTTCCATCCAGACAAAATTGGGCTGTGGGAATAGTGAGTTTTTCAAACGAAGCAAAGAGCCAATAATTTAAGTGAATTATTCACAACTACTAATAGTAAAACAAATAATTTAAGTCAATTATTCACAATTAGGAATGATAATGCTGATAATTTAAAATGACTTTCTTAAGTGCAATAATTAACAAACATTACAGTAGCCGACAAATATATGGGATTTATTTTGTTTTAAATTTTTCATTCCCTCATACACCTGCACAGAAAACAAGGAAATGCTATGACAGCAGCCTCGGCTGTTAAGAATGTGCTTGAAGATCCCTGGATGCTGGCTTGACTGTGCCTGCAAATATGTACGTATTCCCAGGATTTCAAGTTAACTGCGCGGGCAGTCAAGAGAAAATGGGCCTTAAACTTGTAAATCATCAAAACTTAGGAAGAATCCCACATTTCCACTCATAACCTCAGATGCTGAGAGCAGTCTAAGGATACATACCAGTCATCAGGCCGTATCGCATTAGGGTCTGGGATAAACTCCGGTTCGTCATCTAACCAACCAGCTGGCTTCTCCGCTGCTGGATCTACAATAGTCGCTGGTAAAGTCTCATCCCAATCATCAGGTTTCACAGCTTCGGGATCTGGTATTTTCTCTCGCTCGTCCCACTCTTCTGGTTTTTTATCTGTTTCGTCCACAATTTCAAGAGGCGGTAAAATAGATGGTTCAAATTCATCTTCCTGCGTGGCATTACCTTCGTGTTTTAACTGCAATCAAGAACAGCAAACTGTTAAACCAACTTAAGATTATGGCAAACCGTTTCCAGGTTTATTTTGAAGACCCCTAAAAATACTTTTTACAATAAAAACCAAAAGAATTACCAAACCAACCAATTTGGGGTCATTCCTCACCAAAACCGGTCCTGTTTCAGACCTTGATTAATTTTTCTCATGTAATATATGAACCTCAATATGAACTTCAGCAAAATTGCAGCTTCCAAGCTCAAAAATTCTTCAAGATGTATATTTTTGAACTTTTGGCGTTTAAAGCACTTCCCTCTCCTTGCTAAGGAGCCTCCATGGGTAACATTATCTTTCTTATAGGAAAATTAGCCTATAATGCTCAAATTCGACCCAGCTACCAATGAAAGTATGTAGATTAAAAAAAATAACTAAAAAACTCTGTATTTCTGTTGAGGTGAACTGTATTTCTGAAACCGCCTCTTGCAGTAACAAATCAAGACTAACAATTTGAAGCACTTGATCCATTTACCAAAAATCAATGACTCACCGCCTATTGCCAATTTTTTGGGCCATTATAGTTTTTAAAAAGGTTCTGTTAGACCAGGATTTTTCATCATATTTTCTATAAAAAACTGTCAATGTATCAAAATTATTCACCAGTCCTTAAAGATGCTCTAAATCTGAGTTTCACTACATTTTGTGGGGATCTCATTTATTATATAAAAACGGCAATGAATTCTAATCACTATCTGATCTACTCGGTTGACTGAATTTGAAAAAAATTAATTTTTCTTAACATAGGTACTGAATGATTGCAAGACAGACAACTTAAAGATTTGGCCATGTGCTAACCTCTCTATCCAGGTAAAATGCGTATGTGTTGTCTGGTCTGACGACTAGCCTGAACAGATGAGGTTGTTTATCTTGGAAGATGGAGTTTGGTGCTTTCAACATGTTACAATGCTTTTCCGAGATTTTACCCGTTTTAGGATTTTTGTAGTTCAATATGAAATGAATCTAAAACAGAAACAAGATACAAATAGCAAATTAATAGAAGGAGAAAGGGGCGAACAATTGACCTTTTATCTCTGACACCAGCACGTTCAATTGCTTTGTGGTTTCAATCTCCATCTCATGTGAAGACTGGGTCAGGCAGCTAGACAGTTCTAGGTTTGCAGAGACAAAGGAAGTTTTTGACAGAGAAAAAGTTTAAAGATGAGCACTTGAAGCTTACCATAGACATGCCACTTAAACCATCATTCTCAAAAAAACTTAAGCACTAACATCTCGAAAATGGAGTTTTTCGTGGTTCAATATTGCTTAGGCATAGATGCATTTTGTTGCAAAGTGACAAGCAAAAAAAAACGGAATTTTAGGGTCTGAAAACATTTGAAAAGTCCAGTCATTCTCAAAAAGATTTTAACACCAAAGCAGTGTATAGTACTCGCGTATCTTGATTTGATTTGAGTTCCTTACACAATGAGCTTGTTCAGTAATTTGTAATTCTTGCATTTTTGAAAACTAGAGAGTGCACATAGTTCACAGGAATTTTCTTCGATTTTTTGGAGCAATATTAACCTACGAAATACGAGTTCAAAGTTCTGTATTTTGAGCTCCCAATTAAATGCGCGTCGCTCGGGTTATCCAAGATGGCGTCCATTCTATCCGTCCGGCGATGACCTCACGAGGCCCCGGGCAGCGAAGTACCTCTGCCGCGTGTGGTAGTCCAAGAGGGAGTCGGATAGATTCAGCCCAGTGTTTGTTTGTTTACTTCTTGGACTATCACACGCAGCAAAGGTACCTTGCCGGCTGCGACCTCATGATGTCAAAAGTGTGTCATCGCTGGACGGATAGAATGGACGCCATCTTTGATAACCCGAGTGACGCACGTTTGAATGGGAGCCCAAAATATGGAACTTTGAACTTTTATTTCGTGGGTTAATATTACTCCAAAAAATCGGGGAACATTCCTGTGAACTTTGGGCACTCTCTAGTTTTCAAAAATGCAAGAGTTACAAATTATTGAACCAGCTCATTATCTCAAAATTTCAAGAATGAGGGAATAAATATTTGTTCTTCTTGACTAGTCATATCTTTATTTTTAAGACCTTAGTGACTTTTTGTACTTGTGAGCGATCATGAGTAATGTAAACATCAGTAAGTGATAATCGTATTTTATGTAGACAAAGTGTAAATGAAAATTTTCGAGCACATCATGGCTTGATAAAAGAAAAATTTAACTTCTTAAGGGGAAAATGTGTTGGAAAAATTCTGTTCATTTTCAAAAAGACGATAGCCCCAATTCATTTTTTTCTTTTAGTATAGTACTCACCTCGTTTTTTTCTTCTTTTTTCATTCTAATTGTAGGGGAATTTCTGCAACTATTACAATCTGATTTTCAATTGCCATCTTCCCTTACATTCATTTTTCTGACCTCCAAGACTTACAGCATGTCAATCAAAACAATGTCCACTGTTTTTCTCGAGTTCTCATTTCCGGCACTTAAGTTTCTTCAAAAATAAGCGATTCATAAATCATACTGTAGTTTGTTAGGAATGTATAGTTTTGCAAGAAGTAAAAAAAGTTGATACCTCCTAGTTGAATTTGGCCGTATCATCTTATGTTGCTTTGGGATAATACTACATTATTTGCTGGAGAAGCAAAATGGAGAGGAAAGAAAATTTATTCCAGTTTGTGATAAAGAGATTTTTACCTTGCTTTTAGAGCCACAGATGTCTGGCCCAAACATGATGGAATATGGAGTGAGATTATTAAATTTCTTGAGATCATGTTTTTCATTCGTAAGAAGCTTTATGTATCCTCCACCACAGTCAAGCTTATCTTGAAATGCAACCTCATACTGGATGACAAGCGGAGAATTATTGAACTTGAAGGGTCTTGACAGGGGAGCTGCTATAGCTGAATGGCGATTCGCCGAGGCAACAACTAGACCCAGGTCACCTTTCAGGGCATAGTTTACCATTGGCTCTACCCTCCATTTCCCTGATCAACAGAAAAAAAAAAAACATTCATTATTTGAGGGAAGGTTGTTAAATGAAAACAGAGAATAGAAGTATTACTTAAGCTTTTGCAAGCAGCATTTTAACTAGGCTCCTCTCCGCACTAAAGAAATGTTTAACTCTGAATATGGTTCATGCAGCTACTATACTGTATCAAGCATTTTTCGAGCACTTTTTGAGGAATTTTCAAACTTTTTTCCTCACTTTTTTCAAAATTTGTTTCCTATACTCATAGTTTTCTCCATGTATCATGATTTTAAATGGTGAGAATTGTGTCAGTTTTGCTTTTTTTTTGTTTGAAACTTACCAACACAATGAGCTTCAAATGGTCGTGTGTTGCACGATTGCTGCCTGACGAAAAATTAAGCACAATCTTAAGTGGTTAGGCTGATTCTGAGGAAAAGGATCCAAATAATGAGGAGAAATAATAATCATTATTTCTGGTACAGATCCATCAGCATTAATATAAGAGTAGACTAGATACAGTTTTGTTAATCTGGCAAGCAATTAATCACTGCATAACTGTTCTGGTAAAACTTCATTCAGTCTGGAACACGCTTTGCTTCCAGAGATAAAAACTTCTGGGCTCAACTTGAGTTCTTGTTGTTTTTCTCGGATGAATTTCTTCATGAAATTTTACAGCAGGCAATGAAGGAATAAAGAAAAAATCCATACGTTATTCATTCAAACTAATTATAAGCGGTGACATAGGTCCAAAAGTTTCAATGATATGCTGTATTGACGTGCAATGATTTATCTGAAAAATGCTTACATACCATCATACTGTTCAATGTCTGCAGCAGCTTCCGGCTTTTTGGCCTCAGACTTTATCCAACGCTTGGCAACCTCTTCAGGCTTATCAAAAGTATCCAAAAAGTAGACATTTTTTTGGAATTCTGGAGGGATTGCAGGGCTCACCTTGTATTCTTCATTTAAATCAATTTCTACAGCATTCTGAATAAAGGAAAAGTTCATTAATTGTTACACTCAAGGCACAAGGGGAAAGTTCTAACTTCCTAAAGGCTAATTTTTAGGGGAGCAAAGTTAATCAAGTTGTAGAGAGAAATCAGTATCCAAGTTTGTTTACAATACACAAGTTGATGCTTTGAGTTTTTCCCAATTCTGCATGGGAGCCCTGTGGGTGGTAAGGAAAAGTTCATTAATTGTTACACTCAAGGCACAAGGGGAGAGTTCTAACTTCCTAAAGGCTAATTTTTAGGGGAGCAAAGTTAATCAAGTTGTAGAGAGAAATCAGTATCCAAGTTTTTTTACAATACACAAGTTGATGCTTTGAGTTTTTCCTAATTCTGCATGGGAGCCCTGTGGGTGGTAAGGGGTCTTTAGTAGAAGCGCCCCACCACGGCAATATTGTCGATCAACTTTCGAGACACCCGGTGGACGCTTCAGGTGGACGGCTGGTTGAGTGCGGTTGCAAAACGGGTAAACAAACTGCAGCCGGAAAATGATGGGTGGGGAGGGAGGAAGAATGTGTGAGGTCGGTGGTGTGATGTTCGGTCAAAGTTCAGAGCGGCGGAGTCTATTCAGTAACTGCCCGTCACACTTGCGTTAGTTCTGATTTCATTGTGCGTGCGTCATGTTTCGTTTGTGTCAAGAGGTGAATTCCGAGGAGGAGGCTGTTCGTTATTTACAAAAGCGGAATCTATTACATAATTCTCGGTTTTGTGAAAATGGTCATTCGATGAGTTTGTCATTTTTTTTCCATTGCAATGACTAGGTGAGTTTCATTTTTTCTTTTCCGTTTTCTTATTGTTGTTTATTTTCATTTTGTATTTTTCGTGTTTTTCTTGTTAGGGTAGGTTAGGTTAGGTTAGGTTAGGTTAGGTTAGGTTAGGTTAGGTTTGGTTACTTTATTTTGGTTCGTTGGCTTGATTGTTGATTTTAGGGGTTTTGGCAGCACGGCAATAGGGTACGTAAATCGCGCGAGGGAGTGTGGAGGGGAGGGGGTCGGACCGGAGCGTCCACTGGGTGTCTCGGAAGTTGATTGACAATTTTGCCATGGTGGGGCTCTTCTACTAAAGCCCCGTGGTGAGGAAAAGTTCATTAATTGTTACACTCAAGGCACAAGGGGAGAGTTCTAACTTCCTAAAGGCTAATTTTTAGGGGAGCAAAGTTAATCAAGTTGTAGAGAGAAATCAGTATCCAAGTTTTTTTACAATACACAAGTTGATGCTTTGAGTTTTTCCCAATTCTGCATGAGAGCCCTGTGGGTGGTGTGTAAAAAATTGCAAACCTACCCTCAAACTTACGAAAGATGGCGAAGTTTTTTTTCATCCAGTAAAATCGTCAGTTGCAAGATTGGCGGTATTGTTCCCTAGCCACGGTAATGTTTTTTTGTGTTAAAGAGCCTCCTCAACTACAATAGAGCCTTTAGCGACATGGTGTAATTTTCTTGTTTGGATTGTAAAATATTTATACTGACACCAATTTCTAGAGTTTTTTTTGCTGATGTTTAGCAATTATACAACTGAACAAATCATTTTCATAGTGCTTGTGATGGATGAATCAGCCTTACAAATAAGAAGGAAAACTTGATAGTAAATGAAAATAAAACATACGTATTCATCAAATTCAACACTGCTTGCTGGTGAAGCAACTTTAAGATACAAAATTGCTGTCAGGGCAAAAAGCCATCTCATACTTTCCATTTATTGCAACCTGAAAACAGATCAAACATATAAATATATCATTCCGTATGAGTTTCAGTAATCTCTCTTCCTTGAGGTCAGGTTGTAGTGTTTATAAGGCTATAGTGCTCGAGGCTTTGCTTCAAGATGAATTAACTATGTACTTGTAGGATATACATAGAAAGAGTCTGTCTCTTGTTTTCAGACCAAGATTGGCAGTTGCTTACCTAAATCATTACAAACACAAAAAGTGTTGATGAGATGGAAGGTGAAAAACTTGGTGATGGGTACATCAAATTGAAAATGTCTTTTCATCAGAAATGGAAAAGCACTTGGTTGATCATTTACTTCAGCTCAATTCACACAGTTCAATGTTTTATCCGACTTTTCGTCCAGCTCTATTGAATGGAAATTTTATTTATTAGAATTACACAGTTAAAATCTTGATTCAATAAAGTTGAAGTAATGGTTGTTGTCAAGTTTAGTCGAGAGAATTGGGCTCTAAACATGGAACGAAAAGTTGTTTGATGAATCTAAGATCTAGCTAACCTGGATTTGGAGGTTAATGATTTGTGCTCACTGCAAGACCCGGCCAGTGCATGGAGCCTTAGAGAATAAAAGATCCGAGAAAATTTAACAAAATTGAATTACTAGTTATCCTGCAGCAGTTGCGAAAGAAATGAGATGATAGTCATACACGTTAAAATTAATTGAGGTTTCTTTCTGCTTGCAACTCGAGGGCCATTTGCTTAAAATCAGCTGATGTTGAAATTAGCTGCCTCCTGACACCTATCGCTTTAAGGAATAACTCAATTTAAAATGATTCACTTAATATTGATTACTGATCAAGATTTCAAGGAATGCTAAGTGCAACTATTGATTGGTATAAATGACAAACTAGATAAATTGCCATTCCTACCAAAAATTGAAATAAACATAGTCTCTCGGTGACTTAGGCAGTCATAATTATTCCATTGAGTCAAAAGTTCATGTTCAACCTAATTCAGAGGTCTGCATCAAGAGTTCATGGGTGCAGCGTAGAGAGTCATAATGCTAGACTGGTATTGTTACCATTTGGCACTCTCTGCTTATGTACTGGTGATGTGAAGCCATCAGTAAGCTAAAATGCTATGCTGAACTAAGTAACAGTGGAAACACGTAATTGCTGTGGCACTAAATGTGTGAGAGTTGTGAACACTCGCTGAGCTTGCGGTAAATTGGATTCTGAATTGATAAAAGTGGTGAAACTCCTTTTGGAAATAATAAGAATGAAACTACTACTGCCTTCAAGGTAACTGAAATTCGAGGATTGGTCCGCAAGAAAATTCGTATAAAAAACCGGCTAAAATTGTGATATTATAAAATTTGTGAGTAGGGAAATAAGAAATATTAACCCACCTTCCAATCCAAAGATCCGTCGACAAAATAATAAGATCACAAGTTCAGGTGAACACCAGTCGAACTGCTACGGGAGGAAATTCTGAATATTGCAGAAAGTTATTGCGATTACTATGTGCAGAACGTGGAGATTAGAGATTGATAACTAGGTAATAACATGGTATTGGTATAATTGAATGAAATGAACGATTAAAATTGCGAGAGGTGAGTTCAATTGGATTTGGGCCTTTACCCGGTGGTGTTCGGTGGTTGGTGGGACGATTTTTCTCTGATTGGTCAATGGCGTCTCCGCGCGAGAATTTTGGCGGGAATGTTTGACTGTGGGCAATGAGATCATGCAAAGCTAAATTTTTAACTCGGGGCATAATTAGGAGGGGGCAACGCCATTTCATTCAAATTTTTAACTTTACGAACCTCATGCAGACTATAACTTCTTCGAGGGTTTTATTCAGATCAATCAGCAACTTGCTGGCCCCAAAACAAAGAAATGTCCATGGTGACGTTTAAAATTTCCATAAACGCTTTACTTCTGGGAGAGAAAAAAATCAACATCATGGCTTGAAATTTTCAATAGAAGACCGTGAGATGGCGAGAAAAAATCTGGGATTCTATGGCATAATTCAGATTGTTCTCCATGTAAAAAATGAAGTGAGCCCAAAATCATGGGGTCTTAATGTCGCCGAATGTTTGTGGTTCCCCTAGAAGAAGTTGTGACCGTCACTCAACACCACTATGCGCCTGCAAAGATTATGGTTAATAATCCCCCTTTGGAAAACAATTTTTTGCTGCACCCATGCACAGAACTTTTACGAAGGTTGCAATCCAGATATGAGGAGAAGAAATCCATTTCAATTCTGTACAATTCACATGAAATTGAGATATGCTTTTTGAAAGAGTGCCAATTTCCTGACGGGCTTTGAGGAGACAAACAGTTTCTGGCTCAGGTTGACAGCATTTATCTGCATTGAATCAGAATCTGAAGTGAAAAATCTTTAATAGGGAGGGACCTCTTACAGTTTCCATCAAATTAAAGTGGACTTGATTAATGAATTTGAACTTGATGAAAATATTTCCGATTCTATAAGAAATGCGCATAAAGTTCAGACAAACAATGACTGCTTTTGGTACATGCTGCAGTATATCAATAAGGTGACTGCAAAAACACATTTCTCATTTGCAATATCTCAAAGTCTCCGCTTTTATTCAATTTTGTCAAAGGAGAGCTAACAAATACCATTAGTTTAAATGTTCACATAATATTCTTTCCACAGAGAAAAATAATTTAGAGAACTTTTCCAGAAATAACAGGTAGTATTTTTCAATTTAAAAAATAATCTATGACAGGAAACCTGCAGCATTAGAAACAGAGATAAGCGTTTTTACAGTCTCACCGTTGCTTTAAGAATATTCAATGATATTGGCGCTATTATGCAACGTTCAAAAACTGTAACCTCATATCGACGGTGTAAGTCGGCAATCACAAAACTCGGTTTGCAATGTTGCAGACTTCCCGTCATACTTCATTTTTTTAACGGAAAACTACTCAACAGCATTTCTTTAAAACTGCTGTGAATTTTCTTCTCTGTGCGAGGAAAATTCTGCATAAACTTCAGAGAATGATGTCAATTTGCTCTCCTTTAAAAAAATAACATAGAGGCGGAGATTTTCAAACACCACAAACGAGATATGTGATTGTGGACTTATGCCGTCAATATTACTTTGGCTCACAGCTTTCCACAAAACAAGAGGAGATTTATTGAGATTGTGTTCTTTATTCAGTAAGCTTTAATTTCAAACAATAAAAAATCACGCACTAAATGACTGATACAAGAGAGCATCTTATTGAAAGAGACAACTGAGATTTGAATACTTATCAAAATCAAGTAAAGAATAAATTTACGGAAATAAATTATGGCTAGGTATGTATCAAATACGGAATAGTGTGTACAGGATGCATTAACAAACAAGATTTTCGGATTTGACATCAAAGAAATAATTGATTATATTTAGCTAGAACATTAATTTTTACAGACTTTCAGAAATGTAAAAAAAAGAAAGAAAACGAATTAAAAACTTGTTAAATTATGTATGAATTCTGCCTGTGGTTTAAATACTTAAAAAGGAAAGTAGATGACTGTGGGTCTAATAAAGGAAAAGAAAAGAGAAAACCCACGTGGGTTTCACTCATTTTAATTACATGTGATAAAAATTTTAAGGCATACTTACAAAATTATAAAGCTCTTAATGAATTGAGAGGGGGGNGCACAGGGGGATAAGTATACTTAGAGAATGAGGATTTCTCATTTATGTTGACTTCATAAAAACTAGGTCATCAAAATTGTAATGTTGGTAACTTTGAAAAATGACATTGCTGTTACTGGTTTCGAATATAATACAGCACTTCCCGACCGATTTCAAAAAGCTGTCGAAATAAAAAATGTTCGGTGATTTTTTAATGCAAACTAACCACAAAAATGGCGAAATAAACACTAAAGCAAATTTTTGGAACTTTTAGGTCCTTCCTTTTTTCCCGTTTTTTAAGTGCCAGTGCTGTAGTAAAATAATTTTTATGGCGATTGAAATTTTAACCCGTCATAAAAAAAGAAATTAGATATTAAAGAAAAATACATTAAAGATGTACTTACAACAGTGAGAAATTTTTCCTGGCAGTGATTATATACCAGACTCAATTTTCTTTTTTTTATTTATTTTAAATCCACATCTTTTCATGAAATGTGACAAGAAAAATGTTTAGGCAGTCAGTTTAAAAATTCAGCTCAATAAATCAATAAGAAGAATTCTTCCAGTGCTAACCATATGAGATTACACACTAAAAAGACTTTGAACAAGAAGTCGATATTTTAAAATTTCCAAAAATCTAGCAGATATCACAGACAAATTGAGAAATGAATGTACTGAACTTACAAATCGTTTGACAAGGAGCTTTAAAAAAACCAAAGAAAATTAAATTAAATTATAAAATAAGATAACAAAAAATGAACTAAAACTTAAAGTAAAACAAAAAAATAGCGAACGAGATCTCAGCCCGAGAGGTACAAAAGCATAATACTGTAGGAACTATAAGACTTTCCAAAATCCTTCCTGATCATCGTTTCGATGACTTGACGTGGCTCACCTTAAGAGCGGGTTCTAAGACCCTTGTGATGATTGGGGCATAAAACCCTAGAGATGATTTTCCTCGTGAACCTATACTGCCCGCTTGCTGATGAGCAAGTCATAGACACGTATTGCTCAACAGCTTTTTAGCAGATAAAAACAAACAGACATTTGAATTTAGATTGACGAATAAGGCAAAATTCCAACTTTTTCATGATCAAATTTTTGACATTTTTAAGGTGAATACATCTACACTGAGAGGAGCAGGAACAATCCATGAATTCAAAATTAAGGAAGTGAAGTGAAATATTGTTGGTGGTGAGCAGAAGCCCACCAAGCATCCACGATAAGGAAATTTTTATCCCCTCTCACTTGCGGAGGGGGCAGAACTTTTTATGCTGAAAGGACGTAAATACAAATTAAAGAGAGAGAGTTCCATGTCTGAGAACTGGTTCAAATTTTTCAGGGACACTGGTTATCATGATAATGAGAGGAGGTCTTCCGTGATAGAAAATGGTCCCGGGTTCTGTTACAATTTGTCTTTCCAACAATTTTCACCTTCTCCAGAAAAAGTAGGTTTTTGGATGTCTACGTTTTTCGCAAGTTTCAGTTCATTAAATCCATTTGTTTTGCACTGCCAGTGTGTGGTCAGTGTCACAGTCACAGAGGAAATCGGTGCCTGAGACAAAAAATAAAAAACGCTATTCTAAGGGGCCAGCAATGCCAAATGTACAGAGTGAGGCATTAAACTGAAACTTAAACACACTAAAACATAAAGAGACAAGCAGAAATAAACGAAAAATGTTTATAAATAAAAGAGTACAAGCTGAAGAATTTTTGGTGACGAGACACTTTGCGGATTCATTTTTAATCCTCTTACATTTTGAAGGAGATTCGGTTTCATGAGCCACTTAAAAAGTCTTAAAATTAGTCTCTTGCATGACAATTTTGAACTTACACAGTGCATTCATAAGTTATGTATTATTCTCATCAGGGGAGAAATTTTCATGAAGTTTCCTGTATTAAATCGGTTTTTACACGTCTCTCTAGTGTTAAAACTCCTATCTTTCCATCCAATCCAACTATAATGACTAATTTAGAAATGGGCAAGAAAGAAATATCACTAGGACTCCTGGCAAAGAAAGCGTAGCTGTGCGGCAAGAATCTTGAAAGTTTTTATGAATCATAAAAAGAATTTCAAATTTCATGTTTTTGAAAATTCATTGTTTGTACAAAACATCAATTTAGTGATGCTGTAATGAGTCTTCAAACATTGATAAAAATTTGCTGACAAGATGAGAATGGCTGCAGATCCTTTCTTGTGTAATTTCATGATGATGGGGGCAGGACAAAAACCAGCCATGACCCACCAGCCATGCATAGCATTATAAAATATACTTGTATAATTCTATTTTGCATTCTTTGTGAATTAGTAAGGTCTCGGTTATTGTCAATTAAAATATTTAAAACTTTATGGTCTAAAAATGAGGTTCTTTTAAATCCAGTGCTCAATCAATCATATACTCGTATAAGCTGATGCTGAATAATATAATGACACAATTCTTGGCTTAATTGTAATGTTGGAGTTGCATTTTGTTACAACACCTGGATTTTGTACCTTGATGTCTTTCAAAGATTTTGTTGAAAACTACAGCTAACGACAATTTCTTCCTCTTTCAACAGAATCCTGATGAATTGTTGTCAACAAATTTTCAACCTCTTCACCTTTCAAATCAATATTTGACAGGGAACGTAGAAAATAATGAGCATACACCCAACATTTTCCTTTGAAAAAACAAGTTAAACCCCAATCGTGACTTATCTGCCACAAATCTAGTATTTGAATCTGATTACCGCTTCTCTTGTTATGTAGAGGATGATGATTTTACATTTGGAAATATTCCAACCAACTTTATCTGAATCCCTGATGTTATTTTAATTATAAAAAAAACAAAAAGAGAAAACTGCATTTCGATTCACTTCCATGTACCTGTAGGTATTAAAAACCAATAAAACCTCTCACTATAACAGCATTTTAAAAAAAATAAATAAGTAAAAAACCACTGAAATCAAGGTACACCAAAGACAAAAAGAAGTAAGATAAAAATACGAAAATTACTGCTGAATTGGTTCAGCCATTCAAAAGTCACTTGCCAAAAATTGTGACTTAAATGAAAAGTACATCGAGACAAATTGTGAAAATGGACTTTTTAAGTGATGAGTCGAGGATGATGGAGTCCTTCCACTTGTTTATCGATGGGAGGACAGTGTGAGCTACCCACGGGGCCCCAGTCATGGAGACGCGCAGAGCTGGCTAACCGATGTGTAAGACGATGAGCAATTGAGAAGCTTCCGGACCCATCAAGTTGTGTTAGAACAATGAGTACTTGTCTGAAAAAATGAAGAATACACATTTAAATAAAACAGAAAAAGGATGAATATCAAATAGTATTCCTTGACCCACATAAAGTTGCTCTTTTTTTGGTCCTTCAACTCTGGACAAATTTAAAGTTTAAAAAAAATTATGACCGGAGGTGGAAAGAAATTTCAGCTTTGCAACTGCAGTTGTGTGAAAAATGGAAAGCTGCCAGTATGCCATAGCTTAAATAGTGCGAGTTCTTTTTTTTTGAAAAATCAAAATGGAATACCCATGGTATTGTAAAATCAAAGCAATTCATAGATAATTAACAAAAAAAAAAGTCATCCCTTTGGAAATTTTGGGAAAAAATGTGTTTTTAAACTGGGAAGGCTAATAGACTAGTAAACAAGTTATGGTTTTAAGCATTTTGATACCTGGTTCTTTACCAAAGCTTTTCGTAGAACATGATTCGCACAATGACAATTAATAAAATTAACTCCTAACCAGGTCATGGCCAAAGTATCACAAGCGCCAGTTGTGAGAAAATCTGGAGTGTTGCAAATAAAGACACATATTTTCCGAGTTTATTCATTGATGATCGTTTATGTGAAGGGAAGAGAGAGGAAAGTAAAGTTTTACAGATCACAGTAAATAATGAAATTCCTATAAATGTGGATGAATATTCCATTCTGAGATTTTTTGACTTCATCAAGGGCAATGAGCTCTTCCTCATACAGCACTATGAGATGTCGATCAGAAAGTTGAGCGGCTTTTTCCGGAACGTACCTGTGCAAAGGAGGCACCGAGTCGACTGTTTTTAGCTCCCCTCGAGTAGAAACAACATTGTAACTCTCTTGACAATCACATTTGATATGAATCCATCGATTTTCATGACGATTCTCAACCATCACAACCAAACCAGCCCATCCTTTGGTTAGGTAATACGCAGTCATTCCTTCTCGGCCCTGAAAAAATTACGGCAGAAGGAAATTAAAATGGAAAATATTTTGAAGCTTAAAATGTAATTTTATAGGAGATTATCAGCACATTAACGTTTGGAACTGGAAAAGAGACTGCCCATACTATCCACCATATTTTCAACTTCCTCAAAGCTTATTAGTCCCTGCCAGGTCGGTAAATCTATAGAGATCCATTCCCACTGACAATCCTTAAAAAAGCCGACTATCTGTAAAAGTTTGAAACTAGAAAAAAGACATTACTGAAATATAGTAACCAAGAAAAAATCATCCTGACAATTACTATGATTATCATATTAGCTTGGAAGATGAGATGCAGACTTTGCAGATTGCATAATGAGCAAACTCATTATGACACCTCCTATCGGGGATAACCCCCCCCCCCCAAAAAAAAAAATTACCATGGTCAGGCATACTGCATCTCTCATACACTGTATGCTTGCAATAAACCACTTGACAAGGTGCAAATTTAAGCATTCTGATACGTGTTTCCTCTTCAAAGTTTCATGTAGAACACGATTTGTGCAAAAGAAATTATACGTCTTACAAAAGTTTAAGTCTACAAGGATGAAATTGCACATAATAGTTTTGGCAGGCTACGTAACATGCGGGTCAATAGTTGAGTTGTCGGATGATCCTGATCGATAAATCCTTATCTTAGCAATGCATTTTATCGATCAAGGTAATTTGATATCGATTCAACAATCAAGCCGCAGGCAGTGTTTTTTCCCCGCCTTGTGTTATTCATAAAAGTGTGAACATTGTCCAACAGCTGAGCTAAAGCGCCTAGATTGAAGTTGCCACATTTATAAATCCCATATATTATTAAAGTGCTGTTTAGTGTGCGACTCAACTCAAGTTGATACCGATTTTTTTCATGAGTGGGAAGTTAGAATTTACGCATTGGAAAACCTTGATACCTTTGTTAAGAGTTAAATTTAATAATTTTTGTTGCAAAACTCGTGTTTTGCATGTAATTTTGATGAGCAATGTATGTCATATTGCTTACATTTGCGCCTTGACTCAATGGGATCGACTTTTTTCTAAAACAGTCAAAATTTTCAAAAATTCAACAGAGAAATTTAGTTTGGAAACAGAATCTGATTTTACTAGGTTGTGCAGTTCCTCAAACACTAATAATTCCCAACATTTTAAAGAAATCTGAGCTACCAACAGACTATTTTTATTAATTTTTCAAAATACCTGTATTTTCCGCGCAGTATTTGCAGAAAATAATTCTCTACTAAAACTCATCCATCGCAGAGGAGTAACTTAACCACTTTGCCAATACTTTGGTCACTGACGACTAAAAAAATCTACCTTTGACTTGCAAAAATCTTAGCCGACTTTACTATCACTACTTGAAAAAGCAAATATTAAAGGTTAACGTCAAATTCCCCGGGTTTTCCCTGTGTTTTTCCACGTCATTGAATTCCCTAGGTTTTCCTGCTTTCCCAGTAATAGAAACCCTGATAGAAGCAGTCTCCTTGTAAAATAAACTTTAAAAATACATCCTTACTTACTTCATGTCTCTGTCCTTTTGCAAGAGTGAGACTGATAATTGCATCGGCAAGTATGTAGGCAGGAGGTGAGATCTGTTCAACCAGCAGTCGCTTTGAACTGTGAATCGCCAAAACGTAGGCGGGATAATTTGCAGGGTCACTGATGCCTAGAAAGAGTAAAAAAACATTGCGCATCATTAAATAAAAAGAAAAAAAGGGGGGAAATAGAATTGAAAAAACCACACACTTCATGTTTACATTATACATCACCGTCCTTAGGAAAAGTGATTCCAATGAAGTAAAACTTAAAATCGAGAAATAAGTAGAAGCACTTAGCAAAGTATTTTACAGGATTTTGTACATAAAAAAACACCAAAAACATGAAACTAACCCAACGTTCTAAATATTTATTGTTTGGCGTTCAAGGAATATAATTAAAAAAAAAAAAAAAAAAAACTACGGGTCAGTGGGAGGGAATTTTTGCAAGGTTGTAATTTAGTTTATTGAATGTAAAATTTCGTGAAAAAGCCAAATAGTTTATTGAAAAGTTAAAAAAATACGGAGAAAAATCTAATCAAAACCCGAACAATCAAAAGCAGATGGTCAAGTTTCACATGGCACGATAATACCTGGATAAGAGTTCAGTCAATCAGTAAATGCCTTTTCCCTTGTCTTGCTGTCATCAGCGCTCCACAAAATTACTGTTTCAAATAGGTCCCATTTTTGGCATTTTCAAAAACGGGTTCCTTGGCCTTTCACGGTTTAAAAAAATCTGAAAAAATTCCTAGGAGCTTGGTTCCCTCCGTACTTTCAGAGGATGATAAAAAAAGTGGGTACCACGGACGCATTGAGCGTTATTAACAGGCATGTTCAAGACCAAGAATTATAAGACTAAAATTTAACTTTATGCCCTGTATTGGGATATACCCCTCTATACCTCTCTGTGAAGAGTATCATAGTTTGTTAATACATTGTAAACTTTGCAGAATGAAAAATTACCTGTGTGCCAGTGATTGAAAGCTAGACAGACGAGAATATATAAATCCCTTTCCAGCATTTTGTGACAGCCAACAAATCCGCGGACCTGTCGTTTGCTATGCTCCACCAACCGTCCAACTTCAGGAGTAGCAGCACTTCGTGCTCTTAGAACAACCACGCATAGGTCCAGTTGACTCCGTTCTGACTTTGCTGAATTTCTAAAAATAGTAGACAGGTTAAGATTAGTCCCTTATAACATAAGTTACTTAGGTTTTGGTATTAAATTAGTTCTTAACAAAACACCCTTTCTTGGAAATGAATAATTTGATTAATCTCCATAAGGAAAAGGATGAAAAAAGTTCCTCTCCATGTGTGCTCAGTAGCCTCCAACAGTAAATGATACAATGATAATGACGTACGCAGTGTATTTACCACATGCACTGTACACATTTATTATTCAGGCACCTAGTGCATTTCTGTGTTGCAAAAATAAAGCTAGTTCATGTTTTGTTTCGATAATTTACTCAATAATATTTACTTCCCGCTATGATTGAATTGGCTGGTGCAAACACCCACCATAAGGCTTTCTTCATCCTAATAGTAGTCCTTGCACCACTTTTATACTTTACATCTTCAACAGTACTAAAAACCAAAAAACTCAAAATTGGAAAAAAAAAATCTACACTACAGTTTCAGCGAGAGTTAATTCAATTGAAGAGCAGGAGATGGCTACCTACCTAGCATTGACAGTGCATGAGCAGGAATAAAAATAAAAGCAGTGAGACAACTTGTTTTTTCATTTGATTCCTAACTTGGTTGAAAGGATAAACATTATTCTGGATAGTTGCACATAAACTTACCTCTGTCCTTCCTGGAAGAGGGTGAATTCTGCTTCAGTTGGCTCAAAAACAGTAAGCAGAACACAAGACAGATGATCAACGGATGACAGGGGTGGTAAAATTCCTCTCAGTCTAACTTCGCTCCATCCTTGACGATGCACTTTGCATATGTCAATACAGTCAAAATACCTGAAAGCAATAACGTAATTTTATTGACTGATTTCCTTAGAACCAAGGGTGATTCAAAAAACACACATGATGTTTTCCGACATAGGTTAGTAATTGATTGGCAGTCTGCAAAAATGAACAGGATCCATTTTTGGCAATTTTAAGTTACCTGTGTCACAACAACTCATGAATGGCCTCTCTGTGTATAAAAGAAAAACAAGCTGTAAGCTACTCTGATACATTCGAATTAGAGATTAAAACTTGATTTTACTTCTAGACATTTAGAGAGAGGCTCTTCATGAGTATTGTGACACTGTTGACTCAAAATCTCCAATAATTGTTTTTAGTCGTTTTTGCAGACTGCCATTCAATTAGGATGTTAGTCCTCAGCACATGACTGTTGGGTTTGACCTAACAGAATCATTTCCATATTCAGGTGGGTCGTGAGGCTTGGCACTACAAAAAGCTTCCGAAGCTTTGAGCTCTGAATTAGCGTTTCTGTATGGGCCCATCCACATCCATCTGAAGGGTGCTGCCACCTTAATGGCCGCCGGCAGAACTACTAAACAGGGCAATTTTTTTTCTGGTGCAAAGGGTTTAATCCAGGGACAAGAGACCCTCCACTGGCCTCTTGGCGACCGGTGGAAGCTTTTACTTTTGGGAATTCAACAATTCCTTATGGACAATCATAAGGGAGCAACAGTCATCACTCTTTTTTCAGCTGTTGACCTTGCCTATATGGTGGATGATGAGCTTCCGGTGACGTTATGATCCACGCAAGTTTCCCAAACTTCGGCTTGATTGCAAAACAAAACTACCAACACGTGGTTGAACATCAACCATGTAAGTAAGTCAACAGTTTAATAGCCAAAAGTAAAAGCTTCCACTAAAGCCGAGATATGAGTGGAGAGTCTCTTGTCTCTAGTTTAATCCAACAGGGCAATTCTAAAAAAATATGGTTTTGGATACAAATGATGATTTAGAAAACAATTATAGGAAGGGGAATGTCTGAGATTCTTCTGTTGGATTGCTGCGGGGACCACACAATGTAGAGCAAATCAAAGTAGCCGCCTGACTGAAAGTTTTCAGGGTAAAAAGAAGTTAGAATTTTACACAGTAAAAATTTGTTAATTGAAAAGCAAATGATAAAAGGCGCATTTTCTGCAAGCTGACTGGTTGGAGAGAGTTTAAGAAGACTCACTTTAAAACATCATCGAATGAAATCCAGAAAACACCGTCAGAGGCACCATGCGGCATGAGCAAGTCTCTCAGTTCAGGAGTCCAAAGATCTGACTCATCGGACCAGTCTCCTTTCCATGAATAACAGCCCCAAGGATTCCTTAGTCGCACCAGCCTCACTCCATTAGATAAGTCACGAACATCCAAGACGGAGTAAGCGTGCCTAAAAATCAAAGTAAGGAATGATGTACAGTGTAACACCCAATATAGATATCCCAGTCAAGGGTAAAATGTAACTGATAAAAACTTAACAACCATTTTGATGATGAAACTGCAGAAATAAGTATTTCGGTTTGTGGTATTGCAGACTTCCTGTCATACTTTACTTCCTACGCGGAAAACTACCTAACATCTTTTCTTGAAAACTTTGATAATTATTTTTCTTGACAAGAAGAATATTCTGTAAAAATGTCTAGCTATAATGTTGGTTCTATCTTCTTTCAAAAAATAAAATAAGCGCAGAGATTCTGAGACATCGCAACCAAGAAACGCATTTTTGCAGTTTTACTGTTACAATAAAAGTAAAAATAATTAATCCTTTTAACTGGACAAAAAATATCAATCAAATAATCATAAAATTGTGACCTTTCACAAGGGAAGAGACCTCAATTTGTGGAAGAAAATGATTTAAAAGAGCTTTATTGAATTAGGTAAAATTATTGGTGCTTGAGTTTTCAACACACTCCGAAAACTCCAAATAGTAGCAATAAAGTATGGATGGATACATGTTAGTGTTGCAGATATTGACTCGTCATTTGCACAAAACTTCTTCAAATAAAAGTTGGAATACTTTTTTGAGAGGGTTGTGATTCTCTGCCCCCCTCAGGGCTAGGGATAAGGGCCAACTTGAGAATTTCGGAGAGCCCCCATGGCATGATCCTTCTTCAGAGAGCACAAAAAAAAAAAAAAAAAAAAAAAAAAATTCTGGGAAAACGGCGATCTACGACCGACTTAAAATAGAGACCTGCTGTTCAAAATGGCAGCAAAAGGATGGGATGTCACAGCAAGAGGACTTACCTTGGCCTCAGCCCTTTGCGTTGGTACTCTTCTTCATCAACTCTCATGTTACCACCACCGCACGAAGCTCCCATCAAATAGCGAGCTAGGCGTGAGGATAAAAGCTGAGCCCAAATTAGGTCTTTATCCAGCTCATCCTCTGATGGTAATGAAGAGGGTTGTAGAGAAACACTCTCACAAGGTGCACCTAGAACATTGTTTACTTTTAATTTCAGATTCATCTCTTGATAAAACTTAGTGCTAAGGCATGCAAGTCGAATTTCATAGACAAACAGATCCATCATTTAGGTGTTACTTGATCAATAAATAGAAGGAACTTTACTAAACTTTGGATGGAGGTAGCTATTTTCATGAGTGAAATCTGAAAAAGTCATTAATAAGATAGAATAGACAGGAGTTACAATGCCGTTTTAAAAGTTTTTAATTTAAAAAGTGGCTATTTAACTTCTGAGCGACCATAAGACACCGCCATACTGCCATGCTAAGGAAAAACTTCATATAAACATTTATAGGTTGCCAAATTTCCTCTGATAAAATGTTAATTTTCAAGGAGAGTTCTGAACATTTTCTCTTGGAATTTTCAGATGACTTAGATCTAATTGCGAATTAAATTCTCTAAAAAATTGGAGGAAAAATATTCACAGATTCGTATTTCATGAACGGAAATTTGGTAAGGTCTGAAGGCGTCTGATTACAACATTCTTCCTTAGCATGGTAGCATACTGAAACAGCTGTAGCCTAATTGATGAGGCTCATCAACATTTCTTGAAAAACATAGATATTCAGGCATTTTAATGAAACTCTATATTATTTTCACAAATTCATNCCCCCCCCCCCCCCCGCAAAAAAAAAAAAAAAGTTTCAATTTAAATTTCAATCAAGACACCTTTCAAATCCTTTGATCATTTTTAGCTGATTCTTCATAAGAAACTTCAAGGTAAAAGAAGCGCATTTCTACAAGGCAACATGACTCCATATGTACATTCTGATGTTCTGTAAGAAATGCTACAGGAAATTCAGGCGTGGCAATAGAAAAATATATTTTAGTTTTACTCTAGATATTGCACTATTATAAAAGATGAGCGAGCCAAGTAAGCCCTCAATATTAGAAAGAGAAAATCAGAGAGTAAGTGAAGAAAAAAGTTAAAAACCTGTTAGAGTTGAGAGCCCTTCTATAGCCCTGCCAGACACCAAACCTTCATAGCAACCATGGATTTTGGCCACCGCTTTTTCAATCAGAGGCACCCACAATTGTTTCCTTTTTGCCTGAAAAAGAAATTGAAGATGGGTATTCTTAACTACTCCAATGAATAAGACAAGCTGTTCTGGAGGCGTTTTCTCTCAAACTAGTGCCTAGAACAACTCAACTTCCAACGAATGTCAGCTTTGGTTGGAATTGAAATTTTTAGTTACTTCTTCCGCAAAAATTTTTGTACAGATATTCATCGTAAAATAATACATGTTGCTAGCTGGCGCAATAATAAAATAAAACGGGGAATATTCACCTACTTCAAATACTAAAAGGTATTTTGAAAAATTAAACAATCATGGGTTTGGTGCATTATAAGGAGATAAAACCTATCTCATTTCTGTGATTTCCATAATTTACTTCAGTAACTACCAGAGTGAAAGTATTTTCAGCTTTTAGGTCATAAGGATCTCTATTACTGCAATTGTCATGGATGTTTAGGTTGCACTTATTTTAGTTTACTGAAAAACAAGAAATATGGGTTATGCATGTTTCAAGATGGCATGGCAAAGCAAAGTTGAGGCAATGAATTGAACTGATTTATTTTAGACAAATGGTTCTTACTTGGGAGTAGACGAGATGTCCTCGCTTATCGCAAGGCAGTAGGTCATCAATTAATACTGTCGTCCATCGTCCATCTTTGCACAGCCGCACCTGATAGACACCTTCTGCACAAACTTCCCTCTTCACCATGACTTTCTTCACAAGATCCTCACATTCCGCCAACACAGCCAGAGCGCTAAGAAGCCAACAGTTCCCTAAGATGCCTGGTCAAAAAATAAGTTACATCATCAATTCCGAACAATAACAAAAACTTAAGATAATGATTACGATCTACAACAAATGCAATCTTGTTACAGCCTTCGAGAGTCAGCACTATCGGTTATATAAGCTGTTTTCTTGGTTATTTTAGACTGCACTGGATTGTCAACCACAGGATCAAGTCAGGAACCAAACTTAAGGAATCCCAATTCCACGGTCTCGCAGTACACCGGCATCTCTTGGGGGATAAAATAGGGGTCCTGATTTTAAAAGTCATGGTTCTGCATATTTATGAAATTCATCTATAAGAATCAAACAGTGCTGAAAATTGTAACCTCCACTGATACCACTGAGCCCAAAATATTGATCCCTGAAGGCAGACAACTGACAGTAAGCCCCTACTACAAAAAATGCAAGGTCCTTAAATTGACTTAAAGGCTCGGAGGAAAGGTGTTTTTTCTAAATGTTCAATCCCAAAGAATCCCACTTTGACGGTCTTGGGGGCCCCTGAAGCTCTGCCGATGGGGTACAGGGGGATCTTAAACTTTTTGAATTTCCGAGTTTAGGGTTCCCTGTGCCCCATCAGCAAAGTTCCACAAGCACACAGGACAGTCAATTTCAAATTCCTTGGGATTAATTACTTGGGAAAACATATTTTTTAACCAGCCTCTAGGTTAATTCAGCAACCTAGCATTATGTAAATAACGCTCTTTCCCCCACCTTAAGGGGTCAATAATTTGGATCTAGATGGGTTGATTTTGAACTTTACAGTGTCGATTTGGTTTAGAATTTTTCGAACTTTCTGATTTTGATGGAATGATTCCATACTTTTGCCAAGGACCTTCACTTTTTACATGCAGGCTTCGAGCTGATGAAGTTTGGATTCCTTCTTGACAATTTCCTACAGCGACGTCCTTGTCTAATCTAAAATAACTGAGAAAAAAGCCTGATACAGGTAATGTGAACCTGGGGCACCCTTGCCCCTACTGATAAGACTATGATGGCTAAAAAGCTGGATATAACACGAAATGATAAACAGAAACATTGCTCACTTCATCGTTGTAAGTACGTTTTGATTCAGGTTTAATACCTAGTTAAATAAAGATAGTAATGACAAAATAGCTATCCACAGATAACATATCTAACATTGGGAAATCTAAATCTAATGACTTAAGTTTTAGAATAATTATGGGGCCCACCTTTCGATAGCTTAACGTATTATGAAGTTAGAGTATGGATCCCAAATTTTTATTGAAGACAGTTTCAGGTAACCTCATCAAAAATGAATAAATAAATTAGTAAATAAATGTACGAAGGACAAATATTTTCTGATATTACACGGACCTTGAGAGATATCCGATGGAAGTGGAGTCCGAAAAATGGTCCAGTCGAGATCGGAATCACCATCCATTTGGATCTGATGTGGTCTCAACCACTTGACTACATGGTTGTCTTTGATTGTCGAAGGATTGTAGTACAGAGATTTAAGGTCTGGTGGAAAAGAATCATCTACGAAAGGCTCATCATTCTGAAAGATATAAGGAGAAAGAGAAAATAAGAGGGACATGGTGAGTTCTTGAAGTTGTAAAATAATCATTTATCTATACTTTATTGTGTACCACTTGAGAAGGCCGGTTGAAATCTTAGCTTTGCTAATCAAAATGAAAAAGAATAAACTGAAATTTTAAAAAAGAAATAAAGTACCAAAGGTAGCCAGAATAAATTGAAAACTAAAATTGATAAATTTAAAAATCCATCCATTTGGCAACAACAGTAGTTCAAACTGTGTACACTCAATGTGCTATTACTAGGTACTCTAGAAAAGAAAGAAAAACAGTCCTTACCACTTTACAAAACGAGACAATTTGATTCCATTTTTCCAAAGCTTCAGTTTCTTCGATCATTCGCAAATCATCCATAAGCTCACTTTCTTGTTTCAAATGGTTAAAAAAGTTTGCACCTCGTGCAACCACTCTCTGCTCGGAGACATTTCGATGCGATGCAACTTGATTGCTCAACTGAGCTGTGCTTGCTCTAGCAGATGAAGATAGGCACTTGGAGCTTTGACACATGTCACAGGTTATTGCTTCAAAGGAGTTTTCATATGTGCACATTCGACATTCCCACTTCAAGTTGGAGAACTTGAAATTTACTGAAGCTTGACTCAACTGGTTCTGGGGAGCATGACCCACTTGATTCAAAAGCGCATGTTGGTTTTCAGAGCCAAGATTTGATGAAACCTGATTTGGCATGTGGTTCATCATATTTCCACTTGAGCGTCTACTTACAGCACTATTCGATCTCCGAACATGCTGCTGTTTTGGAATGGCGCCAAGATTACTCCCTTGGGCTGAGTTTGAACTCCAGTCATTAGGAGAGGAACTTCTTTGTGTGGGGGTGACCATGTTGACTGGGTGTTTGCATGCCAAACAACAATCGGAAGACATCAGGTTCTTCAGCGTACAACTGGAGCAAATCCAGAACTCACCCTTGCGCAGAGTTGCATCCTGAACCAAGCTTATGCTGCGTAACTTTGAGCCTCCGCAAACGATGCAAGCCATAGCATTAGCCGAGTTGACCAAAGTGCATTTCTTGCACGTCCATTCAGACTCAGAACTAGGGGCATCATGGCTCCAGCGTCTAAAACTGAGATCAGTAACATCACGAAGAGAGCTTTGGAAAAAATTAATATTATTGTTGACAGCGCTACTTAAAACAGTGTCACCTCTATCTGAACCTCTGACCATGTTTTCATGATTATTCACCGAGTTTCTGATGGAGCTGATATTGTCACCCGTGCTTCCAGCACCTTGATCTGATGAATCTTGAACAAAATTAATGTTGCTAGGATTTCTAGCATGACCAATATCTTCCGAGATTCTAACATCAAAGTTTTCGTTTGACTTATCTCCTGGCGCGGAACGACGTGTGTCCTCCCTCACAGTTATTAAACTGGGTTCTGTAAGACTAGGTGGTGATCTTGGTGAGCAACAAATATCACAAAGGTTTGCTTGCATCATATTGTAAGCAAATGAACATTTTATACAAGTCCACATGCGTTCAGATTCAGTTTTACTCAACAGGATATTCCTATCTATTGCATTGCCTGGAACCTGATCTGAGTCTTTATTTATATTGTAAGGTTTGGAAAATGGCACTTTTGAGTTGGGTGAAGGCTCAAAGCCAATGAAAGAGTATCGTGTTTTGTTTCGTGATAAAATTGGATTGGAGCTTGAAACATCAACGCTGGAAATTCTGAAATTAATTTCATCTGGTAAACTGGACACAGAGGAGTTTTTCCATCGATTACTTGTATTTTCAGAGTTGGATTCTGCAAAGTTTTCAGATCTTAGGTATAATGATGAGTCTGCTCCATCATTGAATGCAGAATGATGACGGTCCCAATAAGGAACTGAGATAATAACATTACGCTCTGAGGATTGAGGAAATGATAGTTTGCGCGGTGAGTCGCAAACTTCGCACCTAGAGTTGACTACAGAATTGACTAGAGTACAGCGCTGACAGACCCAGTTTTGATGATTACTGGGTGAGGAGGCTGAGAAGGTTGAGCACTGACGCAGTCCTTTGTTTTCTTCCGATAGAGAATCTCTGTGATTTAATGATGCAGGAATCATGAGGCTTTTGGGTCGTTGCAAAGTTTCGTAGCTATAGCTGTAATCCTTATTTTCCGAGTTCCACTTAGACCTTAATACAGCACTGTTGGACAATGACCGGCTCACTTTAGTTTTGACCTTGTCATAGATTGATGTTGAAAAATACTGCCTTTTTGGTGATCGGTTGACAAGAGAGTCTGTCTTGACACTGTGTAGAACACACAAATTTTTAGTTGGCACCTGCAATAGAAAGAGAAATGGAGATGGTGAGTGTGTGTGAATGAAAACATCATGCAAAACTCAGACTTCTTGAAGATTTTGATCTCAATGGTACCCAAGTTCTCCGCACCTCCAAGATTTAAAGGTTTATTTGCTTATCCATGTGAGCATAATTAAGGATAAGGATAAGCTTACCAATTTCAAAAAGACTGTAACTGAATCACAAAATTTTTTCTGATCTTCTCTCAGATTTCATTTGTTAAACAAAATTAGATAACATTATGCTTGAAAAATTGTGAGTGCAGGCATTTGCAAAATAGGAGATACTCACAGGAAGTTTTGACGCATTCTTCACTTTAGGTTATAAAAAAAGAAGAAAAAACCATGAAAAGAAAGAGAGCAACGTGAAATCAGAATTACAAATTCTCCTTAAAATTGTCAATGTGAACCTAAGTGACTTTGCTGTTAGTTAAGGTAGATATTTTTTTATTGGCCAATTTAAATGAGAAGTTTATAATGCATTGATGCATCATAATTTCTGCTCCGGTAAACAAGGATTTTAAAAAATGTTTCAATAAGTAATATGTACCAATACAAACCTCAGAAAACGGATTCTGTTCTTTCAAAACACGCGGCTGATCTTCCAAGCACCATTCTTGAGCGTCCATATTTACCACATATGAATTTTGCGCCCTCTCCTCTGCAGCCATTACTTTTTGGTGGCAAACAAAGCACTGACCAGTGTGGCTTGAATGCGTTAAACCACAATGACACTTCCAGGAGAGAGTAAAATTCTCTGAGCTACCAAACCTACTTTTTTTGATTGGATCAGTTGCTATGTTGGAGTTTAATCGGCTTATGTCCGTGAGGCTCCCACATGTAGCTTTTACATGCTGATTGGAACTTTGCCTGAAACAGGTGAGAAAAAAACGATGTGATTGAAATTTCTTGAACCTCACTAGTAAAAACTTTCGGGCACAAAGTGGTGAAACAAGAGAAGCAAAGGGGCAAACCTCAAATCGGTACAATCGATAATTGTCGGAGGTAAAATGCAAGTTGAAAGTTTCTTTTAAGTTACGGATTAAAAAAAAGACTTTCAGGTATAGGACAGGGCTACTGCACTGGGATACTGTTGACTTTTAGGATGCAGATTATCAGTTTAATGCATCAACACTTGGAAATGATTAATTGAGGAATTGAGGGGCTTGGAGGACAAGGCACATAGGTGCAGTTTTTGAAAAAATTGAGATGTTAATGGTTTCAAGTAAAACTAGTCTTGATGCATATTTTGAGATGAATCCCAAATTTTCATTTTAAGCATCAAAAAGTCAGTTTGAACTTTTTTTCTGCCAAAAGGATCCATGTGATTTCGAAACTTTAAACACATATTTTTTGCTATATGAAAAACTGCACTTATGCGCCCTTTCGTCCAAGTTTCTCAATTATGAGCTTTAGTTGGGGTACTTAAAAAAAAGCACATCAAAATAGATCCATGCCTTGAGGGTGCAGGATTAAATTTAAGAATTAATTGGCCAAAAAAAAAGGTAAAAAATTTTCATCCATTGATAATTGATATCGATCCTTTAGATTTTTTCAGCCATTCCCCTGACCTTCTTTACAAACTTTAGGGCACTCTTTGAGACATGAATCTACCTTCCATTGATCAATTTGTTTAAATTACTCTGAATAAGATTCATGATTACTTGGCCATGAATAAAGCTCAAAGTGTTTTGCAAATTTTTTTTTCTTCCCCTGACCATTGGATTGGATTTTCCATCCCCCTGACTTTCCCTTGTCTTTCATTACAAATCGTTGTGCATTTTGATTATTACGGGGCAGAGAGTACCTATACCATTATCATCAAGTAGGTACGTACAGCATTTTTGTGTGACTAGGTTAGTTACTATACAAGATAGAGGGGAAAGAAGGAAACCAATTATCACTTATCTCGGAGAGAATAACTGTTTTCTGGGTTCATCTGATTTCTCAACAGAATTTAATCAGTTGAAGTCATAAGTACGGTGAATTAATGGAGTTTCCTCATAATATAGGGCGGGAAATTTACGAAATTGAAACTTGCAAAACATGCTATGTAGACTTTGTAAGCTACAAAATTACAATCTTGCACTCATAGCAACATTTAAATCCTCAAGAGGATATTTTACATGGATCACTGGAGTATAGTTAAAGCCTCAAAATTTCAAAATTGTCAAGCTTAAAATCTGATATGGTAAGTAAGTTTATCATGAATTCCTTCGCATGAGCGACTAAATTAGTTGATAATGAAATATAAACAACATCCCATATGTGATGCTAAGAAAGAATTACATTTGTTAAAAACCATGAGTTAAATTTACTCCACCAACAGATCGGTTGCTATGCGCTGAGGGCAATTACTGGTAAGAGTACTTAGTTATAGTAGTACCTGTATAGTGACGACAGTAAGTTATCACAATCAGTTAAGACAGTGGAGAATTTGCAACTCTGAGGGTCGGATAATTTGGGATCTAATGCTTTGATCGGGTTTTCTGGTGCAGTTATGACATGGTTTACACTTCTGAGCTCTCCACATCGAATGCACGATGACCGTTCAGTGGGATTTATGGAAGAACACTTTTCACAATTCCATTGTAACACTGAAGCAATGGAGCCCATGATTTCTTGACCATGGTTAAAATTTAATGTTAGGGAAATAAAATAGAGGATATCCGCGAAGATGAATTGGATTACACTGATAAAAAATGAAGAACGGTAATCCAAACAACCACAATCACACACGAATCAATTTTTATCAGCTCGGCCTCAGCTGATCCATAGAGGAAAGAGAGGTGGTCACGGGATGACGGTGGCCCGCGGACCGCGGTGGCCAAAAGCCACAATAATGAAAATAAGGCTTCGACAAGGCGTAGATGCTTCCACGCAATACCACCTTTCCACGCCGTACATGAACCAACTTTGCAACAGAACAGCGAACAGCCTTGCAAAGTATGTAGTGAGAAGTAGTTACCAGTTACTCTCTACGTTTTGCAATCGCCATGAATAATGTGTTATTATTGTCAATCAGTTCGTAATGTATTTTTCTATTTCGGTATTATTCAAGTAGGTTGAAGTTCATTTGAGTTATTTGAGCATTGTCAGCGGCATAAATTATTCAATTCTTCATTTCTTTTCGCTAATAAATGGTCCAGCAATGTGATGAACTGGTCTCTGAATAACAGAAAATACTATCCTGTGAAGAAGCAGTTACATTTAGTCTAGACAGGTAAGTGCACTGGCTAAGTTTCAAATATTTGCAGTGTAATTCAACCTCAGACTTGTTCCTATTCGTATATGGTCGATTGCTTCAACTCAATGAACTGCTACATTTAAGTATGAGCAATTTAAAACACGAATAGGTCACATGTTTTTTCTTTCAGTCCCATGATGGACCACTTATCTTGATCTCCCACACAGCGATTGAGTATTTACCAGCTTTTGAATGTGACCCCTCTAAAGCTAGTGTGTTCTCTTTCCATAATTCCAAAAGAACCCCTCCTTAGAAGAAAGAAGAAAACATGATTAAAATTGACCACAGCTACAGTTGTTGAGCCACAAAGAGTGCTTACGACATTTAGTGTTTTTGCATGTCAATGTACCTCCGGTTCTTGAACAGAGAGCCAACAGAGTCTGTTCTTCGAGGGTGGGTTATTGGATGACTAATCTTTCAGACTGTGCATCATGACATGGAAACTATTTACACACCTTCTCCTATACAAGGCCTTTTTGCATGTGCCGTTTTACGTATGAATGCCTCAGTCGATCGGGAATCATTTCTCACACTAGAGCTCGCTCATCGTATGTTGAGACAAGCATCAACCTCTGATGAGCTCTGCATTAGCACTGCTGAACAGGTTAATACATGCAGTTGGATGGCACTACTGATGATTGGTGACATAAAGAACACTTTGACGTTGGTCTCAACATATGATGCGCGAGCTCTAGAGACGTTGACCAGAAAAATCCTGGTTGGTAATTTTAGGTCTGTGCATAGCTAGCACAGCCATCAATGGCTTGTACCAATTTTTTTATTCGCTCCGATGTTCATGACAAGGAAAACAGAGGCTTATGTTTATACCATTCTGTGAAGATAAATCGGAGATGTCTTGCGGAATGAAGGAAGGAGTGGTTGCTGCAGGGGCAGCTCAGAGGTTCTTCCTGGATGAATTTTCCTTTAAAGAAAGTATTGCCTGAAAGTTTGAAGTGAAAGCCTTCTGTAAAATGATCTGAACGCTTTGGATGAAGCCATCAATAAAATTTTGATGGGAAGGTGGGGAGGGGCAATTCTAGGTGGTTGAAAGTGGTGAATGTTACTATTAAGTATTTATGAAATCTTTCATGAGTAACACCATTTTCAATAGGTATGCCAATTTGTATCAGAAACCAAGGTGTTATGTTCACTTTTATTTTATTTTACAAAATTTTGTTTAGAAAGCTGACGCTTTTCGGCTTTTGGCCATCATCAGAGCATCAAGTATGTATAACATTGGTGAAAAATAAATTATAACAATTCCTATTAACAACAAAAAACTTTACAATGGTCAGAATCATGACAAATTACTGGTGACTTTGGCGTATATAGGAACATAACTGAGAGGATCTTCGGTACACAGAGGCTACATTATTTATCCTGGCAACTTGCATTTATCCCCACCACTCAACGTAGCCCTCTGTGTACCAAATCTCCCCTCAGTTATGTTCCCATATACGCCTAAGTCACCAGTAATTTATCAAATTTCTGCCCGTTGTAAAGTTTTCTGTTGTTAATACGAATTGTTATAATTTATTGTTTACCGACGTTATACATATTTGACGCTCTGATGATGGCCAAAAGCCCAAAAGCTTCAGCTTTATAAACAAATTTTTTTTAATAAAATAAAAGTGAACATAACACCTTGGCTTCTTAATCAGACTGTCATGTTACTCATAACATCATTCAAAGAGTCTGAATAAAGTCACCTGCAATGACAATGACAACACCTATTAAAACCTTTGACATCTAGATTGAAATTATCCTTGTAATTTACTCTTTCATTTAAATTTATTATTAACTACATGTTTAAATTTTTAGTATATTTCTGAAGCTTTTTTGGTTTCATGCCAGATGTTTTCATAGAGTACATAGAGTCGTAATGTAAGTGGGAGAGCTGGCAGATGCTATTCCCTTATGTTAATAATCACTACCTCTTTTTTAATTAATTGAGTTCGTTTCATATTGACAGATTTGAGAATCATGGAACCTGTTAGGAACTCGCGATCCCGGTCCAGTATGACAAAGAAAACAGTAAATTTATCAGTCACCAACAGTGCAAAATCCATCAAAATTGCCGATGAGTAAGTATGACTTACTCCTAGCCACCCAGCGAATTGTTTAATTGAGGTCACAAGAGCAGTGAAAATGAAGTATTGAAGGCCTTAATGTTTCCTCTTTCTCAAGGAGAGTCATATTGATGGCCAAAGTACGAAATCATGTACCTCCATTTGCGACGTTGCAGACTTCCTGTTGCAATTGATTTTTTCTATGGAAAAGTACTCAACTTAATCTCTTAAAAATTTCCGTGTTTTTCTTTTCTGTTATTACAATATTCTGTATAAATTTCAACCTATGAACTTGGCTTGTTTTTCTTCAAAATAATGAATATGAGAATAAATTTTGTCGGAGTGTCGCACTTTAGCCATCGATGTTATCTTCATGTATTTCTTTAGTTAGGTGCAGGATGGCAGGAGCTTCTTGCATATGTGACTGACATGATGCAATTAGTTGCATTAAAAAATGGAGAGGCAGCAAGAAAGGGTCTTGAAAATTGGGGAGCTAACCCATGTTAGGTTAAAAATCACCCTATTGGTAATACCTCCACCAAAGCTTTTACACCAAAATTGTCTGTTAATAATGATTGAAATTAGTTAATTTATCTAAATCAAGTAAGTTTAAATTGATAATGTAATAAAAAAAATCTAGAACAACTTGCTACCATCTTGAATCATCCGCATTTAGGGATTCTTTCTTGATGCACAATTTTTTTCAATTTTTTAATTTTTTTGTTCTCTTCATTACAGGTCTACTTTATCAAAATTTTCATGGACATCTGATCGTTTTGACCATGTAAGTGGACAGTGTTTTAACGCATCCTATTAATTTTTAGCAACATCAAAAAATTCTGCAATATTTCGCATCCCTTTCAGATAAAATATTTAGTGTTACTTTCATTAGCAGTAATTCAAGAAATTGCATGGTAGAATTAAAAAAACAGCCCAGGAAGATTTAATATGTTGTGCAAGATTTATATAATCAGGTATACCAGGTTAATATGAACTGTATGAACCAAAAAGTTAAAAGAGACGCTGCAAATACCAGTGAAGAGTCAGTGAGTCTAGGATAATTTTAATAAATCTGAAATAGGTCAAAGTAAAGTTCATTTTAGATCCAAGATGAACTGTTAAGCAATTCATAAAGGTAGGAGCAGAGATATTTCAGTTGCATCCCGCAATATTCTCTATGCAGGAGGGCTGCAAAAATTACCCCCTTTTGCATTTTCTTACCTTACTGCAGTGAACTTCGGCCGGAAAGACACATCTTTTCGTGTATTTAAAACCATTTATTGTTTTTTTCAAGTGGACTTCACCATGGGCTCTTAGGCTAATGCACTCAATTCATTAAAGCACTGTGCATGAGGTTTTCCCCTCTAAAGTTCTCAACAAAAACGAATCATACAACAGTAAGTCTGAAAATAAACTCCTAAACAAGACATAAGTGTTTACAACTGCCATCAGTTAGGAGGCAAGACTTAAAATTTATCTGCTGTGCAGTGGCATTATTGAAGGAAGTACACATATTTTTTTGTGATTGTATTGGCTCTTACCTGTAAGATTCGCTTAATTTTCTGGCTTCAAGTCGTAAATGAACTTCACATTAATCTATTTAAACAATATTAAAATACACTGATAGTTTCTAACCATCCACTGGTGTCGCTAAGTTCTTTTACCACTCATTATAATTATCATCACTATATAAGGTGATCAAAAAGTCCCACACCACTAATACTAGGTACCACTCCTGTATTTTTTGAAATAATTGAGGTAGAGACTTGAAATTTTGGGAGCACTATTAGATAACTAGGGGGCTACGCCCCCTGGCCGCTATGCGGCCCCACCCCCTGAAGGCGCTCCGCGCCATCAATGGGCCGCTTCGCGGCCCTATTTTTACCCTCCTGTCGGTGTTAGTTTTATTTATTTTTCCCCTAAAAAATTACGATATGAGGTATACTTTACTTTTAGAATGAAATAATTTTTGGTTTTGATGAATAAAGAAACAAACATTTTTTTTGATGTCTAAAGGGCGCGATTTGGAATGACTGCTTGATGAAATATTGCAGTAAAACAACTAATATTGATAATCAGGTAATAATTAAGAGTGGCGGGAGACGGGGATCGAACCCACACCACGAACTGAATGGACACATCCGACGTCTTTGACAACTCAGCCACCGCTCGTTTTGAAATATTATGAGCGAATCTTGTGTAGATAAGTGCAGAGCTGATGCGCAGGCTACACATCTACTGCGCAACCTCCTCGACCACTGCGCATCCTCCCGCGCATAGCGGTAGCAGTACCGGAGCATTCTGTAAACTCAGTCACTTTTATAACATGATTTTAAAAAAACCTGGGTCCTTTTTCCAAAATCTGATTAAAGCGGGCTCATCTAGGGCCAATTACCCGTCGATTACCGCAAAAAACTTGGAAATCGGCCCGGTAGAACGCTCAAACGAACTATGACAAAAAATATAAATTTACATTGTTTAAATGGGAGAATTCGCAACTTTACCACTTAATATAAAAAAAACCTGGGCCATATTTTGAAAATCTGAAAAGAGTTGGCTTATCTAGAGACAATTGCCCGTCAATAGCCGCAAAAATCATAAAAATCGGCTTGGTAGAACGCTGGAACTAAGCGTCACCAGTTTCGCAAAATTAGGAGGTCTCGGAGCTTATAGTATAGAAAGGAAATTACTTTTTAAACTCTCCAAAATTTTAGGTGTACCCCTTTGAAAAAGGGCAAGGTCCCGGAGGTTTACAGGGATGGTTCGGGATTTTTGGATCACCTGGGATGAGAAAAAATGCATTAGTTTTAACTTCATTTCTTATCTCAAAATACTTTTTTTATCCTCATTTTTTTGCCATCACTATTCCTTATAATTTGCACCTAATAAAGAGAATGGCTATGCCTACATCAATTCTTGTTTCATTGTGAGTTTTTTGAGAGTTATTATTTAATATGTTCGCAGAAAATCACCTCAAATGGAACAGAAACACCAAAGCCTCACCCTAGTCCAACTCGTAAAACCAAAGCAACTAATTTGGAGTCCAACAATCCTGTATTGGATGCCCAAGAGTACAAAGAAATTGTTTCAAAACTGAAAAGAGCATCGTCAAAAGAAATCCTGGATTACTACAACAAGTTTGGCAGCATGTGGTTTAAGTAAGTAACTTTTCTTTTAATCTCAAAACTTAACAAATAATCTTAAAAATTAAATCTTGATTGGTTGCAATTTGAATCAGTAGCGCTAGCCTTAGAATCGTGTTCTGATGGTTGAAGCTCATAGATTATAACATATAATAATAAGATCCGTTCGAACACCAAGTTTCTGCCCCCAATAT